TAATTCAATTTATATTTTAACACAACCAATTATCCATCATCAATTTCAATCATCTATTATCAATTCTCAATTTAATTTATTCACACAACTCACCTAAATAATCCATAATAAATCTTTCACTCTAATCAATAAACTCATAATTAAACTCCTTACTCAATAATTAATCAATAAATTCCAAAATTCAAATTTTAATGTTCATCATCTTTGACCTTTCAAAATTTCATATGTTACTATTCATCATCTTCAACTAATTAGAAAATTTCTTGAACCCATAGTTCAATAATCAATTTTACACCACTATTATTACATTTCAAGCATCAATTAACATAATTAATTGTTTAATCATTAAACTCCTAAATTTGATTCAAGCCTTAACCGTAACCTAACTCAATTTTTCATTCTAACAACAACCCAATACAAATTAAGTTCAAAATCATCAATAAATATCTCCATTTAAAAACCAAATGACCAAAAATTTTTACCTTTAACAATGGGCTCTTCAAACCTAATTTCAATCCTAAACCCTCAAAACCTTCCAAGCTTTAATCTAGGTAAACCCTACTTTAATCACCTTTTTTTTATGGTTTTTCTAAGTTAATGGGGGTAAAGTTTTAACTTTGAAATTGGAGGAGGGAAATGGGAGGAAGTAGAGAGAGTTTGGGGTGACAAAGGGAAGTGAAGAAGAAATAAAATATGAGGGACAACAAGTCGTCTCGTTTTTTTTATATGTCGCCCAAATTTTTTTTTATATATTGTTTTAAACTTCTATTAAAACCTCGCAATACTCATTATGATGATCTTAACCAACCTATCGCTCACCATGTTATAGCCTCGGCAAGGCCCAATCCATCCGTCGGCTTTAACCTATATGCTCTCCAACATAACAAAGCCTTACCACAACCCGACCAGTTTGCCAACCCAAAATTATAAAATAACCAATCTTTACAAACCTAGCCATCCAAGTACTCATTCCTAAACCATATCTCGTGCCCTCAAATGTTCAAATCTCACGCTTTTGTTATAGATTCAATTTTCTTGAATGTATTCAAACCGGCTATGTTAATCTAGCTCATGAATTGTGAAATTCTTAGGCCTACTCCATTTTTAGGCCCAAGAGTTTGTTTTTTAATTTTCAAGAGAAGGTGGTGGAGTGGCGTTGATTTACCGCAAAAGGGTCGGGTCCTTTTTAGCCTCTATTAACTCGAATGAGCTTATTGTTTTTGTTTAATTTAGGGTGTCTACTTGTATTTTGAATTGAAAAAAGTAACATTCGCTTCATAACAAGTAAATTTTATATTACTTCCTTGTAATTTTGCCGATTAGTTAAAATTATGGTAATATTTTTAAGTGATTCTCGAATTATTAAACACTATAATTATAGTGTTGGTAAGTAAAAAATAGCCAACTCTTAGAAAAACCACAAAACATGATTAACATAGTTCAATGTAGACCCTACGACTACTACTAAGTAATACTAAAATTAGTTTTTAACATCTTTTTACATAAAGAGAGTTGAATGGTAGAAGCAAGAAATCTCTTAAATTCCTAATATTAATCGCATTACTCGGTTTCCAACCAAAACCCTTCGTACCAAAAACAAAAATCATTACAAAAGAATCTAAAACAAATAGAGTTCGACTGTTCACCCCACTCGTTCACATATCTTTTTTTTTTCTTTCAATTGCAGCTCTCTCTTTTCTCCCAAGTCCTATAACTTTCCCTCGTACTTTGTTGCAGTTCCAGCAACACAACCTCACCTCGCACACCCTCTCTTTACTACTAGCAGCCACGCTATACTACTACCACAACCAACCTCTTACCATATCCTATAACAAAACATCTTATTATCATGGTGAAGAACCATCACCCAACAATCACCCTTTACTACCGCCACATCCAACCTCACACCATATCTTATAACAAAAAATCTCACACCATCATTGTGGAGAACCATCATAATTACATGTGTAAATAACGATGAATAAACATAAACATGGGAGTTAGTTAGTCTAAGGGGAGATGATTTTTGAAATTGAAAGTGGCTAAAAAAAAAAAAAGAAAAAAAGAAAGATCGAATTTAGTTGAACCGAAGTTGCAATCCAGATCATCTTTAATCAATTCTATTAGGTAATTTTCTTAATTTTGGATTTTTCTCGTCAATTTAGGTTTTGTTTCGAAATTTGAGAATTTTTTGAAATTGAATTGAAATTAGGTTAGGGAATGGAAATTAAGACCAATTAAAAGAAAATTTTGAAGAATAAAAAAGTTAGGGTTCGACCAAAATTGATTTGGGGATTTTTGATTGGAGAAAGAAAAGAAGGAAGGGAAAAGAAAACAAGGAAGGAAGGGAGAGCATGGACGAACCGAGCTCGGGTTCGTCCCGAATCGGTTCATCCATGACGAGTTCGGGAGAAGTGAGAAAGCAAGAATAAAAAAAAAAAAAAGAGGATTCAACAAAGAGTAAGAAAAAGAAAGAAGGAAAAAAAAAAGAAGGGGGAGGAAGGGAGAAGGACAAACCATTCCCGGTTCGTCCGTGGTGAGAGAGAGATTGGAGAGATGAGGAATAAGAAGAAGAAGAAAACAAAAAGGAAAGAGAAAGAAGAAGAGAAAGAACGATTGGAGAAGGAGAGGAAGAAAAAAATAGGGTTTTGATCCAAGGTTTATTTTAAAAAGGAGTTGAGTTGTGTTTTTAAGCTTGGATTTAATAAAATGATGGGGGTTTATAATTGTGGTGGATTGATTTCAATCCAGATCAGTCCAAAAAAAGTGTCTTTGTTTTAATTTTTAATTTTATGCATGTTTGTTATTTCATATTTAATTTAGATTTTAAATTATCTTTAATTATTTTAATCTTGAATTTATTTTATCCATGTTTGTTAGTTTTATATTTAGATTTTAATATTTTTAAATTTTTTGTAATTATTTTAATTAATTTAATTTTAATCTTGAATTTATTTTATGCACGTTTGTTATGAATTTCAATTTCGGTATTTTATTTTCCTTTAATGTACTTAATTACCGTAACTTTAATTTATTTTTTTAGTAATTAGACTCGGTAATTAAAAGTTGGAGGATTGTCAAGTCTTCTAATTTTTTTAAGGGCCGATGATTACCTTCTACCAAATTAAAAAAAGAGAAAAAAGAGGAAAAAAATAAAAAAAAATCATAAAATGTTTAACAAAGTCTCATATATGATAGAGACTGTTGTTAGCCAAAATAAATCATTTTTAGCAATTAAGTCGATCTCCAACATATCAATTGTGTTGAGACTTAAAATGAATTCGATATTTGAAAAGTTTATTATGAAAAAAATAAAGATTTGATTTGACATGACTTACAAAAAAATCTAATTTTAAGTTATAATTAAAAAAATCATAAACAAGAATAAAAAAAATTATTTATTAATTTTTATTCAAGCTTTTATATTACTTTATTTTTTCATACAATATTATGAAAAAAATATTTAAAAAATTAAAAAATATTTTTAAAAATTTTATAGTTAGACTGTTATGGACTTTTTAAGAATAAATGCATAAAAAATAAATCATGTTTTTTAATTATAAAATTATTAAAAAATATAAAAAAAGATGTAAAATTAGATAAAATTTTATTTTGAATTTAATATATTTTCATGATTCGATAATATAAATACGTTTAATTCGATGACGCAAAAAGCCAACTACCATTTACTAATTAATGTCCGAAACAAAAGATTGCAGATGTGCCATACAGAACCAGATGCCCAAAAGAAGTTGCTTCTCATGTCGGCAAGTATTGGAACAACGCATGGACATTTCACTCTTCATTTTTCCGCTTAACTGGTCCCCACATGACAGATAAGCAAAACCGTTTTTATTTTCTTAACACAGACGCAACCAACCATCTCAAACAAGCTCAAGCTTTATTTTTTATTTTATTTCTGGCTCTGAATGATTCTGCTCTTTGTATCATCATTCCAGATTCAAATTATAGAGAGAAGTTACAAGAAAAATATATGTTTTTTAAATACATTATCTTGGATGCAGATGGTTTGCTCATAATAAATTTTTAAAATTTTAATATGTCAAAACTTGCTAAAAAATAATTGTTTGTTAAAGAAAAATAGACAAACCTGAGCTGCTAAATTATTTGGTAAGATCACAAATAAGTTTAATATGGTTCATATTGTCAAAATGATTTTTTTTTTTTTGGATATCTGATTATTAATGACTGATTCAAGATCTATTAAAAAAACAAAATGACGATGCATAAAATAAAAACCATCGGATTATATTTTATTGGTAAAACCAGAAAGAGAAAAACAAATAACCTCCAAAAAAATGGATTGCATTGCACTCTAAAACAAGAAAATAATAGAAATAATTTACTCATGAAGCCAACCACAAATCATTGAAGCAGATAGGAAATATGCAATCATCCAATGACCCATACAAAAAAGAAAGAAATGATAGAAGAGAAAACAAGACAGTGACACCCCACCCCACTTCAACAACAGGTAGCCGGTACGTTACATTACATTCAAGCCGAAGTAACCCCGTAGCCAACCCCCTCCCTGTCGGCAGCAACCAACTTCTTTCCTTCTTTCTTAGCTGCTTAACAAGTAGCTTCTGTTTCATGTTTAGAGAGAGAGAGAGAAGAAGATTGGAGACATCATTGTAAGTTTGTAACTTACTTTTAGAGAGAGAAACTGAAAAAAAAAAAAAACTAGAAAGAGGGAGAGAGGGTGGGTAATGTGTAGGAGAGAGAACAAGAAAACCAAGAATATGTTTTGACACTGAGAGTCAATGTTATAGTGAATAGGAGAGACTAAAAAAGATTGAAGCTTTCAAGTTCAATCAACTCTCAAGAACTCAAAAAAACACAAAAGATTGAACCTTTGAGCTTCAATATCTCCAAAATCGTACAAAATCACTACACAGATTGAAGCTTTGAAGTTCAATCTCGTGAAAAAAAAAAAAAAAAAAAACCAAAACCAAGAAGAACCCATTTTTCTTTCCCCAATGTTAGTCCAAGACCGGGTAACAGCTAACCCAAATCCAAAATCTCCCAAATCCCAAATCAGACCCACCATCAACAATCACCACCACGACCTCCAACACCGCTTCTCAGAGTCAAAATCTTTAGATTTCTCCACATGGGTATCTGAGAATTTCTACAGAATCATCACAATCACATTGCTAATCTCCACTGTCGCTGCCATCTTCTTCCTCCGGAGCACTGGTGACACTTTTCTCTACCTTCAGTCACATGCACAACCTCTAGACAAAACCCATAATTTTCCTCACATAAATTGGAACAACATCCTACCAATCACTGACAAATCTTCGCCTTATGCGAACTTCCGGTCAGAGAAATGGATTGTTGTTAGTGTCTCTCATTATCCTTCTGATTCGCTTAAAAAGCTTGTTAGAATTAAAGGTTGGCAATTGCTAGCAATTGGGAATTCAAGGACGCCTAATGATTGGTCCTTGAAGGGTGCAATTTACTTGTCTTTAGAACAACAAGCGACTTTAGGGTTTCGGGTTTTGGGCTATGTACCTTATGATTCTTATTTAAGGAAAAGCGTGGGGTATTTGTTTGCGATCCAACATGGGGCAAAGAAAATTTTTGATGCTGATGATCGTGGAGAGGTTATCGATGGTGATTTAGGGAAGCATTTTGATGTGGAGTTAATGGGGGAGGGGGCTAGGCAAGAGACTATATTGCAATATAGTCATGAGAATGAGAATAGGAGTGTAGTAAACCCTTACGTTCATTTTGGTCAAAGGACAGTTTGGCCTAGAGGGTTACCATTAGAGAATGTGGGCGAAATTGGTCATGAAGAGTTTTACACTGAGGTTTTTGGTGGGAAACAGTTTATACAACAAGGACTATCAAATGGATTGCCTGATGTTGATTCTGTGTTTTATCATACTAGGAAAACGGGTTTGGAAGCTTTTGATATTAGGTTCGATGAGCGTGCCCCAAAAGTAGCGTTGCCTCAAGGGGTAATGATGCCAGTTAATTCGTTTAATACGATTTACCATTCGTCGGCTTTTTGGGGCTTGATGCTTCCAGTTTCAGTTAGTACTATGGCTTCTGATGTTTTGAGAGGCTACTGGGGGCAAAGGCTTTTGTGGGAGATTGGTGGGCATGTTGTGGTTTATCCACCTACTGTGCATAGATATGACACAGTTGGGGGGTACCCTTTTTCTGAAGAGAAGGATCTTCATGTTAATGTTGGGAGGCTTATTAAGTTCTTGGTTGCATGGAGGTCGAGTAAGCATAGGTTGTTTGAGAAGGTTTTAGAGTTGAGTTTCGCTATGGCAGAGGAGGGGTTTTGGACTGAGCAGGATGTGAAGTTTACTGCTGCTTGGCTTCAGGACTTGCTTGCTGTTGGGTACCAGCAGCCTAGGTTAATGTCATTCGAATTGGACCGGCCACGTGCGACTATAGGTCATGGGGATCGGAAAGAGTTTGTACCTCGGAAGTTGCCGTCTGTGCATCTTGGAGTGGAGGAAACGGGGACAGTGAATTATGAGATTGGCAATTTGATTCGATGGAGAAAGAATTTTGGGAATGTGGTGCTTATTATGTTTTGCAATGGGCCTGTTGAACGTACTGCCTTGGAATGGAGATTGCTTTATGGGAGGATATTCAAAACCGTGATTATCCTGTCATGGCAGAAGAATGAGGATCTAGCTGTTGAAGCAGCCCACTTGGATCGTATGTACAAGTAAGTTATCTATATGATATGGATATTTATTTTTCTTGTTTTGGTATCATAATTTGAATCTACTCTTTTATGCAAACCAGCATCTTGGATATCTGATTTCAATTCATATACTACGCAGATAGCAAACTCTATATATGAATAAAACTTTGTCTCGTATAGAGGCTGGGGAGTTGGATTAAGCTGTGGCACTCTTGTAAAATGAAAGAGATTTGTTATGATTAAGGAAGTCTGAGGTTAAATTTATGGGTAGCATGAGGGTATGGAGAGAGCTTTCATGGATTTGGCTTTTCATAGTTCATTTCATTCTAGATCTCTGTTTATCTGGGAATAATCACTCTTAGATTGTGGGATCCAGTCATTGTTTAGGTTTTTTCCCATGCCCTATGGTTACAACTTAAAATACTGAATTCTTGTGCATTTGGACATTAAAGTTGGAATTTGGATGGCTGTTGGAGTTGCATAAAAGAAGACAATCAATGTAACGTAAATGGTGGCTATATTCCTTGTCATGTTTGTAATTTCAACCCATCATTTTAGGACACGTCTAGGGTAATGTTAAAATCCTGGAGAGCATTTGTGATTCTTGTATTCAGATTCTTTCACTAGGAAATGATGGCCTTGGGGATCATCATATCCTCCAACTTACCTTGTTGTTTACCTATGCCATTGGGAATGAGTTTAATCACCAGGTTCAAGTTTGATATGTTAGCTCTGATCTTCAAGTTAGGACAGAGTATTGCACAAAAGATCAATCCAGATTGTTTTTACGGATTTCTGTTTGAGATGTTTTGAAATATATGCTCTTCTGTTGAAGAACTTTGTGATATATGTATAATACAATAGTTTAAGTTTATTTTCAAATTTTTTGGGGTATGAGGCATTGGTGCTTGTGGATAAGCCATTAGTATTTGCATATGCAAGATCAGAGGGTCAGTTTTCTTGGAGTCTCAAACTTCCCTCTATAATATTTCTTTTCTTGAGGCATCGTTTCCTTTTCTTCCCTCAAATTTGTTTTGGAGTTATGTCAGTTTGAGTTTGTTGCTGAGTCTTTTATTGTGGCTTTCTTAGAAGCAACCTCTTGTTGCTATCTTGTCAATATCTTGGTTTCTTAGGTATGCATTTTTTATTGATAATCATGGAATTGGTGTAAAGTCAAAATTTAACTGTTTGCCCTGTCAGGTGGATATCCAACACGTTTCATCTTAAACTGGTGTCACTTTGTTTACTATTTTTCTGTCTGATATTGATTACAGGCATCTGCCGAAGATATTTGATAGATATAGCAGTGCCGAAGGCTTTTTATTCCTTCAGGATGATACTATCCTTAATTACTGGAATCTGCTTCAAGCGGACAAGACTAAACTATGGATTACTGACAAGGTATTTTTTTTTTTGCTTAGTGCTCTACTTTTCAAGACAAAAGGTTGCCTTATTTTATCAATTTTGTTTTTCTCCATGCATGAGGATCATGTGCATTGTGTTGATATGCTGGAGCTTTGTTTCTTCCTTCTCACACTATATCATAAAAATCAGTATCTTAATGAATATCCATATCCATATTTTTTGTGATGCTGCATGCTTATTGTGAACAAAACCTTCCTTTCTAACACACATTATGGCATTTAGGTATCCAAGTCCTGGACAACTGTGTCAACCAATGGTAACACAGATTGGTATGCCAAGCAAGCAGAAATGGTAAGGAAAGTTGTTGGCTCAATGCCGGTTCACTTCCAAGTCAATTATAAGGAAGCTATGAAAAGTGACCAGAGCCTTGTGATAGGCGGTTCGGAGATATTCTACATTCCTCAGCACCTCGTTACTGACTTTGTGGATCTTGTTGGTTTGGTGGGTGATCTTGATATTCATCAAAAGGTTGCCATACCCATGTTCTTTATGTCAATGGATTCACCTCAGAATTTTGATTCAGTTCTGCGCACAATGGTATATAAGCAGGAGCCACCACCGGGAAATTCTACTCTTTATTCTGCTCAAGTACCTGCTGTTCATCCATGGAATGTGTCTAGTGAACAAGATTTCATTAAGCTGATAAGAATAATGGCAGAAGGTGACCCGCTCCTAATGGAGTTAGTTTGAAGGTAAAAACCATCTTTTAATACTTTACAAGAGCCAGAATAGAGGAAGAAAGATTAAAAGAAACCAGTACCACTTTGTACCTGTCACACCAAATTCTGTTTTTACTTTTTTTCCCAATTTTTTGTTGGGGGGCTCTTTTTCTTTTTCCTTAATTTTTTTGTAATTCTTCCTTTTAACATCTTTGTAGATTTACCTTGTATCATTCATTAACTGATGGGGATTCCCTCCAATGGAAAAATGTGTTAAATCTTTTTCTTTGGCAGAAAAATATAAGAGAAAAGGATACTTGTTTCAGTTTCTCTTTGTTAATTTGTTGATTTCGGTTTCTTCTTTTGCTCATATTTCAATGTTTGCCTTCCTTGTTGGGGCTTTTGGGGAGTATGGTTCTTGGTTGGGGTTCGTTTTTCTCGTCTGACTAGTTTATTAGGCCTTCGGTGTGTAATTCTGTTCAGGCAGCTGCTGCTGCTGGCCTTTCCTTCGCTCAATTTTGTTTTTGGAGTGCTGCTTTTATTTTTTTTTATTTTTCACTTCAAGCTGGCTTGCATGCCTGTGGGAGTATACTTTATCACGCCCTGGCTGGCTTATTAGCAGAAGGAAAAAGAAAAAGAAGACGGTTGAGATACTGTCTGATATGGGACTGTCTTGACAGAGCAAAACATCCTTGTACTCAAATTGCCCTTCTTCTTGGGTTTTGGAAGTGAAGGAATGAAACATAATTTTCATTTTAGGTATAGCTAGGAGAGAGAACATTTTTCTTCAGAGATGCTAACAAAACCATTGAAAAGGATTGAATTGCAACCACGAATTTTATAAACAAATTTTGCATTTTGAATCTTCCTGGGAGTTGCATCCATTCATTCAAAGAGAAACTACTCAGGAAATCAGCAGTGTTAATTGATATTTGCAACTCAAGTATCTACTAATTTACAATTTACCGATCAATACCTTCAATCTTGTCTTCAACTTCAGAGTACAACTGTCTTAACTTCTCAAGGTTCTCCTGAGAAGTTTCCCAGTACCCACGTCCATTGGCCTCTAAAAAGGTCTGCACCATCTTCCTAAACGAATTTGGGTTGGTGTTCATGAGTCTTTTCAGCATCTCCTCATCTTGGATGAAAGTTGAGTTAGCTTCTTCGTAGACCCAGTTGTCTACTTGGCCTGAAGTTGCACTCCATCCAACAGTGTTTGTAAGCCGCTTCTCAATTTCACGCACACCCTCATATCCAGTAGACATCATTCCTTCGTACCACTTGGGGTTCAACAATTTGGTTCGTGCATCGAGTCGCACCGTCTCAGATAGAGTACGTACCTGGAAACAAATTTGAACTTGTTAAGCATTAGACGGAACTTGATATTTTTAGACTTGGCTATTGAATCAGACCTTTGGATTGTAAGATATTGAAGTTGTAGGAATTGTCCAGTTGCTAACCTGAGCATTGGCTGTTGTTGTGTCTGCAATGTAAGCATTAGGCTTCTTCTTATCTTTCCTCAAGTTCTGCACCAAGTTTGTTGGGTCTGAATCAAAATAGTGACTCACGTCAGTGAGTGAGATTTCTGAGGAGTCAAGATTTTGGAAAGTGGCTTCCGCTGTGCTCAGAGCCATCTCAAAAACTTTCCTTTTCTCCATCATGCCTGCACCTGGGGCGTCAGAGTCAAAGGCAAAGGACTTCCTGCTCAAGTACATGTCTTGAAGCTGCTTCTCATCATTCCATGATGAATTCTCCACTGCAAGGTTTATGTTTGAGGAGTATGATCCTGAGGCATTAGAGAATATGCGTGTTGCAGCTTCCCGAATGTCAACGCCAAGGGCTTCAGCTTGTTCTTGAGCATGCTTCCTGACATAATTTTGATCAGCTGGCTCATCTAGTTCAGCTACCATCTTCACTGCACGATCGAGGAGGTTCATCTGTGGACAAAATAAAGGAAAATGATACAGAAGTTAATCAGTGAAAGGTTGAGACAAAACGTCGGCCATTAAAGCAAAGAGAATACAAAGAACTGAAATATTCATAAGTTAAAAATAACAAACTGGACAACTGATCCTCGTGATTTTCCCTAAATGAAAACAAATGAGTAAAATGAAAAGGACTTGGTACCTGATTGATAAAGAGATCTCTAAACACTCCTGAGCAATTAACGACGACATCAATCCTAGGCCTTCCAAGCTCTTCAAGACTTACAATTTCCACCCGGTTAACCCTACCAAAGGTATCAGCCACTGGCATCACTCCAATCATCCACAAGACCTGAGCCAGGGACTCACCATAGGTCTTGATATTATCAGTTCCCCACAATACAAGTGCAACTGTCTCCGGATACTTCCCACCATTGTCAGCTTTCTGCCTCTCAATTAATCTGTCCACCACAACTTTTGCACTCTGCATTGCTGCTGTTGTAGGAATGGCTTGTGGGTCTAGCGCATGAATGTTCTTTCCAGTTGGCAACACCTTTGGGTTTCTGATTGGGTCACCACCAGGCCCTGGCTCCACATACTTGCCCTCCAAGGCTTGTTTTAGACTCCCCAGCTCATTGTCAGCAACTACCAGTTTCAAACAGACTCCTAGGAACTGGAATAATGTTCTCAGCTTATCCCTATCTGCCCGGTAGAATTTTGTGTTTGACAAGTAATCAACCCATGGTTCATTAATACCAAACCCAAGGATCGAGCTAAGCTTATCTGCAACATCTACAACTTGACCCTTATTGTTAGTTGTTTTCTGCACAAAGGAAGAAATGGCACCACGTGAGGCCTCGGTTATTTGCCGAAGAAGTTCTACATCCTTCAAGATTCCCTTGTCACTCCCTCTATAAATGTCCTCTATGCTTCGTCCAACAGTTTCAGCTAATATTGATGGCAGCGATGAAATCTCATCTTCAGGACGGTCTAATGCTGCAATATTGACCAAGGTTGCGACAGCTTCCATTGCAGATGGAGGTTCACCAATGACATGAAGCCCACATGGCAAAAGCCGGGATTCAATCTCCATGATCTTGGAGTATACCTTTCCAACCACAAGATCTCGCTCCTTTGCAGAGATCTCCTCCCCCTCTTCAGGAAGCTCAACATCCTTGTCAAGATTGCATTGTCTAGCTGTACTGACAATGGAGCTCACAATCTGTGGCCCACGACCTGTGTCTTTGAGGGATTGGTATGAGGAGATGAGCTCGCTCAACTGCTTCAGGCCCTTGTAAAGTCCAGCATTTTCAGCTGGAGGGGTTAAATAGCTAATGGTATTCGCATAACTGCGGCGTTTTGCAATGGTGGCTTCAGATGGGTTATTGGCAGCATAATAATAGACATTGGGGATGTTCCCAATGAGACTGTCGGGATAACAAACATCGCTCATTCCCACCTGCTTCCCTGGCATGAATTCAAGTGAACCATGAGTTCCAAAATGAAGAACTGCATCAGCTTTGAAGATTCTCTCAACAAAGGAGTAAAAAGCAGCAAATCCATGATGTGGGCTAGCCGATTTGGAGAACAATAGTCGCATAGGATCACCCTCATAACCGAAAGTGGGCTGGACTCCGATGAAGACATTACCGTACTGTTTTCCATATACCAAGAGATTCTCTCCATCAGAATTCAAATTGCCAGGAGGTTTGCCCCAGTTTTCTTCCAATGCAGTGGCATATGGAGTAAGGCTTTGGTATTCTCGAACACCCATCTTGTAAGCAATGTTCAGATTTGGGCTACTAAATTGAGCCTCTTTATCATGCAGTATGTCTTCAATCAAGGCTTCAGAAGTCTCTGGAAGGCCCTCAACATTGTAGCCATCTCTTTCTAACTCTTTCAGAACTGAGAAGATGGAGGAGAAGACATTAAGGTAGGCAGCTGTTCCGACATTCCCCTTGTCTGGAGGAAAACTGAAGACAGTGATTGCTAACCTCTTCATGGTCTGCATTAGGTAATACACTTGTCAGTAAGTGATGAAAAAATATATTCAAATTGATTTCAAGTATTGTTTTATAGGAGAAGATAGACTAGGAAATGAAAATGTGAATCTTCTGTCACTAAAGTAGAGGGAGAGAGGTGAGTAACTAAAACAAAGGCAGAAGTGTACAGCCTATCCCTATCATTCCATTTGCATCAAATTACATTCTAAGCAGTTATTGAAGCATAAAGCTCACGGCTAATTGGTTAATTAGTGCACATATGCAATGTGTTCTCTGAGGCACATTCTCTCTTCATCACCGGCATGCATAGAAACATAAATCAAATTATGTAGTGGTAACAGAAGTTTACATCAGCAGTGGCACTTACTAATGGTATATATAAGTGCCCATCAGATGTCAATCATTTCATCATCTCTAATAAAATTGGCTGATTCCTATTAAAAAAAAAAAACAGATAATTTTCTGTCTTTTCTTTCTAAGAAATTCTTGTTTAACTTCTAAGCAAATGAAACGATGGTGGGAATGATGTAATCCTTCATTGTGTTCTAAGTATGCAGATTGCCTAAGCATTATGAACTAGTATGAACTTTTTTATTGTCTTCTTATTAACCGGAAGTAAATAACAAGACTCTAGGTTTAAAAAAAAGAAGAAGATATGACACAGCGTTTAAAGATTAGAAAGTTATGTAGCAAAAAGGAAAATACCTTTGATTTCCTTTTCAGTTCAGCCCATCTGATTGCCCTGGTGCAGAGCTGCTCCACCCTCTTGTGAAGAGCATGTGATTTCCCTGCAGTTAAATTAAAGCTTTTTTTTATTAACCCTTCACGAATGCAAGGTCATTTGTGCATGGATAAGAACTGCTTGGAATAAAAGTAATGAACAAGCTACGAAGTTTCAACTTGTAAAATAAAAGCATTGAAAGATAAAGACTTTGCTTGAACTGTAGTTCTTAAAATATTTCTGCCATTCTGGAAATGATATCAGCTCTAAGATTTTAATGTAATTCCAAATCTAATGAAGGAACCTAATTCATACGAGTACAAACAATAAGAAGACAAACTAAAGAAGGAAATTAGACTTGCCTGTTCTTGGATCCCGGCCGGCAAAAACAATGGGTTCCATGCCACCATCCAGCTCAGGAAGAGCAACTTGCAAAGCCACCTGAATTGGGTGCAGCCCCAAAGTACTGTTTAACCACTCCTCAGTTGTTTGAAACACCAAAGGCAATGCAACAATATAAGGCACATCCAGCTTGCTCAATGCCTCAATAGCTCTTGGATGATCCTGCCTTGCTGGCCCTCCAACAAGAGCAAAACCAGTCAATGATACCACTGAATTCACCATTGGTTTCTTTGTAACTGGATCGATCAAATACCTCTCAACAGGCCCTGAAAAGTCAAGTCCACCGGCGAAAATTGGTATCACTTTAGCACCTCTTGCCTCCAATTCCATAATCACAGCTACATAGTGACTCTCATCACCAGTTACGATATGACTCCTTTGCAAAACCAGCCCAATAACTGGTGCATTAGGGTCTTTAAGCTTCTCATTAGCATCCCTCCTGGTTCCATACCAATTCAAGTACTCCTTCACATCATCATACATACAAGGAGCCAAAGGGTGCCAAACTCCACTATCCAAGAACAAAACTGGATCGGAATACGCAATCTTTTTCCCCTTTAATGCAGGAACATAAGAACCAGATATCATTTTCAAGAAATTCTGCAAGTTATCTGGTGACCCACCAAGCCAAAATTGCAAACTCAAGATATAAAGCCTAGCATCTTGAGCCTTGTCGCTAGGTAAATACTTCAACACCTTTGGCAAAGTTCTCACTAACTTCAACATACTGTCAGCAAAACCTGCACCTTGCTTCTTTCTCTTGAACAACTGAAAGAATGGACTCTTTGATTGACCAAGCTGAGACATACTGAAAGAACCCAACTTGTTGAGCCTCATTACCTCAGGCATTGAAGGGAATACCAAAACCGCATCAAGTCTATCCCTTTCTTTCTCCACAGCAGCTTTAACCTTCAATGCAAGCTCCTCAACAAAAATCAATGATCCAATAAAGATATTTGCATCTTCAAGATCCTTACAGAAAGTTTTATATGTGGATTCATCACGAAGCTCCTCTACTAAGTAACCAACAACCTCATATGAGGCATCTTTGGAGCTCTTGTTTAGAGCTTGAACTGCAGCAGTGAGTGAAGATTGATACTGAGCTTCAAGGACTACATACACTATCTTCACAGTGGGGAGATTCTGGTGGTTTTCAGGTACTATTCGGCGAACTTCTGGGGTGGTTTGTGTGAATAGGCCATTGCCAATTGCATCACATTTTACTTTCAATGAGGATTTCAAGTTGGTTTTGTTAATTTTCTTGGGGAGAAATGAGTGAAGAAAGTAGTGTTTTTGAGATAGTGAAGACAGTTGGTCTGGTTTGGTTGACTGTAAAGTGAATGGTGAGGACACTAGAGAAGCCATTCTTGGTACGAAAAACTCACCCAAAGCAACTCAAAAAACAGATCCCTCTGTTTCAAAATCAGAGAGGGAGAGAAACAGAGCAAGATAAAACAGATTTTGTAAGCAAAAATGTACGACTTTGTTTCTGTTTCTGTTTCTTGTCTGTGTTTTTTGGTTGCGGTTGAATCGTGTTTCTTTTTTCTTCTCCTCCTCTACTTTCAGGAGGTTAAAAGGCTGAGAGTTTATAATTTGTGTGTGTGGAGAAGGAGTAGAGGGGAGTTTCAGAAGAAAAAAGTTGGTTATTATGGTTAGTGGTGGGAGGGAAGGACACGTGGCAAAATGGGTAGTCAAGGAATTATGATGAGAGTGTGGTTTCTGAGGCTGAGTTTTGTTGTCAAGTTTTTGGAGAGAGAAAATGGGAGTGTGTCTACCCATCTATCTGTTAGGGTTTTTATGATGGAGTTTCCTGAATTCTGATTGGTTGAATTGGATTTCCCAAAACTAGCACCGAGGAAAGTGAGGTGGAATTGGATGATGATGAGAGAAATTGAGTGACTAGATTTTTTCTTGCAGTGTAAGAGGGCCTTTTTGCCTTGCAAAAGATTCTTCACTTCGAGTTTGTGTTTCTTAGTGAAAAGGAAATGATACTTTTTTACGTGACTTCCATGGGGCCAGGTAACCTAGTTTGCGGCCAAGTGAAACTACTGTTCTTTTATTTGTCTTGTAGTCTTTTGGTCATGATTGGTACAAGAAACAACGTGGAGAAAAGAGCACGACAATCTGTAGGGGCGTACGGCAAAGCCCATGGTGTTAGTTACAGCAGCAAGATAAAGCTTTGGTAAATCATTGGTTTTCTCTGTTGCCATCCATGTCCCTCCCTTCTCCTTTCACCCTTTCCTCCATTTGCACATATATTATGCTTTTGTTTTGAAGAAAATCTTCTCTAGAGAGTCCTTCGATTAAATATTTGTTTCTTTCAAATGAGCAGGTTGAGAGCCATCCATATTTCTTTTGTCACGAACAAAAAACTTAAAGCCCTCATTTAAGAAAAAAAAAAAAACTTAACCAATTAAAGCATTTTTGCTATCATGATGCGAACAAAGCTTGGAAGAGAGGGTTACTGTTGTTCCTCCAAAATTTCATGTCTCTGCACTCAAAGACTTGCATTCAGTAAATCCCATCATAACCAATATTTGCGAGGCATCAGTGGCCCATGATTGCTATACGTTGTCAATTCAAGCCATGACAAGTCTCCATTTAGCCATTGGTTCGATGGATCTTCTCGGGAGGGCCATAGTTGCAATAAAGCATCATGTCCCATTGTATCAACTCACAAACATCAACACCATTAAGCATCATCCAGCAACAGCGACCACCATCAATCAAGCTATACAATAATCCAAAGAAAAAAGTTTCAAAGGCCATCAGCCTTGCACTTTAATTTGAAGATATGTTTAATCACTGTTAAAGAAAATGCGGCTTTCAATTGCTTAGAGATAAATGCAATCCTCTTATTATATACATGGCTAATTGATGAATGTGTGGGGAAAAAAAAGGCGATAAAAGAAGAGAGAGCTACATTTCACATTACAGGAGGCAGTCTGATACACAGTCAACTTAAAGGTTTTTGCTTAGTAGTAAATTGCAATCAAGATATCAATCCAAGTGGTTTTGGAAAACACTCTGTGCAAGTCAAGAAACGGTGTGGTTTCAAGTTCTGAAGCAGGAAAGGGAGTGGGGATTGCCTTCAAAATGAGGAATACAGAATATGCTGGCATAAAAAAATCTAATACCAATTAGTCTACCTGGCCACAAACGTGGGGAAGTTCTTTTTCTCCCAAAAGATATTATTCAACCATCTAGCAAGCGAAGGCTCAATCTAAGCTATAACCATCCACTACTACGATTGACCTGTTAGTATTTGCTGTAGAGAGTAATAGAGATGGAACAAAACGTGATGAAGTAACTTTTCCATTGATGCAAGTAACATTCTGCTAACAAGTTCCCCCCACACACCAACCAAAAAAAAACTCTTTTCGGAATTACTTGTTCCATGGTAGAAAGACGAAAGAATGAACATTGTATTTAAACCATAGAATTATTCCCTGCTGAAAGAAACTTAGTCAATCTCCATACCAGAAATGGCCTCGTCTAAAATCTCTTGAAGTTCCTTCACTCTCTGCCTTGTCAATGCGACACAATCCTGCAACCACAGCAAGCCACTTCCTTGTCAGCATCACATATATTAGTGTCTTATCAAGAAACAAGTAATGGTGCAAGCCATACTAGGAGTTCTTATCAACGTATCCTATAAGTTATTAGAAAGTTCCATTAGCTTTATCCAAAAAGGCATTCTGTATATGGCCTCCTGCATATCTGCTCTTGCATACTGTCATCAACAAATTGGATTTGAAAGGAAAAAAAAAAAGCCAGACAGATCTACTTCATTAAACATCACTTGTGTTGAGGATTAGAACTCCTAAAATGATCTGGTATTTGAAGGTGAAGCCATTTCAATTTTCCACAAAATCCCAATAGTCAAAACTTTTGAAAACCTTTAAAAGACTTGAGTTTGAATCCAAGAATTTTATTATCATGTCAAAACCACTCCCCAGAGTAGTGGTAACAGATTTATCATGACATAAACAACCAAAATGTGCAGGTTGCTTCAATTTATCATGGTTCAAAGGAACAGACTGCGAGGCTATAACTTGCAATGTGGTTTACTTCCTATCTTAATTGCAAATTGGATGGATCCATTCAACATTAAATTTGAGTTCAAGACCATCATGTATATTCTCAAAAGCAGAAACTAACCTGGACAGCTGATGTATAGGCAAGAACTGGTCCACCTGGCTTGTAAAATGACACAAGTCTAGAAGATGAATCCAAACCCACAGTTACAAGAGTTTCCATAATAGACTCTTCCTCTGCAGTGGGGTCTGCCAAGATGTAGTTCTTGTGAAGTATGCATGTCAAAGAAAATGGAATGCTGCTCAGTGTGAGCTTCCTCTTCTCCCTGTTGACAGGCTCCTTCTCCAATTTTGTTCCATCATCTTCCTCCAATATGACTACTATTTTTCCATCATCATTTAGGGAAACTATGGGGATTTGCACTGCACATTTTAAGTTTCCATAATAAATAGAGGCAGCAACAGATAAACATATGAATTGCAAGCAGAGTTTAATTAGTAATAAAATCACATTCATTGATGCAAACTAAAATTATAGAAACTGTTCAAGCTTGGACTGAGTTCATAAGGAGAAAAAGGGCAACAAATTACCTATGCTACTTTGCCTTGGGAATAAATTACAATAGCTGGTGTGCCAGAAAAAAAGGTGAAACTGGGTGTCACTGCACATTTTGTGTCATTTAATAGGCTAGAAAAGTGATCAAGGCTTATTGTATACCAAAAATGTGGGAAGCCATTGATACCATGCATGGTTCAGACAATGAAAATTATCTGGAATATAATGCTGCAGATAATTCTTAAATCAAATGATTTTGAATCATCCAACCAGATCAGATGATATCAAATCATCGAAAAATGATGACCATCATGATTGACGTTTTTAGGCCAGCAAGATATTCACAAGAAACTGGCTTTCCTTAACATAATTATTTGGGCATACTTCAGTCAATTTCGATTAAAAAAGAAAATGAGGAACTTCTGAAACCTATTCTTACATATCTAAACTGACTTTCACTAAATCCTCAACTCTTTTGAGCGGTTGACATAAAAAAAGTACAAGAGCTTTAAACTACTGGAGAACCAGACACAATCTTCAAAAACGAAAGCAAATCCAGCCAATGAATTTCAATAGTATATGCAAAATGAATTAAATTCAAACTTTCAATGTCCATGAGAAGCGATGCCAAAGTAAGTGAATGAAGAAAATTGTGTCTCAGAATGAGGTATATGGGCTTTAGGTAAGAATGCTGTTTTTATAGTTTATGACTAGTTTCACTTTAACTGGCCACGGATTATGTGAACATGTAAAGGGTGCAGTCTTACAGTGAGAGAAGGCAGCAACAGCTGAAAGTAATGCAGCATCAAAAAGAGCACCATCAGCATCCAAACAATATATGTCCTGCAAAAGACATAATGTTTGTTTATTTGTCATCCAACAGAAAAAATATATCATAGCCTATCAAAGTAAGCAAAAGCTTACTCTTATGCGGAACAATATAAAGGAAAAAACTCTAATGAATGCCCGATATACATTAAAAGCATTTCTGATTTGAAAGACGGAAAAGAAAAAATATAGGCAGTGACCACCTTAATTTTGAAGCCAACAAATAAGAAAGAAGAGGGTGGAAACCAATGCTACTAACCAGGTACGCTATCCAGGCAGCTTTTCCGCTGACCAAGGACAGTTCCTTGAGGTTAATCATGCCAGAGCTGCAATGACCAATGACAGAAAATGCATGTCAAACGAGTAATATTACTGAACAAGATATGAATCCAGTATAGATAAATAGGACAAGTTGATTTCAATAAGCCAACAGCTGTTTTTAGCCAACACAATGACGCAAAGACGTGAGGCCTAGGTGAGACACACATCTCTGCACACAACTGGGGGGAAAATCAATGGTAGCAGAAAAAAGATAACAAAAGAAAGACTTCACTTGCCTTGATATAGTATCAGATAATTGCTTTGATATCACTGGTGCTGCCTCAGCAGGCCTACCAGGCCTAACAATTGGAGAACAAATTGGAGGCATGTGGAAATCAATAGCTGAAAATAACAAGATTCATGTATTGACATACTATAAATCAAAGTAAGAGGAAAGGTACATATGCATCTACATTAAATAAGAAAAAAACAAAATTAACAGTTCATGGCTAACAACCTATGCAGCCCTCGTCTGGTGACTCTGTTGACGGGGTCATCACTTCCATTTTTATGGCAGCCAACATGGTCTTGCAAAAAAGAAATCACATGTCTTTGAATCAGATTACTCAAACAAGCACCTTCAGACACACACATGAGTAAGAGAGAGAGAGAGAGAGACTAACAGTTGAACCAATCTTTGCCAATGCTGACCCATGAGCAGATGCAACAGCCCCTGCACATTAATAACATTTCAGTTCAATCATCAAGATCATACGAGCAACATCCAGCTAAGAAAGTGAAAATGAGAGAAACTGTGACTAAAACAATGCTAAACCTACCTAGGGCTAATGTTGTATCTCTAGCTCTTCCAAGAGGCCTAGCATCAGGGCGTACAGATTCTGAGAGGTGACGTTCAAAATAGCGAAGAGGGAAGAGGCGTCTGAAAGCATCCACCTCCATCTCCGATGACAAGTCCCCTGAGGCATCTGGCACCCCCATTCTACTTAGTTTGACTCCCTTAGCTCTAGAATATGAAAGGCAGCCTGTAATGTAAAACCAAATTAACCAAACTATCAAAGTTCATTGTTTTAAACACTCCCACAATAAAAAAACAACCAAGATATTAAACAAGCCTTGAGCACCAATGCAAAAGCAATTATTATTTTTTTCTAACAAAACACTGAAGCATATTTAAGTTCAGATTCTTAGCATAGGCTGCAGTATAATTGTTAAGGAGCTAAGAAGCAGTGTTGAAAAACACACAAAATTGGAACGAAAAAAAAATCACAACTTCCTATTCTTCATTCTCTATTGCCGCAAACAAAACCAATCAAAACAAAAATAAAAAAGAAAACACTGAAAACCCAAATTTCACTCTCTATTCTATAAACATGGAATTAACAGAAGACAAGAAAGTGAAAACCCTGAGATGGGCTTATAGCTTTTGTTGTTACCTGTTAGCTATCAAGGTTGAAACGTTAGCGGAGAACAAAGTCTACTTGTGGAGTTAGAGAGCAGTGTGTGAGCTGTGTACTTCGGCCAACGGAGACTAGAGGTTTAGCCGAGTTTATTTTTCCGTTAGGGGTTTTAGCCCATAAACCAAGAAGCCCTAAATCCTAATTGGTCTTGTTTGTCCGACCCATTAAAATTCTAGCTTTGTAATTTTTAACTTCAATAACATTTTTTTTTAATTGTACGAACAATTATAAAGCATAGATTTGGATATTAGATACAAGTATGATATGAAGGTACATTAAATCTCATGAAAGAGAAGAATTATCTTATTATTCCTTGGTCTTTTTTTATCTTGATATGCATATCCAAATGGTATAGTATGAAAATTATTAGTATGTTTGAAAATTTTAATTTGAATGTTGTTTTTATATATTTCAAGACTCACTTATAGTAATCCGAATTTTGCATTATTATATACAACTTTAATCCTTTTTGCCTGAATTTTTTTCTAATTAACCTAAGAATGTTACTATATTGGTTTTCAAAAGCAACAAGTAAAATCATCCTAAAAATTGAATAACGTGGAAACAATCCATATTTTTACCTTTTTGTTGTTAAAAGTTCTAATTAAAAGAGGATGGATATTATTTTGATTCATGACAATAAGTTAAAAAAAAAAAAAAAAACTTTTTAATACTTTTTTTACTAAGTCAATTGAGTTTTTTAGATAAAAATATGAAAATGCAAGATTTTTGTGTTTGTTTTTAATTTGATAAAAAAATATTTTTGAATCAATTTATTCATCAATCAAAATTTAATATTATTTGTCAAATAATTTTAAGGACGTATGCTCAAGATGCAGATGTTATGAAAAAATTGCAAAGTTAAAACTTATATTGCTAAAAAAAAAAAAAAAAACAAAAAACAAAACAAAAGGTTAACCCAAGTTCTGTTTAAAATCACTTGCACGTTCATAAAGATTCTCCAACTCCAACTAGAGCTAAAACCCTACACCTTCGTTGGACCAGAAAATCTGAAAAATAGTTAAATCAACTCTGCTGTCTAACAGCCCATCAAAAGGCAGAGACAACCAAAGTAAAGAAAACGAGAAAAAGACCATGGCTTGCAATTCCTCAGGTTGCCAATCCAACTGTTACAAAAACGATGACCAACTATCAGACTCAAAACCAACACCAGCCAACAATTCTAACAATGAAACCCTTAATTTATGCCTCAAGTGCAAGACCAACAGCCCCATTTCTCCTGGGTCTCTTTCTGGTGATGAAGCACGCTTTTGTGCTGATTGCTTTAGAAGTAATATCTATGGGAAGTTCAGGCTTGCTGTCACCTCTCATGCCATGATATCTCCTTCTGATAACGTTCTTGTTGCTTTCTCTGGCGGCCCTTCTTCCAGGTTTCCTTTTTTTCTATGTAAATTGATATGTGAGCCTTTTTTTAATTACATTGTGATTTCATATTTCTATTGTCATTTTTTTTTGTGGGAATTTTTAGGATGGGATTTTGTTTAATGTAAAGATTATGCCTGATGGAATTACTATAGTTGAATTATGCAGTTTTTCTATTATTATTGGAATAAAAACTAAAAAAATTCTTCACCTTTTTTGGCTCCAGTCAATAAATCTCTGTTAATTATTTATTTAGGATGCATATTTATTGTTTGGTGAAGTTATTTGCACCTTTTCCTATTAACATAGATTAGTTTGAGTTAATATTATGGACATGTAATAACATCATAAGTTCTCAACATACCAGATTGTATGACTTTATGGATGAAGAGGTTTATGATTGTATAAAAAATTAAATTTTATCCTTTCCATTTCTGGTTTTCGAATTTGTTTTCTAAGCAAACTTGGTTTGGTTTCAGGGTGGCTCTACAGTTTGTACATGAGTTGCAATATAAAGCACAAAAGAATTTTGAAGCAAGTAAGGATAGATCATTACCAGTATTTGGTGTTGGAGTAGCATTTATTGAAGAAAGTGCAGTCTATCCAGTTTCTTCTGACAAAGCTGATGGAGCGATTCAAGATATGAGATTGGTTGTGTCAAATCTAGCCCCCCAACAAAACAGTTGCATGTTGTTCCGATTGAAAATATCTACACTTCAGATTCAAGTGACTGTAAGGATATATTGACGAAGTTACTAGATGCTGTTAATGATGCGACCGGGAAAGAAGATCTTCTACTGCATCTGCGAATGATGGCTTTGCAGAAGGTTTGGCTCTAGATGTGATATTAAACTGCAATCATAAGATAAAGAATCACGTGCTGAATCTTTTTTGTTATGCTTGTAGGTTGCGTCTGAAAATGGATACAACAGACTTGTTCTAGGATCATGTACATCAAGGATTGCTCGCCATGTCCTCGCAGCAACTGTGAAGGTTTGTCTTTCAATTAAAGTTGAAGTCTTGAAGGTCACATTAGTTTGGAAGCATATAGATATGCTAGTTATCTTCCATGGTGAATATGGTGAGCTATATAGAGTATTAAATGGGTTCCGAAAGAGAAATCATGTGATGTTGGTGCTCTTTTATCAAGTGATGTAATCTCAGATCGAATGAAAAAAGAGTTGACACACACTTGCTACACTCTAGGCACTTTTGACCCAGTAATATCCATTGGTTTGTCTCATTAGAAATAAGAAAAAAAATTGCTACTATATACTTTGGATAAATCTTATGATATTCAAAACTATTGATCTTATTCTTCAAAAAATGTTGTTCTTGATGGTCTGTCCTGAAATCGTAATGCAAATTGTAAATCGACGAGTTATAAAGGGAAAGCATTGCAGCATCTCTAAAGGAACAAAAATTTTAGTTGGCATCTTATTGGTTGTTATCTTATAGTTAGGCGTGACATGTTATATGCTTAACTTAGAAGAAGATAGGCATTCCAAAATCAATTTCAAATAAGCTTTCTACTAATTAATTTTAACTTCTTTTATGTGATTTGATAATCTTAACAAATCTACCAATTGATTTTAACTGGCAAGGCCATGTTGACACCAACCGAAAGGATGGGCATATAGGGTGGTGTTAGAGCTTTCCATGTTCTTTTTATTTGGATGGGGTTAAGTATCACAAGCACATATTCTATTTGCAGATTTCATTTTATGAAATCTATTTTGACTGCACTGCTATCAGATAGCTGTCATTATCTGACAGCAGATATAGTCCAAAATTTTGTTATCTGCAGAACATAAAACTATGGGGAATGGTCAGTTTATGTGAATGATCTGAAAACATACAACTTCAACAACTCATTCTAGCAGCTAGGTTGGGTCACAGTGCTTTCTCTAACTGTAACTAGGTGCAGAAGTAAAAACATACTTAATGCTTTCATTGCAGGCCTTCTTTTCATTAACCTATGTTCTGTATATGTGGTTTATTAGCTTTCTCATGTTTTTTAACAGGGCCAGGGATACTCTTTATCAGCAGATATACAATATGTTGATGCAAGGTGGGAGATACCAGTAGTGCTTCCCCTTCGTGACTGTACTTCACAAGAGCTGAACTTGTTGTGCTGCCTTGATGGGTATGTGATTCGCACTTTCAGCTATTTTATATAGGATTCTCTTCCACGCAATAATTTTCCTTGTAGATATATAATTGGTGTGAAATTATTTAGACTACTACTGAATGGTGATTGTTTTCTCATCCTGGCAGGGCAGTCTAAAGACTTTGCAGCTGTTTGACAGTTTTCCCTCTGGAATCAATGGTTTGATATCTTCATTTGTGAATCTCTTGCAGGTAAAGAAGTTCTGTTGCTTTCCTAACAAATTTTGTTCGGGTCCTTTTCCTCTGTTGTGCTTGTGTGTGGGGTTTATGCTTGGTGGAGTTCATTTTTGCATTGTTCTCAGAATGTTAATTTGTTGAAGCAGATAACACCTGCTTTGTTATTATTATTATTTTTTTTAATGTTGAATTTACTTTCGTTTTTGTATACTCTTTAAGAAAAAACTTTTTGCTATTTTGGTTTGAATGTTTCTGCCCTTGATTTTTCTTGAACATTAACTAGCAATTTACTGACAAACCTTTTGGATTTTAGGAAGAAAATCCTTCTCGCGAGTGCACGATAGTACGAACAGCTGGAAAGCTTACTCCATTCGAATTCAACAGGATTCCTGAAATTGATGATTGCAATGTTCCTTTGGCTACTCGAAGGCGTCAAAAGAGATGCAATCTAAAACCTAAGGAATTTATTTCCTCAGAGTTGTTCTGTCTCATTTGCAATGGCCCACTCAAGAATTTTAATTCCTTGAGTTTGAGCAGTCTTGATAGTTGCCAAAGCTCAAGGTTTAGTGCTGCTTGTTGTTCGAGTTGCCAGTTTCAGATACTTCCCAAGGATCCCTCATCGATGGAGAATTTCTGTTCACTTTTACCACGGCAAGTGGTTGGCAGAGCAAAGCATGGCAATTGTGGCAATTTAAGTTTGCTAAGGTGAGAAATTACAAATTTCATCATCACTTTTTTCTTAATTTGAGTCATAACATAGGAAAAAACTTGTATTTAAGTACCTTTACTCTCAGCATGCTTGGTGGCTCAGGCATAAACAAGTATATGCACCGAGCTTTGGCCTGCCACAGTTCAGAGTTCAGCAACATTGACTCTATTTTAGGGCTATATGCAAAGGCCTGTTTGCTCTTTTTTTTTTTTTTTTTTTTTTGGCTTAGCAATCGCTCAAATTTCTGCTCTGCATATCTTAACACCACATGCATTTCCTAATCGTGTGTAATTCTGAAAGAAATTTTCTTCTTGCAGGGAGCAAATTCAAGATTGCTTGCTTTCAGACAGTGAAAATGAAACTTGAATAACGTGCCTGATTTCAGAATCCTTCCCTTTCCTGGTCGTCAATGGTTATTTGGTATTGGATGCTATAGACAGTTCCATGAAGACAGCTCTAGCTTGCAGCTATAACTGACATCATCCCATGCTTCCCAAATAACCTCGTATGGGGCTTGTCATTCATAATTGTCCTAAATATCTTTCATTATTTATTTCAAGCCTTGATGAAATAAACTAACATTATAGTTTGTATTTAAGCTGGAATTATATCCTAGAATGACGTGAGCTGTGCTCTTTGTGGCCAATTCTATGCACAAGAGCGTCTGTCACGCATGCGCATGTATTTCCTTGGAGGGCCATGACACATGGTCTGGGTAGTGAATGGGATAAACCTGTCTCGTTAAAGTTGTTGTAAGAGTTGCCACCTCTCTTTTCTGGTGATGAGAGGTCACACTTTTTTACCTGAAGAAAGAAAGTAGGTCTTCTTTGATGAAGGATATAGTGAGGTGAGACTTGTACTCTCTTCTTCCCAACTTCCTATAATTAAGAAAAAATTAATATGGTACCATAATCACTCAGTCCTTTTCTTATTATTATTATTTCTTTTGGCAATATTATGAGTTTCTTTTTTCATAGAAGGTTAGACTGCTTTCTATATTTTTCTTACTAATTGAACAAATAAATTGGAATTTCAATCCGTTTAGATTACTTTCTATATTTTTCTTCCCAATTGAATAATTTATTTTTAATTACATATATGGATACAGACTCTTATATTACCTTTTTGTAAAATATATAAATTTGTGCTTCGCTCCAAAATTAAAATTTCTCATAAGTTATTGAGGTAAGAAGAAGAGTTTTTATTATTATTAACAGTTGACCAAAAATAAATAAATTGTTATCTTTATCATGTATATTGTAAGGGTAGATTTTATTTTTGATGTATATAAAAAATATTTATGTATAAAAGGATTTTATACATTGCCATAGTAAATAATCCATCTTTTTTTATACAAATTTCAAGAGGTAATAATTTTATTACAAATTAATATTTTAAAATCAATGTGCCGTCCGAAAAACAACATTGATTGCAAAGAAGGTTTACACCACATTCATACCTTGTATTTTTTGAATTTTTTTATTAACACTTTTTTTTTAATTTAAATTTTTACTTTTAAAAATTTGTTGATTCATATTTTAGTTAACGGTTTCATTCGAGGTGACTAGTTAAAATTGACAGTTTGGCTCATTTTCAGCTCCTTCAACATCATACTTACCGTAATCATTAATGACTAAAGATCCATTTTCGGATGGTGACAATGCTGGGCAGGAATCAGGGTAAAGCTCATGAGCCAATGACTCCTCTTGGTTAATAATTGCAAGCCAAGTAGCACTTTTGTCTCACAAGCTTGCGGATCTTGGCAGGAGACATATGCTTAGCCACTGCTGTGCGAACACCCACCTTCCTTGCCTTCTTCAAGTCATGAGGTTTCTTGTAAGGTTAAGCCCCTTGGTCCTTCGGCAACCCCCAATTGAGGCCACCATGGTGGACAAAAACCATTCTCTTATGGAAACCACCTATTGGAAGGATAATGCTACATCAGTACAGACAAGAGCGAACCAAGGATGGTATCTTGAAGCTTCTGCAAGGTGTCTGGGGTTACCAATTGAATTACTACCCTCATTTTTTCTCGAGATTGAATTATCTGCTTGGTGCTTTGTTATGGCAGCTGGACCATTTCGATCAAACCTGACTTTGTCCTTCCACCATTCTCGAAGATTATCTAATGCCCTAGTCACTGGCTTTCCCTTCTTTGGTATAATCCCATAAACAAAACCTTGAGCTTTGCAAACTTCCATCATCCTCAACATGTACTTCAAGATTGAAAAATACGAAGAATGTTGAAATTAGGGATCTTCAAAATTTGGGATTTAGGGATTTTAATTTTCAGAATGAGTTGGGCAATTCTGATTGAGAAAGAACAAGAGAGAGAGAATTAGGAGAGAACTTCCGATTGTTTTGATTTGGGTGGGTTTGGGATAACGGGGACAACGTTGTCTTTTCGTAGGATTTTTTAATACTAAGTATTAGTTTATTAATAAAATTATTTTTTTCTTTAATTTTGAATTGGAAAATTGTTATTTAGGGCCACTACGGCCGTGTCGCTCTGTTATTAATTGGTGTTAATTTTAACTTATTACATTGGATATGAATAGTTATTGTTATAACAGAAAGTTTAAATCAGCAAATTGTTAAGAATAAAAAGTTTCAATCAAACCAAAATTTAAGATTTAACGATTTTAATTTTAATTTCAATTTTTTAATAAATTAATAATCATTTAATGTTAATGATAGCAATAAATAATTAAAATAAAATTTTTTAAAGCACGATATATTATTTAATAAAATTAAAAGAATATAAATTAAAATCAAATAAATATATAAATGTGTTAAGTTATATAAAAACATTAAAAACTTAAAAATAAAATAAAATATAGTTCTTATTATTATCATATTCTGTATCATCTTTTGACTGTTGCATATGTTTCTTTAGAGAGTGGAAACATTAGCTTGATATAAATTTACAAGGAATTATAGGTAAAGATATCTAAAAATGAATGATGAAGCCAATAAAATGCAAAGCAAAGTTCTTACCTAAATGCTAAAATTTTCACAATTTTTATGTCAATCTGAACAAAAACAAAGCTAAAGATGTTAAACTAGAAGACCGTTGTGACTTCAAATTAAGGACGTAAAAGCACAATTACTTAAATTTTATATAAAACCAATGAATTTAATTTACATTTGTCTCAAAACCAAATTCAGCCTCAATTTTATCTAAAAACGCCTTAGAATCATTGAAATAATATCAATAAACTCGCTTAAAACCTCAAAATCCATTTTAATTCACACAAAAAATCAAATAAAAAAAAACTCAAAATATTTTAGATTTTCAATTTATGTCATCTTATATTTTCATATCTTGCCATTACTATAAATGAATTCTATTATTTGAGACCAACAAAGTGATGGTAAGATCTACTGTTGGGGTCAAAGCTGATCCTCTCTCTCCCTTCTTTCTCTCTCCTCTTAAGATGCAGGGATCAAAACAAATCAAAAATAAAGTTTCAAATCAAAAACATTTTTCAAAATAGAGGGACCAAAGTGAACATTTTTGGTGCAAACAATAAATGAATAGTGATTTTAGGGAAATTGAACAATAACTAAATAGTGAAAATAGAGATAATGTACTGTCTTTTTAGGTTTTGTTTTGGATGCAAGCAGTAAATGAATAATAATTTTAGAGAAAATGAATAGTAAATGAATAATGAAAAAAGAGATAGTGCATAGTGTTCTTAGGTTTGTTTTGGATGCAAACAGTAAATGAATAGTGATTTTCAAAACAATGAAGAGTAAATAAATGGTGAAAATAAAGATAGTGTACAGTATTTTTAGATTTTGTTTTAGTATATTTAAAAATGTGAAAATAATTTCGTATTATAAAACATATCAGGATGCTATATGTATATTCTATTGGGTTACAAAGGAGCCCAGGCCCAGGCCCAAACCCAGAGCAAACTACCTGCTCACGCTTAAATCTCCCATGCACCCCTGATCCTTTACCAGCAACTCTACTCTATCAAAATTAGCTAGAGCATTTGCACAGCCATTACCCATTAGCCACCCCTAAACTTGAAGGAATTGGGGTCCCATTCTCCAGGGTTATTTCTTTGATCTCCAGGTTAATATTAATATGTCCAACCACAAGGAGGAAGAAAAAAAAAACAGAGCAAACCACAACATGTCCTGATCAAAGTTTCTGAAATATGATCCCCAGAGTAGTGCATTTGTGACTGAGTGTGTTTCACGCGTCAGACGATCTGCTCTTTGATCTCCATGCCCTGCCGATCAGTGGCCGTATAAATTCAAGGATCACATTTACGATCTCAAATTCGGGAATTAGCACTTCTCTAGAATAATTGTTGTGAGATTACATCTAAATAGAGTCAAGTTGATTTGAGAACTCCTATATGAATAACCATTTTCAAAGGTAGGGCAGCGGGTTTGGACAGGTAACTGTTGACAATTTTGATACAGTGTGAAATAAAGGACTCTACCATTGACTAAAAAATTGGGAACTGCTTTTCTTAAGAGTAGTGCACTAAAAACAAACAATCAAAATAGATATAATTTCAACTTACCAATTTACAATATACAACTAAAATGTGAAGTATGCTTACGGCTCGTTTCTCTGCTAAACAACATAACACTAGGAAAATATGTCTGAGATGTTTTCTCTTCAGACTGTATATCAGAAACACCCTCAATGTCTTGAACAAATGGATTAACAAACCAGCAGCAGTATAAGCGATCATCAACTTCATATAATGAATGAGAAAAAAGAATCAAATGTGTGAACTCACACACACAGGCTATTGAAGGTAGATCAAGAAATTTGAGAAAAGAATTCCTCCAACTGATTCTCCCTTATCACCACACCGAGTTGCTGAGTGAAAACTGAATTGATCAAATCAGCCTCCAGGCCCTCCACATTTGTTAATTCATTAGACGCATGAATCTCCATGTATTCATTCAAGTTGTGAATAGTTTCATCTGCAGTTACATATACAAACATTTCAAAATTTGTGATAATTATAGCTTTTCAAATTCACTTATAGCCTTTTAAATATCATTTTTCAAACTGTTGAACAGTTCATTTTAAGTAGTTTAATTCTACCTTGCACCCTAAAAGAATGTCACTGAGTAAAATCTGCACTTAGGTTCTCATGTGAGTGGGAAGTTGAGCAGTTTCTTGTTAACAAAAACAAGTGTGAACCATAAAGGATTTGCTGCCAAGTACAGAGCTAGTTCATTCGTGAAAAATTGATAATTTAAAGGAGCAGTATGACGACCATACGAGAGTAAATATTCTATTTCAATGATTTGTCAGATACTGCATGGATCATCTTTCCATAACAGATATAATGACTGAATCTCCGGCAGAATATCAGAAATACCACCCATTTGATACAGATGCAACAAACAGGACATGTGGATCTTGGGCAACTTTCTTCTAGATCTCACTGTGAATGAAACGGTATTATCAAGCTTAAAACCAGCACAGAGATATTTATACAGCTGTACACAGAATTTACCTTCAGCTACTATGGGTTCATATGCAGGAGGTTGAGCAATCCAATTACCAGCAGAATCTTTCATGTGTCTTCTATCGGATGCAAAGCAACGGAAAAAAATTGGAGCATGCACAATTCGGAAAAACCTGATACCAAGAAAAGCATTTTATTACATTGAAATCATATTATGGCACATTTAGTTTCACATATAAATAAGCATATACCCTTCTCTGTATATGACTGCAAAATATCTGAGATAAAAGTTAGTGCTCTTTAGAGAAATAAAATTCATGCCATAATTCAGAAATTTTAATTTTGTTATGACTGAGGGTAGTCTGGGATATAATATTTAACCACAGCGATTTCTTCAAATCGGTAAATAATGAGGACAGTCTAGGCTTTCTTAGGTCCTAGAGAAATAGTAAAAATAGTAAAAAGCGTTCTCATGTATAAACTACAGAGAGGAATGCCACTTTTAGATACCATGGTACGAGAAATATAATTATGCTAGAATCTTTTTAAGTCCAGGTAGTAATCATCTTCTATCCTTCTATAACTATTCTGAATTTCAAGCAACATTCTTGTTTCTTTCCCACTTTTCACCCCTAATTATATACTCTTAAAACCATAAAAGGCAGATGCATCAAATGACACCTAAAACCTCACAAACCAGCTGCTGTTACTGTTCATGCTCAGTTCCCAGCACAGACAGCCTCCAAATTTCCTTCTTCTCTTCATCCTCTAGACCCTAAGTAACACCTCAAGAATCACCTTACAAACTTCAAAACCAACAAATTCAAAAGCATATTCCATCAATTAAACCATACAAAAAGTCATTTCATCAGCCAACCCCCCAGCTGCCAGAAAATTCACTAAGATGATTCTGATATTCCAGCAACAAAAAGAGTCATGCTTTACCATATAAACTTCGCCTATTTAATCCTCAATTTGTTCTACAAATCTGGATCAATCAATTGCTAAGTTTCGCCTCTCATAAAGCCATGACATGTCTTACGTCAAGGAGATTTTTTACTTTTTTTACTTTCTTTTTTACAGGAGAAGCATGTGAAAACAGAACTCATTAGTATTTGAATCAAGTTAAAGCCCAATCAAAAGAAAGCCAAGAATTCCATGCTCCTCAAGTTTGAAGAAGTATTCTAATTTCTCACAAGCTAAAATCATGGCTGCTTTGCTCTAGCAATTCGGCACCCAGACCATTTTGGGATCATACATACTACAGGAGAAACAAAACATAACATTTGCCAAAATACATCCTCAAAATGCATTGACCTGCTAATAAAGAAAGCACTATTTCCTAAAACAGCTAATGTTACCTTTGGTACTCATTGAAGAGCTGAAATGATGGTCGGATGGTTTCGGAGACATATGAAGTTAACGGAGAAGGAAAGGGAAGACTTGAATCCAAATCCCACACTAAATGAGAGTCCCCGCCTCTTTTTCTCTGCACATGCCATTTTAAACCTTAATGTATACAAACAGCAAAGCAAATTGCCATTCAAACCAAAATTAAACCCACTCAACCATCCTGAAACCCCAAATAAAGCAGAATAATTTACCACACCACACAAAAATTCTATGCGAAAGAGGGTTTAGCTCTCACCTGAATGCAAATCACATGATAATCCCAAAGAATGATTCCATCCGCTCTCGTACTAGCCTTTTGATTCCATAGTGGGATCTAAATAAAAATTTTGGTTCAAAAGTTAGTATAAAAATTGACAACAAGTTTTCTCATATACCAAAAGAACAAAACATATTCACTCATGCTTTCATTACCTACAGCTAAAAAAACAAAGTTAGCCGAATGACATAAAGTCGCCATCTAAAACAATAACAATGCAAGTTAACGGGAAAAAAAAACATAAAGTAAACATTGATGCAATACAATAAAAACAAACATGCCTGTTTCTTTTCATTGGAAATGAAAACAACAAAAAGATCAGAACCGTCAGCTTCTGCTATACCATCCTTGCATAGTTTCTTGAGAAGAAAATAAACATTCTCTTCACTGCAACAATACAATATTACACAACCAGTAAGAAAAATAATTGGTATAAAAAAAGAAAAGAAAGAATGATCAATCAACTAAAATCCCATAAAAACCAGACCATGATGAAATTCATTAGGCATGTGCATTAAAGTTAAAAAAAAAACACGGAAAGGTCAGATTTTTACTTATTGGGTTTGCTCAAAAATTGCTAAAATAGTAAGAGAAGTGATTTTAAGTATTGCTTGTACCAGTAAAATGGAGTGTAAGTGAACTGAGAAACCTCCAAATTTCTCATTTTTCTCTGGCTTCTATTCTCAGTTTGATCAGCTTTATATTGATGTCTTCTGTAAAGAGCGAGCACCCTGTCTGAGCATGATTTTCGCTTACTCAACGACTCGTCGTGTGAAAACTCGGAAGGGTTTTCATTTTCTTACGGAATAATGGCATTTTGAGTACCTTTACTGAAACATTTTTTTTCTATTTAAATATTTGCAATGATTTTTTTCGTATTAGAGTGTTTATACTCTTGAATTTTGATCAATAAGTACCTTCGTCAGTTTTGTTGTCTGAATACTAACAGTCTAACTTGACAGCTAATTCTCTGCCAAATGAAACCAGATTGTGAATTGTTTTAGTATTTTTCATTTATTTAATAAAGTACCTGTACTTTGTAATGTTTTCTATTTAAATACTTATATTCATAAACTTTGATCAATCAAGTACTTTAAAAATATTTTATTATAAATGAGCCCATATATCAGTTATCTCAAATACAAGTGAGCCTCATGTGTCCGAAATAACCATAATTTTGTCATTTTTCAACATTTTATGTTCCCATTAAGAAATTGAAAATGAAATAAAATAAAAATAACAAAATATTAAAAAGGAAACTAATAAAACCAATTAATTAATTATATAAGTTTACATTTATGTTACCTGATTAATTCATCAATTTTATTCCATTTCTTGTTTTTTTTTATTTAAAAAAATCAATATAAGCACTCAAATAGAAAAATAATAAATGGCTACACTATTTAGGTGTTGCTAATTATATTGAGGAACTCAATCCATCATAAAATTAGAAAAAAACTACTAATTCATATGAATTAAAACTATTTAAGTAGATTTATATTTATTATTGACTATTTTAATGGATCATTATGATGTATTTGGTTTGGTGTGTATTAATAATCTACGTCCATGCAATAATTTCACAATGAATTTGAGCAGACGGTTCAGTTTGTAAGAAAAAGAAAAAAAAACGTTGGAGGATTGATTTGATTAACTATTAAAAATTGAGAGAGCAGAAATGATTTTTTATCTTCTCTTCAAAACCGGGGATTGGGTTAAATCAAATAAAACCCCCAAACCCAGGAGCCACAGAACCCACCACCACAAGTAGCAACCACCGCCGAAATGGAACCAGAAACAGGCAACAAGCCAAAGTCTCCACCGCCACAACCAAAACGCCGTTCAATCTGCGACAATTGTGACCGTCCAATCCCAGTTTGCCTCTGCCACGTCATTCCGATCCCACCAATCCCAACAAAAACACAAATCATTATAATCCAACACCCCCACGAATCCCACCACAAACTCAACACTACACCTCTCCTCACCAAATCACTCCTCAACTCCACCTCCATTATAACCCGCCGCCTCACCTCCAACACCCTTACAAACCAACCACCTTCCTCCACGTACTACCTATTCCCACCCTCACAATCCTCACCAGCTGTACCTCTATCGAACCTCAAGGCAGCATTTCAAAAAGACGCCCCTGCGGTCTTGATCGTGTTTGATGCCACGTGGAAGCATGCTAAGGAGATGGTGAGTGCTAGTGAAGGGTATTTGAGTAAATTCGCAAAAAGGGTGTGTTTGGATGGGTTTAATGAAGGTATAGAAGGAGGGAGTATTTATGATTCTGACTTGGTTTTGAGAAAGGAACCCTGTGGCGGGTGCGTTAGCACTTTGGAGGCTGTGGCTAGGTGGTTAGGCGTTGTGGAGGAAAATGGGCTTGAGATTGAAGAGCGATTGGTTGGGGTTTTGAAAGAGATGGTTAGATTGCAGGCCCATTTTTTGAAGCCCATGAAGCCTAGGCCTAAGTTGTTGAAGAAAAATAAACAAATAGAACAACAAAAATATAGTAGCGATGAATGATTGGTATAGAGAAAGTGCAAACGAGTATTTGTGTGTTTTGGTCCATTTGTACTTTAGTGGGTTGTGGTTTACTTAATGAGTTTCTGTGTTTTTTTTAACAATTAACAAATTTCTAACAATTTATATTATTTTTAGTTTTAAACTTGATTATGGACGCATATTCTTATAGTTGCTCTCTTGTGGATTTCATATTTCACAAATTCCTAAACGTGACCATTAAGTAGACCCGTTTCACGTTATAGTCGCAAAAAGGGAAACGTTAGGTTTCAGCTTGCTAATGTCCCACATTTCTTTTGAAAACCTGAGTTTAGAAATTAGTTATGAGTTTTGTCCCAATGATTGCGAATCTGCCTTATTGAGAAATCTTTGTTCATCCTGCACAAATTTGATATTTGAATTGCCCATATGGGTCGTCGACCCACAAGAACATGGGCCAGCTATCATGGGTCCATGGACCATCGCCATCCCACACACTATGATGTAGTATCGTTCCAATAAGAATTCAGTGGTTATGGAAAACGAAAATAACTCCAAAATAAAAGTTATAGGACAAAATAAAAAATCCCCAGAGAAAGAGAGAAGAGGGAGGGGACCCTTGATGCCCCAAGCAAGTGAGACAATCCAGGATAGAAGGGTCATGATGCTTGTCTGGTAAAGAGAGAGCCCAATCTCAATCAATATAGATTCTACAGTGAAATCCCATTTGCTTTTTCAGTCCCTTTTTTTTTTTTTTTGTGTGGTTATGAGGATGTTAATCACCAAAAGTGGCCCCCTCCACACCATCACCCATGCACATGCTATTGGTAGCAGATGGACAGTGGAGTCATGTCTTTAGAAAGTGAAAAAGGGGTATGGATGGGGAAGGTGGGATTGTGTCTATTTTTCTTTCTTCTTAGTACAACCCAACTAGGGTTTTGTTGTTTCGAACACAATTAATATATTTATGAAGGATGTTGGTAATTATGAAGGACCCCTTCCTAACAAATGAAGGTCATGTTCACCATGGAAAATCATTCATGAGAATATATCAGCAATTAATGGTCCCATACCATACATCAAAAAATAAAAAATAAAAATAAAAAGCAAGTAAGAAGGTCCCATATATCTCATATGCTCATCATTGTAAGGGTCTCACGCCTGAAAATTTACTTCCGTTTTGCAGTATTGATTTTTGGATGCCGTAAATTTTATGGTTTGAGTTTGAAAATTCGAACTTAAAGATTCAGGACGGACTTTCATTGATACAGAGAATAAAAAAAAAAAAAGGATTAAATTCAGTTTCAGATAAATTCAGATTTGGAATTTTTAGTAAAAAGTTGAAATTGAGGTTACCATTGTAGAACAATTTTTTTTTCCTACTGTGGGATTTTGAACTTTAACTGGGGCATGCAAGCATAGTTGATTGGTGGAGATGGCATTTCACTTTTGAAGAGTAGAAGCTATAAACTTGAAGTTGCACCTGGCCCAAACTACCAAAAAAAAAAAAAAAAAAAAGATAATAGTAAATGCAAGGATGCAATGACCTCCCTCCTAAATCTACTTGTCTCTTCAAGCAAATACATCGTTTTCATCCCATTATAAACTATAAATAAAACTAAGGAAAATCATAGTTTTACTGTTTAAAACATTTTTTATTTAAATTTATTTTACTATTTATTCAACCTAATATGTATTTTTTTTTTATTAGACAGTAACATTTATATAGTTTTAAAATATTTTTAATATATTTATTTAAAAATTTTCATAATATTATATTTTGATTTTTTTTAAATATGATTTTTTTAATCCGTAAATATTTTTTATTCGGTTTCGGTCATTCTTTTTTTATTTTAGTCACTTTGGTTCTTTTTTTTAATTTTTTAATAAAAATTTTTAAGATAAAAAATATTTTTAAAAAATTATAAAATAAATTATTAGCTAAGAATCCTTTGGTTTTAATATTCTTTATACTATTAAATAATTTTTTTGATAAAAAATATAAAGACTAATCAATCAAATACAAAGTTTAATATATTTTAATAGACACACAGTATAACATAAAACATCAAAATAAAATAATCATTAAAAATAATTATATATATTTTATTTTATTCAACATAGTATTTGTAAAAAATCTAGTTGATATCTAAAGAATCGTTATCATCATATCTTATAAACATGTTTTTGCATTGTGCATTCTCTTTCCTGTTCAAAATCATAGCACAGCACCGCAAAATGGAAAGTATCCACAGATTTATTTTATTTTTTCGTCAAAAAGGAATAATATCAAGCCGGAATATTTGACTGCAGAATAAGTTTGTCCTAAAGACATTTACATTTTCTTTTCCTGTTCGTGACAAAATCATTATTGTTGATACAAATGATAGCTCTAGTAGTTTTAGCCCTACTTTTATAGTTTTAGGATACTTGGGAGGGTCTGGCTTTACAGGCCGGCTTTTCACTATAGTCAAATGCTGGGATGCCACTAATGATGCTATCATGAATCCTAAGGATTTTCCCATGACCTTAGATGGCATCTTTGCCTAATCAAAGCTTGAAACAACAATAAGTGCCTCCTCATATGTCATGAGCTTGCTTATTTAAATTATCGGCTATTTTAAGTTCTTATAAAAGAGATTGATTTTGTTTTTGTTTGAAGTCAATAACGAATTCTGAACAAGATTTTAGAAGAAGTAAGAACATAATTAAAAGGATGGAGTCGAGATTGTGTTAGCACACAGTTCTATTCGTATTAATTTTAAACAATAACTTTGATTTCACCAAAAAAAATAATAATTAATGTCTCAAATTTTTTGTGTGCTTTTGATTGCCTAATATAATGCGTATAAATTTTATATGGGAGAAGGAATCATTATTTCAAAAATACATATTTTGTTACTTGAAACTAATATGTTTGTTATATATACCTATATATAAATGGAAAATCTAATCGAATCTAAATATTAATTTTGGTTTGGTTTTTAAACTCAATTTTTTTTTAAAAAAAAATGAAACTGATTATATTTCAATTGTTTAATTTTGGTTTAGTTTTAGAAATTTTTTGTTTGATTTTCGTTTAAAACTAATTTTTTTTTATATCATGTTTGAACTTTTGATTGTTATTTAAACTTTAGTAGTTTTGTTTACAACATATTAGAATAATTAATATTTTTTTATCATTATATATTTTAGATATGGATTTGTATTTAAATTTGATATTATGATGATTATATGTTTTAGTCTTATTTAGAAAAAATATTTATTATCATTCATATAGACTAATTTAGATTATTTGAACTAAATGAAGGATTCCAAAGTTCATAATATAATTTTTTTAAAATTTATTTATATTATGATATTTTTTTAAAAAAAATCATATTTAACCCAAAAACCGAATCTCAAAACCAAAATTTCGATTTCAAAAAATGAATAGTAATTTGGTTTTGGTTTTGGGTTTAGTTTTTCTTTTGGTAAGTTATATTAACTAAAAACCAAACCAAAATGGTAAAAATGGAAACCGAAAAGCGAATGTTTACTCCTATAAATGCACACACACAGAGGTAGACTTTCTACTAAAGAGAACTCATAAGGCAAGACAGGAGATTAATAAGAAAAAGAAAAATTCATGATTAATCATCCAACTGCAAGCAAATTTTGAGACGTTAAAACTAAATTGAATGATTTAAGAAATACAAGGACTTAAATACACATATGATTGAAAAAAATTGGAAAACCGAGGGAAGGCTCTGTTAAAGGATCTGCCACTGTTTTAAGTGGAGTTGCGTTAGGTTAGGTAGAAGGACTGTTATCTTCTATTGAAACCCCAAAAAGCCCTCGTCTTCTCGACAGAGCGTCTTAACAACGTGCATTAGGATGCAACTTAATGTGTCTTGGACTTATTTTAAGACGCAAAAATGCCTTCTTTTTTGTTTAATAGCGATATATATATATACACACTATTGATGAAAGGCAAACATATTAAGGATTAAATTAATGAAAAGTAATGTGATAGAAAATCATTAGACCCCTCAATTGTGGTAAAGTGGTGCAACCATGGCATCGCCTGGAAACATATCTGTACTCCACGTGTCGATCAAAAATCCTTGATTCCTGCAAAATTCTTGCCTCAATTCATGGTTTCTTGCTTATATTTTGATCAAGTATGAACCTATAGAAAGTTAATGTAAACAGCATACTAAAGCTAATAATAATCATTAGTTTCACTTACAGAAAATTGATTTTAAAACTTGAGGTCTTGGTTTCGCATTCAAAAAGAAAAATACTTATCTATGTATTTACCACGGTCATGAGCAAAAGGTGCCAAGGCATCCATGATGTTGTCTTTGCTCTTTTTGTGCAAAGTCTGTGTAGAGGTAAGTTTTTTTAGAAGAAGGATTGCGAGTATTTTTAACATATATAGCTTGCTTTCAGATAGACATGACTTGTCCCTACTTGTCTGTGAGATGCCACAACCATTACCTATCAATGGGGTCCATACAGAATATGAAATAATTCATTTCTTTTTTCTTTTTAAAATCTGTTTTGTTAGGAGGGGAAGGAGTTGAAGGCGTAGGGAGACATGAGTTCTTCAATAATTCACAAAGTAACAAACCAAAGTCACATTTGAAACAAATACTTCTGTCAATTATTGATGTATGTTTGGTTTGGGCTATAAGAAATTTTGATGTGATGTTTTGAGAGAGAAATAAATAAATAAATAAATGAGAACTTTTCCTAGGGATGCATGTTTTGTTTTCATTTTTTGGTTCTAAAAATCTATGTTTAGAAAATTCGTGAAACTACAGTTGCTCTGCTTCAGCAAATATCCAAGAAATGCCTAGACCCTTTTTTTTTTTCCCCTAATGAATGAATAAAACTAATTTATTCTATTTAATTTTTCATCTATAGAAATAACCAGTAGATTACTCATGCGCTGATGTGGTTTATTAGTAAAAAATAATAATTTTATTTGTTAAAAACATAAGATTTAAATCAACAAACCAATGGATAACTTTACTTGTAATTAAAAAAGAGTAAAAAAAATTACATGTAATTAAAAAAAAAATTTATAATCAATATAAGGTTAAGTATTTTTCAAATACCTGCAAACAGCACAAATGCTGCATATCCAACAACTAGACGTGGAATAAATTACAAATTCTTGATTACTAACGTTTTTAATCATGGTTAGTTAGGTGGCATTCTTACATGAGCTTTAATCAAATTGAGGTCTAGTTTATTTTTTCAATCCAATAAAAAGATATATATATATAAAAGTTATTCATGCCCAAATCAAGAAATTTAAAAATTTTTTACTTCTTATAACATGATCTAAATTATAACTATGAAAACAAATCATTTTAGGTTAATTAGAGCAACAGCCGAAGGGTGAAAGATTGCTTTTGGTTTTTAAGAAGATTGATGATCATCATACCATTAGACCATTCATTCATCCACAATTTAAATAATACTTTCCTTTCATCATTATCCCTTAATCAAATATTATATTATTTGATGCACGGAACGATAACCAAGAGGGAACAATTAGAGGACAAACTGTACTTTTCAAAGGGAAAATTTACGAAAGGAAGACATGCATGCATAAAAATAAAACGTCTCATTTTATAGGGTGACAGGGGCGTAGAATCTGATGTGAACCAACTTATTTACTCACGTCATCGTAGAGGATGATAGATCTAAGAGAGCTTCCACTTGTTGCATGCCTAATGGTTTTGCACGTCTCGTCTTCTATGGGCCTGTCATTCATGCTGTTATTGTCTCTTTAATACGTATCGTATTGTCAGATCAAATCATAAGAATACGGCTAATTTTCCTCTTCCCTTCCTCCAAGAGATTGCCTTTCCCAATATGTGCTTCGAATCTTAGAGGCAGGTGGAAACTTGAGTGCTTTACTCTATGCACATTTCTAGGGACTAGGGGAAGCTTTGAGGCTATAGAAATTTAGTAATTTGATGATTAGTTCCAAAACATACCATTTGATTTGATGATTGACTTGCTAAAATGGTTCCCCATTGATCAATTTTGCTCTCTTGTCTATTCCAATGAGATGAGTTGAAAAGACCCATAGCATATCCTGCCTAAAAATCATGTTTGGTACCTCTTCTAGTTTGAATTGACTCAAATCACTTCTCTACGTCCAGTTAAAAGTGGTTCGACCCCTTGATAAAGGGGTTGATTTGAGCCAATTTGAAGTAGATGATTTGATTTAACCAAATGAACAAGAAAAAGAACTGCACATGAGTTTAAGCCACGCTTCATGTACACACACGAGGGAGACGATGACAGGCAAGGTTCTTGACTGTAATGATTAGATGGAGCAGCTCCTCTAGTCCTTCTCTTTTCTTTAAATTTGCAAACCAAGTGACATATAGCTATAATTTTATTTTTCAAATAACTGGGTTGTATTTCTCATTTGCCTCTTAATTCGAATAAGATAATTCTAATTGGTTTGATTTGTAAACAGAAGTGAAATTGGATCCATAACACTTTAAATAGACTTTACGCCATCTTATTTACATGTTTTCTTAATGGGTATCCATCATGAAAACAATAGGGTGTCATGTGATAAACAAGAAAACGTAGTTTCAAATTTCAATTCTTTAAAGTGGATAGTAGTAGTACAATAATGGCAGAACTACAAGACCCCATGCATCCTTTCATTTCTTTTTTTATTTTGCCTACGAATTTGATAAATTTTCCTTAAAAATCACTCGATAGAACTAGGCAACCACTCAACTAGCATTGTCTCTTCAAGAGAGAACACATTTTCCTCTTTTGCATGACATTATAGCACGATCATAGATAAGCGAAAATGACTGACACAGACTATAAATAGTAATTTGTCACCCAAAATTGCAAAAAATAAAGACCAACTTGTATCTTATCATGGTATTGTCTAACATGTTCTTTAGCCCACTTCATTTTTGTTCATGGACCCATCTCATGGGATGGGACAATCAATGCCTCCATACAGGCAGATCCTACAACTTCCTAGATTTAACAACCTTGTTTAGATTTATTTAGCAGGTAACTGAGATTTATTTTCAAATTCTTAGCTACTGAATTAGAAACTTGAAAATTGAAGGTGGAAATGTTCATTGAAAACGACACACCTCATGTGTGGAATAAATAAAATGCCCACCACAGGGTAGAGGGGAATCCTAGGTTAACGCCATGAAAGGACAAATTTGGGGTTTCATTGTCTTTTTATTTCTCCTTTTCCCAACAGCCTCTTTAATTATTACCCCAAAATAATAGGATACTGAAATCATACGGTGCTTTTTCCCCCCAATAAATGTGCTAATAAACTAATTGATAAAATCACACAGCAAACGTTTTCAGCACCTTAAAAGTAAAATTTAAACATAATATTCTCTGAAAAATAAATTGAGATATGATCTTCTCAAATTATTTTTGATAATCTTCTTCGACTTTATCACATCAATTCCAAAATAAACAGTATCAGCAAAGGTGTGACTGAAAAGTTGCACTTCTTTTTTGATACTTCAATGACATTATGATGGACCTAAAAAACCTTTTGCACATTTTTTCAGCTTTGTAAATTAACATCAGCATCCTATCAAGTTAGGCCTTACTCAGCTATATTCTCTTTTTCTCTTGTAAAGTCAATTCCTTCTGAAAAAAGAAAAAAAGAGAGGAGGTTTTAAATTGATTGTTAACTTAAAATCAATATCTATTTAGGTATAACAATACTAAACATGCTCTATATTATATAAAGATTTTTTCTTTCTTAATTTAATGATTCAAATATTTCCATATTCATTATTTGATAAAAATATCCTCTATTTAAAAAAAAAGTCATTTTTTTCAAATATATTTTTTTATTTAACTAATTTCGCCATGGGTTATTTATAAAAAAAATAATTCTTCAATTATAATTCAAGGTAAAAAATTATTCTTCAAAAGTGATGCGAAAAAAACCTAAATTTATGAAAAGAATTTTCCCACCATGCCCCACTAAATAAATTAATGAAAACTACCTTGTCCCTCCATCTTTTGGGTCATAAATGAAGGAGGAAATTGATTTACTGCCTAAAGATTAGCATTTAAAAAAAAATCCTAAAAAAACATTTGGCATCAATTAAAACAGGGTCCAAAAATGTGGGGGCTACTCTTAATCCATCGACATAGACTATTGTCCTAGAAAGTATCAAAACCCATAACAACAGTTGCAGTCTCAGACAGTAGAGAACTGAGAAAGAGAAAGAGATAGAGATTTTGTGCAGCTTTCATTCACTCATCACTGCTCATTTCTCGTGAAAAAGCCTTACGTGACTGAGGAGAACAATTCCTCCTCTCTTTTCAGACCCTTGAGTCTCTCTCTATTTCTTCTCTGCCTAAAACCCACCTGTACTAAAAAATAATAATAGTAATAATAAACATAATCCTGTGTACTTTCTTTTCTTGCTTCTCTCAACTTTACAATTTCTTTTCACTAACATAGGCCTTGAGTCATTTTCTTGTTGTTTGGTTCTTTGATATATGCTGATGAAAATGAGTACATTTACAGTCCATGTTCTATAATGCATTAATCCTTTGTTGTGCTTCTTTTGTTCCTTCTCTCTTGTTTTTTCCTCTTTCTTTGATGTGGGTCTTTTTGTTTCTAAATCACATTTCTTTGATCATTTCACACTTTGCGTTGCCTTGATTCCAGTGAAATCTCAAATTTCTTGAAATTTTAAGTAGTCATTTGGGGTTTGCATTTCTTGACCTTTTGTTTATGAAACTCCTTTAAAGTTTAATCTCTGAACTCCCATTGAAGTGTTCTTGCTGTAAAGTTTGATTGTTTGATTAAAAGATCAAACTTTTTAGTTGAAGAGAAGTGGGGTTTTAGGACATGGTAATGTTCTTGAGTTAGGGTGTGAAGAAATTTTGAGTTCTTGCATTGAACAAGTGTCAGCCTACGAATAAAAGACCAACTGAATAATGGCATTTTTATGCTTGGTGTGTCTTTTTCTTGTTGGGTTTTTATCAAAGTCTTTGTTAGTCTCAGCTCAGTTGGATGATCAAGCTATACTGTTAGCCATTAACAGAGAGCTCGGAGTCCCTGGGTGGGGTGCCAACTACACAAATTACTGCAATTGGGCTGGCATTAGCTGTGGCTTGAATCATTCAATGGTTGAAGGGCTTGATCTTTCAAGGCTTGGCCTTAGAGGTAATGCGACTCTAATCTCTGAGCTCAAAGCATTGAAGCAGCTTGATCTTTCTAGCAATAGTTTTCACGGTGAAATTCCTTCAGCTTTTGGGAATTTGTCTCGGCTTGAATTTCTTGATTTGTCTTTGAATAAGTTTGAAGGTCTGATTCCTATGGAGTTGGGTAGTCTTAGAAACCTCAAGTCATTGAACCTTTCTAATAACATGCTTGTAGGACCGATACCTGATGAGTTTCAGGGTCTAGAAAAGTTGGAGGATTTTCAAATTTCTAGTAATAAGCTGAATGGTTCTATACCATCTTGGGTGGGTAATTTGACAAACTTGAGGGTTTTTACTGCCTATGAGAATGAATTAGGTGGTGAAATTCCTGATAATCTAGGTTCAGTTTCTGAGTTGAAGCTGTTGAACCTTCATTCCAACATGCTTGAAGGGCCAATACCTAAGAGCATTTTTGCTATGGGGAAGTTGGAAGTCTTGATTCTTACGTTGAATCGGTTGAATGGTGAACTTCCTGAATCAATTGGCAACTGCAGAGGCCTTTCTAACATCCGAATTGGGAACAATGATCTTGTAGGAGTCATCCCTAAGGCAATTGGGAATGTTAGCGGCCTCACATATTTCGAAGTGGCCAATAACCATTTATCTGGTGAGATTGTGTCTGAGTTTGCTCGGTGTTCTAATCTTACCCTCTTAAATTTGGCTTCAAATGGATTTACTGGAGCTATTCCTCCTGGGCTTGGACAGCTTTTGAATCTGCAGGAATTGATTCTTTCTGGTAATAGTCTGTTTGGAGATATCCCGACATCAATTCTTGGTTGCAAGAGTCTTAACAAGCTTGATCTTAGCAATAATAGATTTAATGGGACTGTTCCTAATGATATTTGCAACATGTCAAGATTGCAGTACTTGCTTCTGGGTCAGAATTCAATCAAAGGTGAGATACCTCACGAGATTGGAAATTGCTCGAAACTTCTTGAATTGCAAATGGGTAGCAACTACTTGACTGGAAGTATCCCTCCGGAGATTGGTCACATCAGGAATTTACAGATAGCCTTGAATTTGAGCTTCAATCATCTCCATGGACCACTGCCCCCTGACTTAGGGAAACTGGACAAGCTGGTTGCATTGGATGTCTCCAACAATCAACTTTCCGGCACTATCCCGCCCTCATTCAAGGGAATGTTAAGTTTGATAGAGGTTAATTTCTCCAACAATCTGCTTAGTGGCCCTGTACCCACCTTTGCACCATTTCAAAAGAGTCCAAATACAAGCTTTTTTCGAACAAAGGACTCTGTGGAGAGCCGTTGAGCTTGTCATGTGGAAATTCTTATCCTTCTGGTCGGGAAAATTACCATCATAAGGTCTCTTACAGGATTATACTAGCTGTTATTGGCTCTGGTTTGGCGGTGTTTGCCTCGGTAACTATAGTTGTTCTGCTGTTTATGATGAGGGAGAGACAGGAAAAGGCAGCCAAGACTGCAGGAATTGCTGATGACAAAACCAATGACCAACCAGCAATAATAGCTGGCAATGTCTTTGCTGAAAATTTCAAGCAAGCAATAGATCTTGATGCTGTTGTTAAAGCAACTTTGAAAGATTCAAATAAGCTCAGCAGCGGAACTTTCAGCTCAGTATACAAGGCAGTTATGCCTTCTGGGATGGTATTGATGGTGAGGAGACTAAAATCCATGGACAGAACCATAATTCATCACCAGAACAAGATGATAAGGGAGCTCGAAAGACTCAGCAAGCTCTGTCATGATAATCTGGTGCGACCTGTTGGATTTGTAATTTATGAAGACGTTGTTCTTTTGCTGCATCATTATTTACCCAATGGGACATTAGCTCAACTTCTTCATGAATCAAGCAAGAAGGCTGAGTATGAACCTGATTGGCCCACGAGGTTATCGATTGCCATAGGGGTGGCAGAAGGATTGGCTTTTCTTCATCATGTGGCCATAATCCACCTTGATATTTCTTCTTGTAATGTTCTTTTAGATCCTGACTTCCGGCCCTTGGTTGGGGAGGTGGAGATATCGAAGCTCTTGGATCCATCTAGAGGCACCGCAAGCATCAGTGCAGTTGCAGGGTCATTTGGTTATATTCCCCCAGGTATGCGTATTTAAACTGTATCATTCTAGACTTAGTAGCTTCGTCAGTGTACCTGGTTTCAGTATTTTCTATTTCTATTTGTTTTTTTTTTTTCCTCCATGAATGTAAATCCTCTTATAAGAAGTAAAAACAATGTCAGTCTGGCAACTAGCAGCATTCAAATAAGAATTCGTAGTAAACAGCTATGACAAACAAGACATGGTGGCTTACTGTATACAAATTTATAGCCAACATATGCAAGTTATTTGCAGTACGCTGAACTTCTTCTCACCCAGCTTACTGTAAACAGCATTTATTTTCATATTTGTTTAGCAGCTTTGTCAATGGATCTGTTCTTTAACACTTCAAGTGTATGAGGTCAGAGAACAAGATTTAAATGAACATCATCACTTTGTATCTCATTTTCATTCTACTTTTTCTTTGCTATGCAGAGTATGCATACACCATGCAAGTTACAGCTCCAGGAAATGTTTATAGCTATGGGGTAGTACTGCTTGAAATCCTAACAACTCGGATACCAGTTGACGAGGACTTCGGTGATGGGGTAGATTTGGTGAAGTGGGTTCATGGTGCTCCAGCTAGGGGAGAGACTCCTGAGCAGATACTTGATGCAAGACTTAGCACCGTTTCCTTTGGTTGGAGGAGAGAGATGCTGGCAGCTCTGAAGGTAGCATTACTCTGCACCGACAGCACACCAGCCAAGCGGCCAAAAATGAAGAAGGTAGTCGAAATGCTTCAAGAAATAAAGCAAAGCTGATCCACCTTAGGAGCTATTTGATTCTGCACGGTCTGTTTATTAAGACTATGGTTAATGGGCTGTACACAACATAAGAAGCTTGTTTCTGAATATTTCTGATATGCCTACCTGGGGGAGAAAGACAACTTTGTATATTTCAGTTCGAGCTTGGATTCTGTCCATTTGCTCTGTACCAAATTCGGTTCCAGTAATGGCAACTTGCACACTATTTGAGTCAGAAAAAAAAACAGTTGAAGGGTGTATGGAAGAGGGTGCTTCATTAAAAAGATCAGTGTTGAATTTTTGTTGCATATTAGGCCTACAATTGTAATCCTGTATTTCTGGTCTTGAAATGTTGGAAATGTATGTGAACAAACAGGAACTAATTTTTCTTATGAAATTCCAAATAGAGTTCAAAGTTTTCAAATATATTAAGACCATCTGTACACTACTTCAAACAGGTATTTATTTATTTTATTAACATCCACAAACGGTTTAGAAATCCCAATCCAGATGAGATAAACTGGAGGATTTGCAAGAGCACGCCACTGAGAAACATCCGAGACCTGAACTCTTAACAATACCAAATCACGAGAAGAAAAATGTGGGAAAATAGTTCTGTTTTAGTGACAAAATCAATCAGCGAGTAGTTAGCAGAAGAGCAACATAATTCTAACATCAATAAGGATACGATTGACATAGTTAGAATGTGGAATATTACAATACAAGAATAGATGAAACATAACATAAAACATGATTCATTACATTACAAGGAAAGAGAGTGAAAAAAAACCGTGGAGCAATACAAAATACGTGACTAATCGAAGAAGAAAGTGGTCTGCTATAGAAGATTATGGGGGAACAAAAAAGGCTATAAATATCAGCTGCAGCAGAAAGAAAACACACACAAATAAACTCTTACAAATTACAAACAATTTAACAAGCATTTTTTCAAATTTCAACACACTTGAAACTTGTTTGAATGTAACTGATAGACAGTAATTTATAAATAGTAATTTGTAAGTAGTAATAAAGCAGGTTGATAATCCATATGCTGGTAGTTGGTTCCTGATTCTCATCTTATGTTTGCAACAAACATAACCCCCAATTCTTTCAAGAATTATTATGTACGGAACGACAATCTGTAAATATTCACTATTCTCTATGAATGTAAATTCTTTTTTTTTCTTTTTAGATTGAAACATTATAAAAAGACTGTAATATTGCACCTCAAGTACTTGTTGAACATTTTAAGTTTGTAATATCTAATTTATTGTCAATATTGTAATCCTTATCTCTCGGTGTTTTGATTGTTTAATCTATCGATTTTTAGTTTAGATTTGATATTTTAATTGCATATGAGCATAATAAGTTGAATTACTAGTTTAGATTAACCGTTGTTGTGAATTATTGTCCTTGCAAATTTGCTCGTAGCCAACTTTGATAGATAATAAGTCTATGTCAAGAATTTACGGATCGATTGCAATCCATTTAATTTAGTTTATTTTAAAAATAAAATATGAAAAATATTATTAAAATCAGTAGTGGTATGTTTAGAATAATTAATTTAGTTCATTTATTTAGAAGTTTGAAAGATAGATTGTCCTACAAATTACTATCCAACCATCTTTTTTTCACTTTTTAATTACAAAGTTTTGTTAGCTGAAATCAATTAAAAAAAAACCCAAATACAGTCATAAACAAACATTATGTTACCATGTACGAGAAAATTCTTCTTATTAAATCAAGTATCCAACCAACCATCCATATGTTCATCAATTTATTAATGACAAATAGTCATATAAAATTAATACAATGGCTTCAAGAAAAGTATCCCAAAAAGCAACAAATAGCTAGGTAAGAAAATAACTCAAGGAAAAAAAGGACAGACACATGCAGCTTCAAAACAATCTCTATAAGAAACCAATTCTGGTTACAACCAGAAGAACCCTCAAAGCAGGAACCAAAAACATAGATCACCAACACCAGCGTACGCAAATTTTATGACTGGCTAATTAATAAACCAAACAACAAGATGCAAAGGAAACATCAAGAACAATTTAGTGATATGAAAAACAAAGACAAGGCATTGAAGTAGAAACCAAAGCAACAACAAACCACGAAAAGCCAAATAAATCCCTAGCACGAACTATTACAAGAGCACATTGAGAAAGGCAACTGACTTCCAGCAAACTTCATGTTTATTTGAACAAACTAGATTATCAGTAGCATCGTTCAACAAATCAAAATGACAACACCAAACAAATTGAAAACTTGGAATCTGACCAGCTAATGGATTGAAAGCTGTAAAGATCAAAATACATGAATTTAATGATAACAAAATGTTTGAAGAAATTCAAAAATTGACTGGTGGATGAAAGAATCAACTTTTAATCAGAATACAATATCATACTAGTTTGCTCTTCGACTTGGGTATGGAGCAGGATGGACTTCCCATAAACTTAATTACTGATATACTCAAAGAAAACAATAGGCCTTATTGTAAACAACACTTTAGGAGAGAAAAGCCCAATGACTTGGCCATACTAGACAATCATTCCAATATTGATAAGTCTATATCAACGACAAACTTCCTTTAATATATAGAAATTAACAATCTTGGTTAAAAGGGGTTTTTTTTTTTTTCCTGAGCTTTAAAATTGATATAATATCATATATATTTTCTTACTAAATAAATACTATTTAAACCTCCTCAGGCTTTTCAGATTTACATTGACCATATAATCAACCTGAATCAGAAGCTAAATATATATGTTAGATCTTGATCAAGTAGATTCTAAATATATAATTAATTAATAAAATCATTTTTATTATAAGAGTTTGTATTTAACAATAATATTTGTATAATTAATTTGATTTTAATGAAATACTAATTTGTTATTAATTTTGATAATATTAACTAAAAAATCACTCACGTATCTTACGTGGCAAAATTAGAATTAAGATAAATATGCGAAAACTTTAGGGAAAAATATAATTAAAACTTATAAAAAAAAAACTTAGATTTAATATATGTTAGATATCTGAGCGGAAAAAGAAACGAAGAATGGCCAAAATATAAAAGTAAATAGAAGAATATTAGATTTATTGGTAGATAATCCATGATGTTTCTTGAATGTCGGCTGCGTCACTAAAAATTTAGGGATATGAGCAATCTTAGGGCCATCTTCTCCCTTTTCCCTTTGGCATCTTTCTTTCAGCATGAGACAATCTTTGATAACGAGCATTTGAAGTGATGTTAGACTGCGGATCCACTTTGGCAATTCTTCAACATTTGGATAGCTTCCAATTAGAAATCTTTGTAAGGAGTTGGCAGATCCTTGAAGAAGAACTGTTTTGGAAGATCTACCGTTGTCGATAAATTTTGAAAATATACCAACTGAAGGCTAAGTTTACTCATTTCTTCCTGTAGTCAAATCAAGATTTTCACAATCCATAATAATCAAATTCTCCAGCGCAGTTAGGTATTTCAAGCTTCGTGGCAAAGAGATCAAGCTCTTACGTTCTATAGTTCGCAATTTTCGAAGGCTTTTAAGACCTAGCATATCTTCGCACAAATATTCAAGATTTTTTCACACATTTCAAAATGTATAAATTCTGAAGAGACTTCAATCACACAATCCCACCTTCTAGTAAAGGCTTCTGCTTAGCAACAAGCCACAACTATCTAAGACTGATCATCTACCTCACATCTTTAGGCAACTCTCTTCGAATCCTTGGCCCAGAATGAGAGTTAGCAAATTTTGTAATTTGAAAATAAATTTGGACAAACGTTTCGTTTCTGCATCGCCACAATGGAGATATCTCAAATGCTTCAGAGAGTGCCTTTGATATGAGAAAGCACCTCAATTCACATTCATACAATTGCATGCAGTGCCCGCAAATGCCTAAATTTTGACCCAAAAAAAAAAAAAATCTCAGTGTATATTTTATAACTAAGACTCTTTGAAAAAAGAGAACTGTTCTCACACAATCTAATTTCTTTGGGAATATAGGAAGAGCTTGGAAAAAAGAATTGAGAGTCAAGAAACAACAAATGCCTCGCAGTTTTGGAAATTTGCAGGTGGTTAGAGATAATGATTTGGCATTCATTTTGAGCTAATAATGACGCAAGATTGTGCGTTAAATCGTGCATTTTTTAAGAACTTGACGATAAACTTATCGTCAACATCTTGAAAAAAATATGTTTGGAAATCAATTCAGTTAAGGAAGGCCAACCTCTTCTAATTCTTCTCGATTTGATGATTGAACGAGCTTATGTGCTATCCAAAATTGCACCAAGATGACATCCATGAATTCCTCATCTTTGGGGAAAATTGAACAACAAAAAAGCATCTTTAAAGTGTGATGGTAGATGCTGATCATTTATCTTTAAAGCAGGTAAAATACCATTTTTCTTTTCTTCACATGTCACTTCATCTCTTTCTGATTTTCACTCATTTTCATCAGTTACTTCAAAAAGTTGAGTTTCCAAATGTATTACTGCCATAAGAATTTGTTTACATTTTCCCACTATTTCTTTTGTAATTTTTACCAGATTTAGGTAGTGCTTTGTTAAATAAAAAAAATTGGGTCGGGCCATCCATGATCGGTCGACTCAAAAAAAAAAAAAACCTTTTAAATAAAATAAATAAAAGAAAGAAGAAGAAGAAAATAATAATTTCGATCAACTACTGTAAAGTTGCTGGAAAAGTTATTCTCCTCAACTCATATATATATATATATATATATATATATATATATATATATATATATGTGCAGAAGTAAAAAACAAGCTAGTAAGGTCAAATCGAAGTATTTAAGTGTAATATTCTCGTTTGGACTAGACGAAGAAGAGGATCAAGTAGCCTTGTTGCAGGATAAAATCTAGAAAATCAAAGGGCACTGCTCACCCTTCAAATGCAGTCAGGCCACATACTTCGCGGTTCCTCTAACAAATTGAAGCAACCGAGCATTTGTACCAACAGTGACACGTAATTGCAAGGTGCTTCTAGACTAAAGTGCAAGAAGACATTGAATGTGAAAAGAAAAGTAGTAAGTGTAACAACAATAATCATACCGTACCGTGGAGGTAACAAACTGACATGCATGCCAAGATCAGGAAAAAAATGAGTTCGAAGATATCATCTTTATCACATTACTTTAATTTGAAAAAATCAATATACTCATGATCATCCGTAGATAAGGAGAGCAAAACCAAAATTCTATGTTGTTAGGTATAAATATACAAAATTACATTAACAATAAGTAGTTAACATTTTATTTAAAATAAAGATACTAGATAGAAACAAACTAAACATAAATTAAAATCACAAAAGTATCCACTTAAACCATAGTTTCATATACAATCATTTCATATAAATCATTTATATAAAAGTAGATACGTTGAAGACTTACGGAAAAGTTTCAAGAACGGAGAGCAAGGCAAATTTGAATCGATAAAACTATTAAGAGTTATTATAAATATTTTATATTGTGCAAAAATAGATTGTGGCCACAACAAGAAAAGTGTGAAATAACGATGAAAATTAGCAATATATTGAAATTTGTCATTAAATAATGACAGATTAGCGAACGAATTGCGACTATTATCTATATGTGGGTTTCGATTACGAAACGTCAACGGACTAGTAATGGATTTGAGTTACTCATAGAAGGTAAAGTTTGGATTCATAATATTAGAGTTAGCATCGGTCTTAAAATAATATTAATACTAATAAGAAAGAAAATTGCATATCAATGATCCAATCATGGTTTATACATTGTTTATCTAATTTCACTTTCCTTCTTGAAAAAACCACATCTCTATTTTTTGCTTAAATTTATTGACCTCTATATTTTACGGTGTGATCGTGGATCTCGAGTTGATGATATATATGATGGGTTTTTTCTTGATCTTGGTATGAATGAGTTTGAAAGTGTTGTCCTACACAATTAGTTGTAGTACCTACAAAACAAGTCTTTCTTAATATGTAGGAGGACTTTCCAATAGATAAATTAGCGTTTGAAGTCGGCGATAGCTTGAGTTGGCTTGTATATATTAAGGCAAATAATAAAAGATGGTGAATAGTAGTTATGAATTTAGAGAATTAGAAAATTGAAATTCTAGGTTATTAACTATATATAGAGCCAAAAATAGTCAAGTTGCATAAAGTGCGAGAGGAAAGGTTAATGTTGTCTTTTTCCTTACTACAATTATAATTTGTTCTTGATTAAAGGATAAATATCATTTAATGTTGATGAGTTATTGCTGAGAGGATGTAATGATTTCATGATTGTTGTGAAATGAACTAAAATAGTCTTACAAGTAGAAGCGTGTCTTCATTTAATGAATGTATTTTTTATCCTTTTGATAGGTGAGGTGTGGTGTAAAGTTTTGATCATTGGTCGAAAGTCTCGAAGCGATTCTAATTGTTCGCAAAAGAATTATTTGAGCATTATTGATGTTTTTGGAGTAACTACCGATCTTTTAAAATTGTTTTCGAATGAAAAGATAAACGTAAATTCAAATTTCTATACATGTTTTAAGATTGGTTCGTAAACATCCAGATATATAATTTTACATAACATATGTATAGAATAATAATTTTTTATTGATCCAAGACCATAGGAAATTTCTTGTATGCAAACACATGACAATCTCTTACACTATCCCCATGTTATTATTTAATGAATATATTAAAATTCTAAATCAATCCTATATAATTAATAAAAAAATAAAATTTTTTTAGACAAGAGATTAATAAAATAAAAGGTTTTCATTGACTGAAAAATAAAAAAGCAACTAATGCTACTCACATATAATAGCTCGAAGAACTGCCATTTGTTGGATAGATGTAATTCCTGCTTGTAGGACAACTAAAAATTATCATTTCACGTGTGTATATAACGTCAAACAAGAAGTACGATTTTCCCACTTCCAACGAGCCAACGACTGCTACTCAACGCGTTTTTGGAGGTGAAATGATTGTTCTTCGGTTCGGTTCGAAACTAGTGGCGTAGAGGAATGAGGCATGGGGCTGAGTCTTATAAATTAATTCTTTTATTTTTCAAAAATGAATTAATTAATATTTTTATTTTAAAATTTAATTTTTATCTTTTCAGTATTAATTATACTTAATTTAATATTTTTTTATTTAAAAAATATCGTTTTTTTCATCAATCTTTTTTATATTTTTACTTATTTTATATTTTTAAAATAAAAAACAAAATAAATTTAAAAAAAACAAAGGGAATAAATTACAAGAAAAGTTAAAAATATAAACATTAAATAATTAATTTTTATAAAGTTAATTAATTCATTTTGCAAAATTAAAAAGATTAATTTATAATTTACTCAAGTCTTCTTTAAATAGTTTTTTTTTTAATATCTCCAAATATTTCTCTTAACGAAAAGTGATAGGATCCATCTCAGGTTTTCAGACGAGGTCCCACACCCATTGTTTGTTCTGGGCAATAAATACTTAGGAAAAGACTTCTCAAAATTGAAATTTTGTACCGTTCGGATGAGGAAAGAAACGAGGGAAAGATGATGAAAACGAATTTCAAGTTTCCTTTTGCATCATAAAAAATTTCCTATCTTTTGAAAGAGGAAAAGACATCAAATAAAATTAAAAATTTGATTCACATTTCCTAGTATTACCCTCATAAAATGAAGGAATTTATATATTGATAAATATACGAGTAAAACATATAATTTATTTATTTCCTGTCTTATCTTTTTTCATTTAACTAAGGAATGGAAGTTCACTTTCACTTCTTTACTTTTCCTCACATTTCCTTCATATAATTTCCATTTTTCTCTGTATATCTATAGTTATTCATAGCTAGTGCAAAGCAAAAATCATGCTATCTGAATCTAGGGCTCAGAAAATAAAAAATGCAAGAAGGCAACAGCGTAATAAAAATTCAGCTCCATTGCGTTAGCAAGTGTTCATTGACAACAGATATAACTGTTTGATGTATCATTGCATTAGCTATTCAATAAACATTAGTTTATCCCACTTATAAGAATTTTATTTTGTCTTTAACAGAGGAAAATAAATAGATAATCACAGTATACAGATTTCAGTAAAATTCCATTGTTCACCAATCTATACCCAATTCTCTGGTGAGGAAGAGTTTGTCAACATACATTATGACTGGCACTGATGAAGCAACATAACTCTGCATTTGAATTCTTGCCGAGCTTTCTGGAGAAAAACAAAAAAAGAAGAATAAAAAAGAATGGTGATTAATAGAACTTGAATCAGACACTTGTACACATAGAAGGCTGCCTGCAGAACTGACAAGTTTTAGTTTGAAAGAACCACAGGTGACAGGCCTGATTAAATCAAGCACCCCATATCAGACTTAAATGAATTGGAAGCAGATTCAGTCCTTCAAGCATGTTAGCTTCCATGCATTTCAACAACTTAATAGGAATTGAATTTCAGATACAAGTGTAAGAATTAGTTCAGCACTGACCGTCTTCATTCAGCTTCATTAAAAGCTGGGCTTTTGTAGGAAGGGCATACATCCCTGCAGCAACAGCCTTTCTAATTGCCCACCCATGATGGGGAGCAAATACCTGTGCATAAGCCTTCGAAGCCGGGTTCTTCAAAGAATTTTCCCTGACACAGGAATAATTGAAACTGTTAACTTTCTCTTTCCACCCATAAATACAGACCATTAATTCCAGAATCAAGGCCAATCTGTTTAAACTTACAACTATAGTCTGCTTATTCTGTTCAGGAAGTGAAATGTGTATTAATTAAGGTCACGAAAAACAGGCATCACAATCGATATGCTGGACGTTACTGAGGAATGCAACTTGTAAATTCAGCTAAATATTGCTTCACAAATAAAAAAGAACCCAACCAAGGGTCTATTTTCCAACACTAAACCATTAAGAACATAGCTTTTAATCCAGAAATGGGGGTCCTCCCCTTTAGAAGAACCGGTACTAGCATTTTAAAGAGGCAATTGACTTCTCTCACCTTGACACAATATGAGTATAATTAGAAGTGCATACAAAGCAAAGAGATGGGGGTTTAATATCCAGTTGCCCACAAGTTAATCAGGAGGCCAAAGGAGATTGGCAAAACTAGCATTTCTAGATCGCTAAACCATTACACAGAATATTTTTTTTAAAAAAAAGAATTTTAATTTGAAAAATCTAGGTTCAACAACAATTAGGCTTGTATAGTCCCAAACATTTGTGCCAACAGGAAAAGCAGCTGAAACATTCTCACTTGTTCCACCACATAAAATTGACTTTGAGGTATATAAGTTTCATCCTTGAGGCAAACAAAATCACTAGCTGAAGTGGCAAATTTGAGTGCTAAGTAGAAATTAGACAATTGACCATCCCATCACTATGACATATGATCTATTACAATGGCATCAGTAGGACATATCAGCTACTATGGACATCCCATTATGTCGCTTTAAAAGGCATTGGAATACTGAGGTAGCGGAAAATAAAAAAGTCATCTGGTTCAGGGAACTGAAACAAACATATGCCCATCCATAACAACCATGAACCCAACCACCATTTAGCTCCAATTTCTCCAGTTTATATATCAATTTGTCAGTGAATAGCAGCAAATGCCACAATTGTCGATTAAACCTTGACAAAATTCTATCAACTGGAACATCCTTCTATATTCTTTTTGAGAATTTCAGTATTGCACTCCTTGATTGAAATTCAGTTGATTTATGACCGGATACTTGTGATAAATTTGCAATACAGTTTTAGAACTAAGCACTTCATACAAACTAAAGGAGAAATACCAAAAAAGGAAAATTGGCATACAGAATCTAGTAAGTTAAATTCATGAAACTACAGCTCCTAACATTCAACACATAAAATCCAACAAACATAAAAAGTCGTACATACACGAAAACCCAAATCGAGTATGATTATCATCAACATTGAGCAAACCTAATACAAAAACATCACAAGAAATCAAGCATCAAACCATATAACTTATTAACCAATAGTCTAATCAATACTTAATTACGTCACTCCTTTATTATGCATAAAAAACTGAGGCAACCCAAAAACACAATTTAATCAAGTACTAAAATTTCAGGTAAAATTATTACATAAACCCGCTCCATGAAACAATTACTTGAATTTTATCTTCCAAACCATGAAATAATTACTTAAACTTTAGCCAATTGGGTATCTTCCAAAGAGAAAGTAATAGACACATACTCTGTATCAAGAATCTGCTCGAACAACACCCTGACCATATCAAGCCCACGCTTTACTCTCAAAAGATTTCTTGAATGACTCCCAGCTTTTCTCACACAATTCCTTTCTACATCCTTATCTAACACACTTTGTAATGTACCAATCGATTTTGATGCCTCTGCAAGATCATGCACCTGTTTATTTTTATCATACATATAAAACAAAAAAAAATTTAAAAAAAAAACTGTAAATGAAAAAACAACATAATAATAATAATAACATGGGTTGTCTGCAATGAATAAAAATGAACGAACCTTGGCAACATAATCCATTTCGGCGAATTTGAAGGCGATGCCTAAGCAACCAAATAGAGGAGAAACGAGAGAACAAGCATGAGAAAATGGTGCCACTTCAACTTCTTTGGTTTCGGAGTTTATAGTCGCTTCTAGTTCTTTAAAAGCTTCTGCGATCTTTCTTAGTGGCTTTTCACTCTTGAAATCGCCCATTTTTTCAACCTTTTTTTGTCAAAATCTAAATCTATCTCGATCGAGATCGATCGATCAAGTTTGGATTTGTTGATGATTGGGAGATGGATGAGAGAATACATTATATTTCAGTACTTATTCAGAAAATATTCCATTTTCATTCTTGTAGTTTACAATTTCTCAATAACAGTCCTCTATTTTCTAAATGATTTCAATCTAACCTGTAGTCGTTAAATAGATAACGGAACTAACTGAAGTGTGTTCTCCCCCCCCCCCCCTGCTGTAGTCGTTAAATAGATAACGGAACTTGATTGGATCAGAAAAGGTGAATTTTATGTCAATTTAGAAAACCTGATATAAGAATACTAACTAGAATTATGCATTTATGAATTATTATAATTTGATGGTCTTATTATTTTAATTATTTATATAAATGAGATGATAGTAAAACTTGCTATATCTCCATTAATTAATTTCCGATGAGCTTATGTTTTTCATTAATGCATAATTGATTCATTATTATTTTTGGTGGCTATTTCACGTATCATACAAGAAATATTATATTTATGGCATTTTTTTAATCAATTATTATTATTTTAAAAAAAATGGGATGCAATATTTAAGATTTAATCTATGATAATATTTTCAAATCAAACGAATGCAGATTCCACATATATGAATGATAGGAGTAGGACTTTAATTGGTGCTATTTTTTGCATAGATTATTCTTCAGGATATTAACAGACTCTATATCTATGAAGAATAGACATTGCTTTGACATGTGAAAATGTACTCAAAAACATAAACGGAGAAGGACAAACCTTTCCTTGCAGATCTTTTCGCATAAAGCAATCACAGCTGGCCCTCATTCTGTAGCCAAGAATCGCGATCGAAGCATCACAAACTAGGGTGTTTCTTTTTCATTAAAAAAAAAAATCACATAATTTTATTTATTGTTCTTAGCACAATAAGAATGGGACTGAATTCGAGACCTCGAATATGTCGAATAAATTTCACAGACACTCCTATATATATATATATTATGAATGCATTAATCAAAAAAAAAAAAAAAAAACCTAAACATAAAAGCAGTATATTGCTGCTGAAATTGATAAAAAAAAAAAAAAAGCAATCATTTAAAACTCACTACAAAAATTTTATTTAATTCTGGCATAAGAGATTGTATTTGGAATCTTTTACGACTTTAGTAAATAATTTAGCATCTTTAAACTATTTTTCTCGCAAACTCATGATGATGTTTTCTTCCTGCAATATTGTAAGCTCTCGTATTTCTAACTTTCCAAACAAAATAAAAATATGAACACCAAACAATTCGTAAGACAATTGCATCAAATTTTCTCTTTTGTAAAAATTATTTAGCCCAGCAAAATTCGTCAGTTGCCACATAGATTTTATTATAAGACATATATATATATATATATATATATATATAGTATGCAAAAAAAATGTGGTCTCTATTTTCATTTGCAAAATTGCATAGATCATATTTGGTGTCAATCTTCTTTCTCATCTTAGTTTACTTGCATTTAGTATTTAATCTATCCAAGATAGCCAACCAACAGATGAAACTATATCTGGGATGTGGAAGGATCACCATAAATAATAGCTTATACCAATCGACAATTCTATCTTTCTTTCTTATAACTTCCCACATGCTTTTGAGTAAGATTCCAGTAGACAACATCTTCTTTTGCATTTGATTGCTTCTAGCAGTAGGCCACCTCCAATCATCACTGTGAATCATTTCTGACAGCATTGCATTTGTGAAAATTTTAGAATTCTTCCTGATTCCACGACCTTATTGTTTAACCAATGGACCACAAGAATGCCAAAGATCCTATCAAATGAAAATATTTATACTTTTTTTTTTTTAACTTACACACCTAAAATTCCTAACAAAATTAATATATTAAGATTTAAATCCGTAATATCTGATCGTAAGAGACTATAAGCTTTTTAGTAATATTTCTGCTATCTCTCAAATTTTAAGATATATAATCTCAAACAATATGTGTTGAGTTGCAAAAGCTTTCTCCAGTTCCATGAGCATTCAATGGAAAGGGATAGACTCTACAAACTTCTATTCTTCAAATAATAGGCTTGACACCATGCAATCTAAAGAGATCTTAACTTTAAAAAAAAGCACCAAATACTTTTCCTAAAACAAGCAATATTCCCTTCTTTCATTTTCCTAAGTCTCAAGCCTCTCTTTTTTCCTTGACAAAGTAAATGTGACCATGCAACTTTTACTCCTATAGCAGAATCACCCTTGCAAACCAAAAGAAAGCATTGCATTTCTTTTCAACTTTTTTAATGACCTGTGCAAGCAAGGTGAAGAAGAATAAAAATCACACAAGAGACCAACAGCAACCTACCAACAAGGGAAAGCATCTTTGTAGCCCAATGTTGCAATCTTTCAGTAATCTTCTCAATTAAATTTTGGCACCCTCTAACACCCAATTTTTTCAATTTTTTCAAGATAAGAGGGACCTATAAGTGTCGAACAAGTAACTTTTCTAGCTTGAAACCAGAACAGACCAGCAAATTATATGCAAGACTAAAAGAAACACCAGCACAAAGAATATCACACTTCTTTAGATTAAATTTCGAGTCAGATAAGAGGTAAAACTACTGCAAAATATTCTTAACTGAATGCAAAACTTCTATAGTGCCATTTGCGAAGGCAATCAAATCATCTGCACAACACAAATGAGGCCAATTAATCTTATCACATCTAGGATGAAAAGAAAAAAACTCTTTAAGAAGCTGCAGAATTGAAAAGGCAAGAGGGGACTTCTATGGATATGAAAAAAGATAAGGAGATATGGGATCTCCTTGTCTGAGGCCTTTCTTTCTTTAATAATACCACAAGGGCTGCCATTAATGATAACAGCATAGAGAGGAGTATCGATACAAGTTTTGATGCAAGCAAGAACTCGAGATGGAAAACCCATAGCCTCTAACATGTTGAATAAAAACTGCCAATTGACTGAGTCAAAACCTTTCATTAAGTCAATTTTGAGAATGCGTCTTGAAGAGACAGTAGCTTTATGATAATTCTTCATAATCTCTTGGGCTACCCAGATATTGTCTTCAATTCTTCTGGCTTCCACAAAGGCAGTTTGAGTTAAGCTAATAAGCTGAGTAAGGCATATTTTTAGCCTATTTGTAATGATTTTAGAGATGTACTTGTACAAGGTTGAACAACAAGATATAGGTCTATAATCTGTAATCTTGTTAGTAGCTTGCAATTTAGAAATAAGACTTGATTATTGTAATGTTTACAACTTTAAAAAGCTTACCAGTTTGAAAGAAATTAAGAAGAGCAGTAGTTACATCCTCACCAATAATATCTCAAGAAGCCTTAAAAAAATTCTACAGTGAATCCATCAGGACCAGGAGCTTTATTGTCGCCACTCAAAAAGAAAACAACCTTTTTAACTTCTTCTGAAGAAACAGGAGCAGATAGATCATAGAACAGCATGTTGATCACTTGAAAGCTTATACTAAAAAAGACTTTTAAGATAATCAACACTGCTACAAGGAACATTAGGATCCTCTTCTCCTAAAAGATTTTGATAAAACCCAACAATCTCAGCGTCAATATCATTTTTTGTAGTCAATTTATTAAACAGAAGGGCGATACTATTTCTGAATTGTCTTGACCTCATCATTCTATAGAAATAACCAGTGTTAAGGTCACCCTTCTGGACCCATTGCACCCTAGACTTCTGTTTAAAAAAAAAAACTCTACAATCTGATACTCGGTGAGTGAGCTAGAGAGATGTTTTTCTTGCATCATCACTTCAAGAGAAGTGTCAGTCAGTAAGTAATTCTGAACAGGAGCAAGAACAGATTTAGTAACTTTAACCTTTTCAGTTAATTATATCATCATAGAAGCTTGAGTTTAGCTTCTTAAGAGGTCCTTCAGGAAGTTTTAACTTCTGTCAAATTATGTACATGAGCCAACTATAAACTCTAGAATTCCATGTAGTGGCCACAATCTATTTGAATTTATCATGCCAAGTCCAAAAATTTTAAAGGTGTATGCTTAGACTTCTGCTAAATACACGTTTGAAGGAGACTAGAATAATGATCCGAAATGCGTGGATTTAAAAATTCAACCACGTTGTGAGAGAAAGCAGATCTTCGTATAGTGAGATCCATATAGATTTATTTGTATGCATAACGTTTTGAAAAAAGAAAAAGAGAGAGAGAGAGAGAGAAATATCAATGACCAAACAGCTTGATAAGTAGGGAAAAACATATGGCAAAACCTATTTTCTGAATCTCATACCTAACAACTCAAACAAAAAATCCTCCAAATCTTGATTTTTGTCACTTCGAAAGTAAAATATAGTTTTGTGAATTAGCAAATATCATGCCACTAGGAGCGAGCATTATTTGATTAAAATTGATTAACCGAATTAAATTGAAATTAAAATATTAATTTCGTTTAATTTTTAATTAAATTCGATTAAAAAATATTGCAATTGAATTAACTTGGGTTTCTGTTTTAGTCTGGTTTTTAAAATTTTTTTGCTGAATTTATTTATTTATTTTTCTTTTAGAATATGTTTGAATTTTTTATTGTTATTTAAAATTTAATTGCTCAATTTTAAATATATTTAAACAATCAATGATTTTTATTATTATTATATATTTTTAGATGTGAATTAGTAAATTTACATTTAAATTTTGATATCTTATCATTTAACATAGCTTTGTGCTTTAAAAAAACTTCATAATCCATGACACAAATTTTTTAAAACTTTTTTATATTATTTAAAAAATTCAAAAAAAAAATCAATTTTTACCCAAAAAAAAACCAAAAACCAAAATATTAATTTCTTAAGCCAAAATAACTAAATAAAAATTCAGTTCGGATTCAATTTTTTATTTTATTGGTAAATTCAATTAATCAAAAACCAAACCTAATGCACATGCAGCCCAAAGTTCTGTAGTAACCAAAATCCAACACAAAAGAAGAGGATGCAGAGCGTCAGATACATTTTCCTCAAATGCTACATCATGAATTGAAGAACGCACTACCTATGGTCATTGCCCTAGTTGCCTTCCACGAATCACATACAAAGCACAAACCCCAAAAATTAAATAGAATCAATGAAAGGCTCTGAATTCTGTCACTCGACTTTTATTTAGATTTTTAAGCACGACAGCATTGCTGACGAAACCCGTATCAAGAAAAAACATAAAAACAAAAAGGCACAAGGGCCATTGCCATCAAAGCTAAAAGTGGCTTGTGTCCAAGTATTGGAACCTCCCTAATCGTTACCGAATAAAAATAACACGCCAATGAACTGAAACTGACATATCACATGCTTAAATTGGATTCAAGAATCTTGGGACTTGACAATGAAATTCTGGCGAGTAATGGGGTTCATCACCACTGGTGGCCCTCCAGTACGAGGCCATGCTTGAAATTTCTTGTCAGTCTCCTCCCACCATTCCTTGTTTGAAACTGTTCTTGGTGTGGTACCTGAGGTTTTTTTTTTAAAAAAAAAAATTGACCTTAAAATCATAGCAATAGGAGACAACTGAATCTTCAAGCCTTAAATTTACCTCCAAATATCTTTTTGTCAGAAATAACATAGTCACAAGCATATGCTATTGCAAACGATCCCAACACAGCAGATACTATGTACTTGGTTGACATGATCAAACTGCAAAGGAAAGAAAAAATTCACATGAGAGAGAACTATTAGCACTTAAAGAGTTGCCTCACATTCCATTACTCCAGCTATGAGACTGACACATATTTTATGAAAAAAGTCAGCCACTAAAATTCAGAAATGTGCACTTATAAAGAAGCATTTAGGTTGCCTCCAAGGATAGAAGACTTTCTACAAAGCAGAAACCACACAAATGGACCAGTCAAGATATTAATAACAGAGGTATTTATTCATAACGTGCTTCTATGGTGAGAATAACCGAAAAAGATTGCTAAGCTAAACTTGGGAAATTAGAATAACCAAAAAAGTTGCAAGCAGAGGCACAGCCTCATTAGAATAGAAGCAGAATTTTCAAGTGTGATATATTTTATTTTTATTTAATTTTATAGTAAAATTGAAAATTTTGATATCGTTTGATTTTTCAGTAAAAGTTGTAACTTCCTTGGTAAAACATCAACACACATAAGCATCACAAGAAAATGTTTCAGGCTCCGCCACCATTTGCTAGTAACCAAACTTGGTCCCATAGAGCAAACCTGTCCTGTCCATGATTTTGTAAATAGAACAAGCACGTGGCTATCCCCCCTCCCCACCCCACCCCACCCCACACACCACCCCCCCCCCCCCCCCCCACCAAAAAAAAAAAAAAATCTCAAAGAAAGGATAACATAGTAATAATGTCAAGGAAAAGAAGGTTATAACAGAACCCAGATGAGTTCCATATAAAAAAAAATGAAGTGCCATGTAAAAGCATACCATGGGTACATGATAGGCCAAGTGAACAAGATAAAAATTTATCTTATGAAATAGCATCATCACAAGGAAAAGAATACCTATCATTCACATTTACCAGATTCTTTTCCACCAATTGGTCAAAACACCACACAGAACTCACATATGATCTTAGTATGATATGAACACCGTGTCTGCTAAATGGAAAGGCATCCTTATAATTTAATCAAGTGGTAAAATGATAGGAGAATGTTGAGTTAGGCTTTGCTTGAACGTATGATTATCAGAAAGGAAAAAGCATTCAAGCAAAACAAGGAATAAGTATACAACACAGGGCATGGTATCATTAATACATAAAAACAAGTCAGAAATGATTCCCAAGGTATTAGCTAGTTTTATAATTCCTCAATTTCAATCTAGTTTCATGACCAAAGAGCAAACCAACCCTCTCTAATATCTCCACAATAGAAAAAAGAACCAGTATAAACAATAACCTGTAGCAAAGGAAATCTTACATGGTGCAAACTTTCAATTTCCACTCCCACATCCATATCAATGAAAAACATTATCCTACCATTTCGCAAACTACAAATCCTCTCTTACAATCCCTTATTCCCTTACAATATCAACATACCAAAACATTCACAAGCCAACACACCCACCCCATTCATTAATCTTTTCAAAGCAGAAAACAACCTAAACATGAACAGATTCATACAGAGCAAACTTTATATGTCCTAGTAAAAACCTACGAATCCCTATCACAATTTCTTAAAAAAAAACATCCTTCTGAATCATGTTTTAACATTTCTCATAAACCCAGAACCCAAATCAATAAAAAAAACCACGATCCAATTGAAAATTTCAAATTTCACAGTAATTTCTCTCTGTTTATTTAGTACTGAATTATGTTTTAACATTTCTCATAAACCCAGAACCCAAATCAATAAAAACACGACCCAATTGAAAATTTCAATTTCACAGTAATTTCTATCTGTTTATTTTGTACTAATTATATTTAAATTTTAGATAAGACCCAGTTTGTGAAATTCATTCACGAGCTAATTCAACAACGATTATATACGATTTGAACAAAATCCAAAGGAACTAAAAATCAAAACGCTAAAAGATTATATCAAGTCTATGATAAAATGTCTTTAGTTACCAAACAGAGATAGACGGAGTGAGGAACTCACCAATAGAGATGGATCTGCTAAGGCGATTTGGGTCCTCCTGCGGTCTGCTTGAAGCTTCTAAGAGAGATGTTGCCTGTGTTTTGTTTGTTTTTATGGAAGAGGAGAACAGAAATAGAAGGGTTTTCTTTTTCCTTTTCGGCCTGGGCTTAAATTGTTTGATCCATGTTTTCAGTTTGTTTGATTTGTTGGGCTCTGCGTCTCAATTATTTAGGCCCGTCTAATCAGATGTAGTAATTAGGGCTTTCTTCAATTTATTTCATGGTGTTACGTGAATCAGTTTTCATGCACTTCAATAATCAATCAATCAAGTCGAGACTATAAAATTTTTATAATTTTTTTTTATGAAATTCGTTTTCTAAGAAATTTTATATAACTCATGCCCAGTTATTTTGAATTTGATAGTTTAAGTTTAACAAATATGATGAACATGGAAAAAAGAAAAAAACAATTACTTTTGTTTCTAATGATCCTATTAAAAGATGAAGGTAATTCCAGTGCATTATTTTCTCACTCGCATTGAAATAGAAATATTACGATAACCAATCTTAAATCCCACTTTTATATTCATATGAGAGAAAGAGAGCACTACATCCAGAGTACGTACATCCTATTCTCATCATATATGTTTGATCTTAGTTTTCAAAGGTGGGAAACCCAAAAAAAAAAAAAAAAACATAAAATAGAAATTAAAGGGTTACCAATGGTTTATGCAATATATATATATATATATATATATATATAGAGAGAGAGAGAGAGAGAGAGAGAGAGAAGAACAAGTGAGGGTGATTTCATTCAATAGGCTTCATATCTCAGAATAGTAGTTGTATAGAGTAGAATTTACATACACATCCATCCATCATCATTCAACGAAGATGGACGTTTAAGATAGAGTACATTCTTTAAAAATGCAAGCGGCGGTATCCGAACACTGTTGCAGGACACTTGGCAAGAAGCAAACGAGTAGGCACCTTCCTCTTGAGGTCACTGCCAAAAATATGGAGGTAACTAAAGAATGAAAGAATTGAATGCTACAAAAGTGACCAAAGTCAACCAATCTTCTTCCCATCTGACTGACTTCTTGTAAATAATAATAGAATATGTGATAGATACGTTAACAAGAAATTCTTGTAGCTGTACTGTATGGCCTTTGGGCTTCGAGCTTTGAGCCGATTGATCACTTGATTCTTGACTAACCCACGAGAATGGCTTCTATTACTTCTTTACGATCAACAACCGGCGGCTTTTAGGAAGTTATCGAAAGGGCTTGATGCCGGTAGCCTGAAGAAGTTAGGATGATGTTGATACTCTGTCGCGCACTGCATTTGAACAGTGCCAAGTGGTGCTATTAGTGGGCTTGCAATAATATCTTGGTCAAGGAACGGATTGGTAGCCTGCATATTTTTCAGTCAGAAGAGGCGAGGGAATGAATCTCTCAAGCTGATCAGGCATTGAAAACTGTTAAGGCTAAGCTTTGTAGAATATAATGAAATGTTATATAGTATAATCATAAATCATATGCGCATGGATGATACTTGAAAATAAATGCATAACGAGTATGTCCAGGTTGAAATTTCATACAGTAAGAAAACATGACCATCTGAACCCAAATCGGCGTAAGAATAAGATATTACCTTCCATGCCTCGTCATCATGGTTCTGGAGGGAGACATTCATCAAACTCTCCTGTCTCATGTGGACACTCATCACATGAGACATCTTCTGTTGCTTTCCCATCAGAAGTGTTTCACAATGATGAGCCATTTCCTTATAAGAAACATCAGGTGCAGTTATAGACAATCGTCCAACTTGATGTGTCGTCTCCAAGACCTGCATGCATAGAGCATCTATCTGTAATCATGCTTTTAACTTTTTTTTTTCTTTTTTTCGTTTTTTGCTTGACCGGATAATTGCAATATTTCAATTTGTTATCTCGAAACAAGTCCCAATCTCAAACAATTAGGGGCATGCAAGTAAGGCCCAAAGAGCAGACTAGACTGAACACTATAGATAACTTGTGAGAGAAATCAATCCGCATAATAAATTTTTAGTTATAGCACCAAAAAAAGCCTGTGTCATGCTTCTAAAAGCAAATAGCACTTAACAAGAGAGCACAATATAGGTAACATACTGATTCTAGAAGTTGACTGACACTCAACAGGTCGGTGTCTTGCAAGACTATTTCTGTGCTCTGAGTGGTTTGACCTTCCAACAAATCTAGAAAAACATCATCTACTGTAAAAAGTGGAGTGTCCTGCAAAACAAAAACAAGATGATGCAAGTACCAAGATTTTTTATTTTTTCTAATTTTTGAGAATGCAAATCCCAAGTATTAATAGAAAAGAAAAAAAGCAAAAGCATTTACCTCCACAAGAGATTCGTCTTTCGAATCAACCTGATCTATTTGATTTGGAGTATCCATAAACAACTGGGCTCCCAATGGACATACATCATCGGGTAAGAATTCGTTGAGGAGTTTCTCTCGTATAGTGGATACTTCAGACTGTAGAGAACAAGTCACTGTTTAATGCAGTGCTATCACACAGTAATACCATTGAGAGTAAAATCGTTAAATGACAGCCCAAAATATTTGAATAAATTAGACAAGTGCTTTACATTTGCCAAATTTCCCAAGCACTTGGCAATCTCAGCAGCAAAGTATTCCCTGCTTTGGTTCCCAGTAACATCCATATCTGAAAGGGCTTTTAAAGCTGAACTATCATCCTCCTTAGATCCATAAACAATTGTGGAGTGGCCAGATTCAGTACTAACAGCCTCTAACTTGCGATCTTCAACTAAGTGCAAAAATGGATCAACCTGATACAAGCATATAACTACATAAAAACATGAAGTTTATGGCTATTGTCACAAAGCACGAAAAAGCAACCAGAAAAGATTATTTATTTGCAATGGTAGAAAGCACAATCCGCATGTAAATATAGAACTTCAAGCAGCTGCTGAACAGATGCCTACAAGGTGAACCAATGCAAGTAAACTTGATCAGCAAGGATGCACATACCATTTTTTCTGTAAGCACCACCTTGGTGCAATAAATAAGCGGAATAATATTGAAAGCTTTTGATGAAAAAAGAATCATCGAAGTTGCCAGGGTAAAGAGGGACCTGCGATGTGATGGTGAGAGTGATTCTGCAATAACAGCGAGATTGTGGCTTCAATTAAAGAGATGATATCCAAAGAACACAAATTTTAACATGTTTTATTCATTAAAAAAAAAAAGAACATATTAATACTGCTTGGCATACTTATTAGCATGAAAATCGTTGGTAAATAGCAAGAAAAAATGAATGTGGTAGAATTTAATTGTACCCTAATCGCTTATTCAAAGGAGTTGTAATCTAATTACAACACAAAACTTTAAAACTGAAGCTGCAGCATTTACTTATCAGCAATGAATCATAGGACTCGGTACTCACCCAGTATGCACTAGTAACATCCACCCCCTCAGTAATCAAATTTGAAAGTTAAGAAACAACTCAATTTTGCTTTCCATTATATGGATGCAATACAAAGTTTAAAGACTTTCTTGAATGACCTACCAAACAGATTTGTGAAAAATAATTCAGATATGTTAAATCTCCATCCATGTTCCTAAGAACCTATCAACCTTTGTTGTGCTTAGTCCACCACAATTACTGCCACAAACGCCCTTCATCATTGATAATACCTAACTATATGTGATGAATGACTCTAGTTTGCCTTGGCTACTTTATAAAAATAGTATATATACTCCAATCTACTTTGTGAATGAGTTAATACTACAAAAACTAAAAATGTTTTACCATGTCATACATCTCAACCACAAGCCATCATATTATCTAGGAAAGATTCATTTTTAAATTAAAAAGTTTAATCTAAGGTTCCTCGACTTATTTTCACTTCACCTATCTGATCTATGCAACTTTGTCAATCATTGATGTAGATAATACACAAAGCATGCCATCTTCTAGTTTTGATAGAAAACTCAACCCAGTTCATTAACGCAAAACAACTTTCCATGCAACAATAACTTTGTGAACTTACCGTCTTGCTTAAGAGCAATGTTTCTCAAGGAAAATGCCAGCTGAAAACTTCTAATCAAAGCCTCATTACTGGAATTCTGTGGAACAAGATAAAATGCAATAGAACTCAGAAACTAACAACAAAAAATAAATAAATAAATAATAATAATAATAATAAATAAGAGGGGTAAAACAGAAGATAGAGCCTTTGTAGAAATAGCCAACAGAAATATTCTGCACAACCATTCAGGATCAACGACACATATCATTGGCGAAAAAAATTTAAGTCTTAGGAAAACTAGATTCACATCACTTCACATCTCACAAAGCTAATCGATGATTGAATTTTGTTGATCCTGTATCTTCTAAATTAAAGTCCATGAGAAAATTGTGGCATGTAGTAGTAATTGGAGTTATCGCAAGGCAGATAAACTACTTTGCCAATCAAAATAAACCTGCTTTAGGATTTTTTTCATATGCAGTTAAAGAAATGACAAGCTTAAACATTGATGACAGATACAAATAGCAATACCAAACTACAATAGCCGTAGCTTGAAACTGATATTATAACCAGTGCAAATTTGAATGCTACTATCAAATACATTAACTGAGAATTACCTTGGCTCGAGAGAACAGCAATACCAGGCTATATGTATGAGCAATTGCTTCATAGTTTTGAGGTGTATTTGCAGGAGAAATGGACTGTGTCCAAATTGATGAAAGCAAAAGAGTGATCTGGCGACTACTCAGCCTTAGAGAACCAGCCGCCTGAGATTCAATGAATGCAGAAGATTCAGATACAAATTAACAATGGACTAAACTAAGACAATTTTAATAACCAATTGAAGACTTGATTATTTTTGGTATTCAAGCTAGTGATTTTAGAGAGTAGGGGCAGCAATTTCCTGCATCTGAAAACCACATTTTGCATCAGCCATAACATACATGTATAAAGCCAAGGCCCACTTTTGCACAAGATGTATCTCATGATTAAGTCCATGGCAGTCCAGAATACAGTATTATGCTGAATTGACCCATATTCCATTGACAAACATTTTAAGCATCTCCAAGTACACTCTGACACTCCTTTAAGCAGCATTGATGCCTCAGATGAATTAAATACTATAGTATTTTAGAAGAAAAATGCATAACAGGAATGTCTTCTGCTGGAGCAGTACGGATCATGCTGAATTCTTTGTGCATAATTAGGATCGCATTAAGAGGATCATATTATAGTGGCTAGGTGAGGAAGAAAATTATAACTGATACAATCCCACTGAAGTTAAGTGAGTACGCTTGGATTTGGACAACTGCAATTTAGAAAATAAGAAGTTGACATTGCCAAAACTTACGGTTTCCTTATTCAAGTTGTTCACAGGATTCTCGTCTGATGATGAAGGTACAAGAGGATTTTTCACGCTGTATACTCGACTGGTAGATGACTTTAATCTAGCAGGCATCCTGTTATTAATTTGTTCACCTTCAAGAACATTATTTTCCCTAGGGGAAGTTTTATCCCTCCTTAGCTTGTCAAAAAGAGCAGCTGAAGAAGAAAAGACTGACACAGTTCTTGATAGAGTTCGTGAAAGATCAGAGCCTTTATTTGACTCAGGATTAGTTGAGGATGGACGAGGTGAAACTGAAGATGGCACAAGAACAACAGAAAAGATGCGGTGAGCTCCAACTCGTGTTTCGTGATCTGGATGGACCATAGCCGGAAGTAACTGATGAAATAAAGTTTCAGGGAATGCCTGAAGAAAGAAGAAAAGTATATTAGATAAACTACAGCAATGAAGGTAGTCGATAATCTTAAATATTCAAGTAGACCATGACTTTGGATTTGCCTTGTTTTGATATGACAAATTTGGTAATGAGGCAACAATTTGAGCTGTACGATAAACAGCAGAAATCGTAGTTCTGGCTATCACAGTAACATTTGAGATATTCTCCAACATAACAGCCATAATGTCAAGGATCGGGCCTGCTTGTCCAACCTGTTCACCAGTAGAAACCAGTTTTTTTATCTCTTTTGAAAATTCTGAAGAAATTGATCATGATATAAAAACATTTACAGTACACATAAAATGAAATTGAATTACTTAAAATAGGAACACTATTTTAAAACTCAAAGAAGCATCACACCAAGTAAGATCTAATGGAGATGAGTGCCACCTTATATGCTAACTCAGTAAGGCATTTATCCACCACTTCTCTGAAGTTTTTGTTCCAATTTTTTATTTCAGCTCCCAGATCTGCATCATCAAGTGAGCAGTGTATGCTTTTCCGCAAATGACGCATGACATCACTTACTGCACCAATTATTGCCACAGAAGGGTCAACCTTTGCATGCTCAGCAAGGGCAGTGGTAACCCCAACAATATCGAGCTGCATGCTGGGTTCTTTAAGGACATTTTTGTGATCAAGATGCTTAACCAATATGGATAGCAAAACATGTGTATTTTGCCCTAGAACACGTTAAAAAAATATATATGAAAGAGCACAATCAGTCTCCCATCAAACCATAATTAAAACTGGAAGAGCACATATATAGCGTGCTTCATAAATTAAAAGGATGGGCACAAAATACTGCTCTAGGAATACCAATTGAACAGTTAAAAGATTGCTTAAATACCAGAATTATCCATTAAAAACTGCATATCCTTTAAGACTGGGAAGGCAAGACCACTTTCAGGAGACCATAAATTTCCATTATCGAAGTATCGGAACAAAGATTCCAGAACACGCCGAATTGTTGTAGCCTCCTTCCCTAACCTGGCCATGTTATGCAAGCAAACCCTGGACCAAAAGCAGGGGTGCTGGGACTCTTCGCTGCCAAACCAGAAGAAAGATAAATATCTAATGGTTGATGACTGAAATACAATAAACTATGTCTTCACCAAGAGAATCTTGTGCCAAGAGATTACGCTGTCATATTTACTTCGCCTCTTTCATTCACAATTGTCCTCCATGAAGGAACCCTTGTAATGACCTCTGGTGAAGGAGTGACATGTCCCTCATCTTTCAGCACTTCTTGCACCCAACGACTCTGAGGACCTTGCTTGTCAGTATCAAGGTTCTCTGAACTCCTCTTAGGACCTCCATAATTTTCCAAGACTACTGAAACTACCTGTTTAATTATATGAATAGTATTTTAAGAAAAAGGTCACAAGTACACTAAACAATGTTTTATCTTTGTGCTCAAAAATAGGGGAAAAAAAGGAAGAATGAATGAGCTGACACTAGGTCATATTCTTTAAATTGTAAGAACAATGAAAAGGAAAAGGAAAAATAAAGCATGCAGATCAATGAGTTTGTTTTAAAATCCTCTGCTGTGGAGACTTCCTTGAATAGCTTCTGCAGTAAACTGTTCACATGAATGTTCTTATTGGTGTCATGGCATTGCGCAAATGGTAAAGATCTCGTTCTTCTATGCACAAGCATGCATGTTCAAGTCTTGAGGGCAGACACTTCTAGGAAAGATGTCCAAGATAGATCTCTCTCAGTGAAATAGAAAAGTTAGTGCGCAGATTTGAGCTGCCTCAATTAACACACTTCTCTTTTTATTTCTTTTGAGCATATATGTCCATATATAAGACTCATCTAACTAACAAATATCAGTCAAATTAGCAAAGTAACAACTAACAGACTGACTAAAAGACTCGGTCGTGTTCATGTTCGAAAATTATGGACAAGTTGCAAAACACAGTTGGATATAATTACTTAGTTTTCAATTCTCAAGTAGAAATGTGGAGAGCGTAATAAGAGGTATTAAAATCTGCCATGCATAGGTAAACTTGCAATGCAATCCAAGACAGTCCCCAAATCTGCTTACATTGTCAAACTCCACAGAAATATGAGAGTGTCGACCCATAAACCAAACCTACAAACACAAAAGTCAAAAAAATAAAAATAAAAATTCCAATTAGCATAAGAATCATTGAAATGAAAAGTACTAATACTAGAGAGTGTATACTTGTCAAAGAACCATCACAACCCAAAAGCTTAACCTTATAGGTGAGGCCCCGGGAATGATTTTATATTATTCTCTAACACACCCCTTCATGTGAAAGCTCTTTGGGCTTGAAACTTGCAGAAGCCCACCATTACCTTGTGCTTAATTAGAAGAGAAAGTGGGGGTGGTGGGATTCGAACTTGACCATATGGTCATCAAGCCTCTGATACCATGTCTCAACTCAAAAGTAGGTGAGGTCCTAGGAAAGGTTTTATATTATTCTCTAACCGAACTTATATAGCAGAAAAAAAGAAATCCTTTCCCTCAAACTGCTGGCACTTATTCTCGGAACAATTTTGAAACAAGAAAGACTCACAAAGTGGCCATTGGTCAGGCAAGGTGCATCTAGAATTAAGGAAGTAATTACATTTGATGGACTTGCTGGCTACAGTAAGATTCAAGATAGGTCTATTTGATTGGGATCTCCCATTGTTCAATGTGAGCAAAGTATCACCGATTTCGGAAGAACCGTAGTTCTAAAAATTTGAAGAAAATATAGTACTAAAATGGGGGGAAAAGTGTACCATAGAAGAAAGGGCTTGCAGACCGGCTGCACGTAGACTTTTTGCCCTTTCATCCTCTCCCTCTTCTTGAGCAAACTGACAGAGTTTTGGAATAAATCCTTCTAAGTTGAACATGAATGTTCCATCATTCTGCAAAAATCAGCTATAAGAGATGAGTTTGAACGTTCCTCTGCACAAAAACCTAAAAGCTCAACAACAAATTACCCCGAATCTGATGTTGAGTTACTAAGTAACAAACAATAGCACCTACCTGATTATTTACAAAGTCAAACAGAGTCTCGCATCCTATAACTTGGATGTCATTCTGCCGTGTTTGATCCAAAAGAGTACTAATGATGCTCAGTAAGCTACTTGCAAACAGAGGCCTGTAAAATGGTCCCCAATCATAAATACACATATAGTAGAGATGAGAGCAAAGAAAGCCAATACAGATGCTACACTGTTTACCCAAGGCGGAGGGAATGAAATAGTAAGTGGAGAGAAAAGAACATTGTCCTAGCTGTCAAGCATACAATTATGGTTAAAAATACTTGCATTCTCAATAAGGACTGTTGTCCCTTGTTCCTAAAAGTGTGATTTAAGAAAGCTTAAATGGGTATTTGTAGTGGTGTATATAGTGAAAAAGAAAGTGTGAAAGAAACTATATAAATAATGGGAAAATAATGAGATTTTAGAAATGCAAATATAGCAGAGTCCACAAAAGAAAGCATGATGGAAAGAGACATACTCACATTTGCTCCTTGCAAGTGATCAACAATTTCCTGTAAATGCACATCACTATTTTTGCAGATTGAAAGTTCTCAATTCTCAGTTCCTTGTAACACCTTTGCTCAAGAGAACTTGTGATCTGATCACCAAATTTGCAGCTTCCATTAGTCACAAAACAATCATAACGGCAGGGGGAAGGGAGAAAGAAGAGAATCAATATGATTTTTCATCCGTAAAATAGTCTAACTTGAGCAACATTAAAAACCTACACTCATTCCAGCAAAAGAAAAGGGGAATGGAAATGAAAGAGGTAAGAAACCAGATGAAAACTTTCTTACTTTACCAACTGGACATGTACTGATAGGCAATGCAGTCATTTAAGAGTGTATACTGTTCAGCATGCTTTATGTCTCTTGACAAATAATAATTTAATCAAACAGCTAACAAGAGAAGGGCACATGAAAATAAACAAACTCTTGCAAACATTAGTTCCATGATAAACAAACAAAAGAAAATTGGCTGATGTTTGTTATCTGACTTCTTGATTTCCAAGAGAAATAACACTTGGACAACAATTTTAGCATATATTATTTAATAGTTTTTTCAACCATACAGAGAGCATTACGGCCAATATCAGCCAAAATTTCACCTTATTTTAGTCAAGAAGTAAAGGTGTACATGACACATTGGAACTTTCCAAAATATGAGACCTGTGTCACACAATTTGCATTAATTTGAGGTTTATATGAGACAAACTCTACCTTTGGGATACGAAGAGGATTTTTAGCAGCATATTCGCATAGTTTTCCAATCTTCCGATCATTTGGTCCTTCCTCCTGTCATTAAATATACCATTAGCACAGAATTCTGAAGAAATGGCATTGAACGTCAAATCACCCCACAGTTGAACAGAATGAAATATTTCAGATGCATCGTGCTTGCTTGATGAAAGCATATTTTCAAAGAAGAGTTGGAAACGGTAGCGGCTTAAGATTCATCATCTTTATGATTGAGGAGTAAGCCAAACAGAACAACTAAAATACTTTCAGTTTCAATATAATACAAAGAAAAAAAAACTGATGGCACAGAATAAAAAAAATCAACAATAGGACAAAAGAATGACAATGCACCAAAAAAAAAGATTTTGAGTCTTAAATGGTACCTTAAAAGCTATTAAGGGACTCAATAGCGTCCCAAGTCACAAAATTCCTCCAGGCTCAATTGGCATATGATCTTAATGAAATTCTCTTTGTCAATGCATAACGGTACTCGTTTCTAATACCTAAAGAAAACACAGCCATCTAGGAGTTGGAAGGTAAAATCTTTTCAAGTTCTTATAAAACTCATTGCTATGTTCAGATTTATAAAAAAATAATACATTATTTGCAACCAGTGACCCAATACAAGGTTGATGTTCATCTTTGATACACTGTCTGTTTTTCATATAAAAACATATAAGAGACCATGTGCTGGCAGTTGCAACATTGACATGATATGCTTTCAATGCAATATTTACAGCAAGATGAACATTTTCTGTCACTGGCAGAGACAACAAGTTAAAAGAGGGAAGAGAAAAAAATGTACACTCCAAATTGCATTGCCACATTATAAAGTATGAACTAGCTTATTTTCATGAAATTGCTTTACTTTAAACCCATCTTCAAAATTAATCAACAAATGCAACCATTAGATTCAGAAACAAAGAAATTATCACCAAGAACTGGTTATTTTGAACAAACATACCAAATGTGATACAAAACATGACAAAGGACAAGAATTAAAGAATGGTAACCTGGTTTCGAGGAAAAATATCCGCAATCAGCTTCTTATACCGCTTGACAGGCTGTCTGGACCTTGCCCTCATTGCAGGGCAAAAGAAACAAAGGCTACCACATGCAGGCATCACTTGCCTTGAAATTACACCCGAAATCGCGCTCATTTTGGATTCCAAATATACTTCCCTCAAAATTTTGCTTTCTTTCCCCTCTAAACCGAGCAGATACTCAAGATTTCGGAAACAAGAAGGGAAAGAAAGACTCAAAACTCGACTTGGTACCCCTCAAATTCAATGGCCAGCCTGTGTTAAAAAAAAATTACAAATTCAACAAAAGGAGTTCTCAAAAAATACCCAAAAAAAAAAACTCAAAATTCAACAACCATACAGAACAATTTCGGATTTGGCTAACAGAACAATGTGGAATTCAAATTCAAGAAAAGGGTCATAACAACAGCAAAATATCAATAATCAAACTATAAAATGAGATATATTTTACCTCGAATCAGAGCCAAGAAACAGCTGACCAGAGGCTGGAAATCTCTCTAGGCCATGTAAAAAAAGCACCGAATTTCCAGCATTGTCCAAACCACTCAATTTAATGCCTGTCCTCTCTCTCTCTCTCTCTCTCTCTCTTCCTCTTTCTAAAAACTCAACTGAACAAAAAAAGACAAAAAAAGAAAAAAATTTATTTGTATTATGAGCCGGCGCCATGCCAATTTAAAAATTAAAAAAAATGATTGTAAAGTTCTACGCGTTCAAAACCAGCATTACATGTGGACCCCGACGTACCCCTGAATCATACCAACAAAAAAGAGTAAATTATAAATTAATCCTTAAATTTTCATAATCGTATAAGTTAATCCTTTTAGTTCAGAAAATTGTATGTTAAACCCTTGATCAACTTTGACCTCCGACTTGTTACTCTCTCTAGACCGTAAAAATAATTTTTTTTAATCTCAAAATGTCTGTCTGTATCTAAAAAATAAGTGAGTTATCGCCTCTTAATAATCCATTATGTCATTTATCATTTATTACACTTCATCAAAGATATGTATTTTTGAAAAATTAAAAATAAATCTGATGTCTAAAAATATTTTAATTTCATTTTGAATAATTATCTAAGAATGATACGTAAAATTCAAAGTGAATTATTATTGTGAATCGTAGTCCATAAAAATAACACAAATTTGTTACTTTGTCAAGTAATTTCTTAATAATGTATAAAACTAACTTCAAGACTAAGTAAATCTAAAAGACATAAATATTAAATTCACAGCCCTTTTTACTATTGGGACTAAATTATTATCTTTTCAAAAAAAAAGGACCAAAGTTATAATTACCGACACATTTGGTACTTTACCTCTCTGTGTTTTTGTTTTAGCGAATTACTAAAAGAAAGTGTCGTCTTGACAGTTAAAATTACAGGTTTGTTTGGTTGTCTTTTGTTCTGTTCTTCCTCCGGCTCGCCGTTACATGCCGTACAGTTATGCTCCGGTTATTGCCCCGTGTTTTTATCCTTCGAAAATGGCAACCAAAGCCCATATAATCAAAAAAATGGCTGACAAAGCTATAATTAGATTCAATTTTTTTTTTTTTTTTTTTTTTTACAATCCACCCTCATAACTCATAAGTCATATATTTCACTTTCGTTCCAATTTTTTCCATCGCCTTTCGTCAGGTGTATAAATTTTAATTCCTTCTCTAAAGTTTAGAAATATATCAATAACATAAAAAAAAATTATAAACTAATTGAAATTAACAAAAATAGAAAATAGAGAATCAATATATATATATATATATAAAACAAATGTGATAAAAATTTGAAAATCTGAGAGGGTTAGTTTCTTAGGAAATCCTCAATTTTCACTTAACAACGTCATTTTTTTCTTTATCAATACTTAGTTATATGAAAAATTAAGATTCAAATTAATATAAATATCTTTTACCTTTTATCTTTTTTTATCAATCACAACCCTTTTATTTATTTGATGTTGGCATCAAATAACACCTTTGATATGTGCAAATAATCACCATATAATTGATATCAAAATTATCTCATATTCAAAATTTTAACAAAAAATTAGATAAAAAAATAAAGATATAAAACGCCGATGAGAGACTGTATGAGAGCCAACAATAGTGATGGATGATAATATTTATTAAAATATATTTTCATCGTATTTGTGTTTAACTTAATTTTATTTTTTGTATCATCAAAGAACTACTAAATAGCATTGATGTGAAAAAGAAAAAAAACTTATTTTATCATTTTTTTTATTAAAAAATTGTTTTTCTTTAATGATTTTTTCAATTTTAATGTTTTTATTTTTAACCCATTTGGGTTATATTGAGATATTCTATAAATTTTAGAGACAATTAAAATTTAAAAAGAGTTGGAAAAAAAAACACAGGATCTAATTGAAACAAATTAAAAAAAAATTAGATGAAATTGAGAAAATACATAAACCTGAAGAGGGAAAATTAAAATTTATCCTTTTAATTTTGATATGTAATAATTGGTATGAGAAGAGAAAAAAATGGAAAAATAGTAAGGAAATTAGTCAACAAAACATTATCACTATGATAAACCGCATGGCAAAAGAATCCTGATTGCAGGGCATAGCCATTCTGTACTCCAAAGCAAAACTCTAACAATGATTAATAAAAACATCTTTATTACTAATGAAACAAAAGGATTAGACGGCCAACCATTTTAGGACCCGTTTGAATTGTAGGTAATCGAGTGCCTTACAATTCGTTGCTAGCCAGCAACCTACGCTGCACTGGACAACTCATATCAGCCAACTTTTTGTGCCTGTGACAGAAAAACTCAATCTGGATTTCATTAACTTTCCTGTAAAAAAAAAAAAAAAAACAGATAATTTTCCATTTATTATTTCAAGCTCGGGCTTTGTAAGCTGACTGACTTTGTGACGGGTCACTGCCCTAAATTTAGTACCTTCATTCAACCAGTATAATTCATGCAGGTTCCACAAGATAGTCTGCTAAGCAAAGATTTGGTTGAATGAGTATGAGTTGTATCTGCCTAAAATGCTTAAAAATGGAGAGTGATGATGGAACCAGCCAATCACTCGTCATGGCAGAAAAAGGCAAACAGATAGTCAAGGCCACTTCTTTCCATATATGGCCTAAGCTGCTATGAGTGCTATCCATAATCCATATCGCTAAGTTGCCTACATTAACGCATTTTCAGATCGAGGAGGAGGAGGAGGAGGAGGAGGAGGACATCAGGGCCTACCACCTTCCCTTCTCCAGATCTGGTCTCGTACAACGCCCAGTCTTGGCAGCCATTTTGTTTCCAATGACAGAAGTTCCGGGAAAAAGAAGCATTTACAAATTCACAAATTCCCCGGTCCTTATTTTTTATTTTCCATAACACATAGCATCTCATGAGAGAACATTTTACTAGGATACGGTGCAAGTTCCAAAACAGTTGCTGCGATTCTGACTCTCATATTCTAATTTGCTGAGATTGGCTAACCTCTCCAGGGCTGAGTAGAAAATCAAATGAAGCCAAAATTTTGCAAACACCCGCAAAAGTGTAGATTCAATTGCCTGACAACTTCTACTACAAACAAAAAGCCTTTGTATGAAAGTTACAAACAGACTTGCAGTTCAAAACCATACAAATTGCCTCGATGCTCAGAAGTTACATTTGCATCAATACTGGCTTTAAATAAATGGAAGGGATCAGAAATAGAAAAAAAAAATTACTACTCTGGAAGTAAACTTTGCTGTTTTGACAGCCAAACCTTTCTAGGCTTTGGAAGTACCTCTATGATCCCTCTCAACATGCTCCACAAGCGCCACAGGATCACGAAAACCTTTACTACACCTGGGACATACCTCCATTGGCAACTGCAAGACACGAGATTGATTTCCACCTTTTTCATGGACCTTCTGCACATGCTCTACCAGAGTTGTGACCGAGGAAAACCTTGTACCACACTGAGGACACTCCTCCGGTCCAATTCCTCCACTTCCATTACTGCTGCTTGGGCTTGAACTATTTGTTGCAGTCTGCCAAGCCTGGCTGATCTCACTACTCAATTTTGCCATGCCTGCTTCAGCTGAGGCTCGAACATTTGAAGCAGCACTAAGAAAGCTAGTGGTCCACTTGGACGAAGACACAGGTGTAGCTCGATTGGATTTTGACTCTTCCTTCTTACTCCTATTCAAGAGACCCATAAAAGGAAAGCTCAAGTCAGGCTTCTTGGGTCCAGGACAATTGTGATCTGGTCCAAACCGGTGCTTCAGGCAATGGTCCATAGTGCAGTCCCGACACTTGATTGTGTTTGAGAATGTAAGGACCTCCCTACAACCACGGACAGGGCATTTTATCTTCTTTGTAACTTTATCATAATTTGAAGGGTCACATTCAGTATTGACATGTGCTTCCCAAGAAATGTTTGGGTCTTCATCAGGATTTAGACGAACTCCCTTCGCACATAATGGACAGATGACAACAGTAACACCATTGCTATCAGCTTTTGGGCAACCGTGTTTAGTATAACTTCTATGCTCCAAACAAAATACCTACAAATTATTTCGCGCATACAATTAACACATATCAAAAGGTTCTAATAAAATCAAATGCGGCAATCAGCAGCCAAATAGAGATTCAAAATATATGGAGACCAAAACAGGAATATCAAAGACTAAGCACGCCTGCAACAATGTGCTTAAATTGGCATTCAGAATACAATGAACACTCAATTAACTAACTTCCACTGCCCAATTACTCCAATTATTTTGAAACAGTTCAACCATCTAAAAAAAACAGTTAGGTTTTTACATGCAGAATACGAAGATCAACTGATCTAGTAGCATGGATTTTCAGATATACTATTCAATAAAGACATTGCATGTTCATTTCTTTCGTTAAGGAAAAGGGTTAGTAGAGTCTTTAAAGTTTTGCAAGCAGCGCATATGAAGATTCAAAACATCCTGTAAAAACTAATTCAACTATTCTTCAATCATGGACTACAATTCAAACAAGCAACGACCAGAATCAACCACTATACCATCACCATAGTTCAAAATTTTGCAACATAATCCCCAACTTTCAGCTTCCAACAGAAGCAGCACGCTACGTGAAATTTCAAATCTTTGGAACAATTAAAAAACAACAGTATAAGTCAATTCATTTGAATAAAAACTCTTCATGATTGTAACTCCAACTTCAAGATAAATAAAATTGGCTATTGGCTACTAATTTAAAGCATGAAAGAACCACTATCATTTATAGCCTACAATACTTGAATCATAAAACAAAGCCGCAAGCTTTATTTAAAAGGGACAATCCTTTACTAATAGAATCAAGTAAACAAGCCTCAAAGTTGCAAACTATCATACTATTTTCATGTTGATGCTCCCATTTAAAATCATGGGCTCCAGTAAATTAATGGTCTTAGCATATAAAACACATCAAGATTCAAACTTCATGAAATCCAATCTCAAGTCAATGCCTACACAATAATCATACTTTAAAAAAATGGTTTAGCGATCTTAGCTTCTAAAACACATTGAAATTTCCTTCTTTTCAATCTAAAAGTCAACGCCAATAAAAACAAATAAATGAACAAAAGCTTAGGAATTGAATTACATCATTCAAATTGGAAAGTACCTGGCGGCAACGATCACAAGTGAAAGGCAAGAAATCGATTTGTTTGCAATCTTCAACCGAGCAATGCTTACCTAGATCTGGGAATTGTGGAGTGCCCATTATTATTACTAGAAATTGGGTGGATTCCAATAATATAAATGAATTTAACAAGTATGTATTGAGAATTTTTTTTGGAGAAGGAGAATTGAATTGTGATGAGTATTGCAGGATTTATGGAGAGATCGTGGTATTGAAATGAATGTCTGAAAAATTCTGGAATTCCGCGTATTTAGAAAGCCGCGGAATAGAAGCCAAAAAACAAAAAGTCTAGGAGAAGAGTCTTTGGCTCGCAAAAAAAAAAAGTATCCTCTCTTTCCTTCTTGTTGTGTTTTTTTTTCTTTTTCATTTTTTGGATTCTTATTTGAGGAGACAGTCCGGTATGGGTCAAGAATCCGACCGAGTCCAGCTTAATATGGATAAGAGCCATATATATATATATATATATATATATTATTTTATTTTTTTCCTGTTTTCAAGTTCTTTCCTCCCCCAATCCCTTATCACCGTCACGATATTGACATGGACTCTCCACTTTACTGCGGCAAATAATAAGCGGATCTAGTTGGCACTGGTCGGTTATATCGATTTCAATTTAACAGTATGCTGGTTAATCAACTAAAAATATATAAAATTAAAGGTAAAATAAGAATTTTTATCTAATTTCATAATTTTTAATTAAAATTTTGTATTAAATTATTTATTTTAAATTTTTGTAATTAAAAAAATAGTACTTTTATTGATTAAATTGATTTCTTTAATTTGTCGTTTTCTATAAAAATTCTCGTCAAAATTTTTTTTTATATAATTTTTTGTTAATAAATATGATTTTTTTTTCTATATTAGAATTTTCTAATAAGTTTTTTAAATAAATAATCAATTGAAAAATAAAATTCATGTGTTTTATTTGCTTATTTTTTATATAATTAAAATATATCAAAACTAATTTTATAGTTGTTTTTATAGCAAGTCTACTAATTTCAATATATTTCTTACAACTTAAGTTTTTTTAAAAAATATTTTTTGATTTATGTTGCATGAGTATTAATTCTAAAATTCGATATATATGTTCATTATAAAATTTGAAAACATATCGCATATATTTCATAATCAGCGCCTTACATGAAAAATAAAAAAATAATAATAATTGATTTTTCATCATTTTTGCATCTAATTCAAATAATAAAAAATTAAAATAAATTACTAGAAAAAGAGAGAGAAGAAAGCATGCATGTTTGGCCCATCCAAGGACCAAAAATATTTTTTTAGAAATACCAAGGATCAAAAAAATACAAAGTCAAATTTACATTTGAATGCTTAAAAAACTCCAAAGTCATGAAAATAACAATGTATAATGAAAATAAATAGTACATATGAGTTTAAGTAAATAGTAAATGTGAATCTCAATAAATAATAATCTATCCCAAATCTTTTAGTTTTTTTTTTATATGTATATAATGATATTATTTTATGTTCGAATCTAAAAAAGCTAGTAAACCAAAAAAACAATTTATCACGAAAGCACTGTTTTAATTGTGGAGTTAAAGAACCAATTAGAAAATAAAATTAATGCCAGAGTTCATAAACACAAAATGATGGCTTCTATAACTATAATTTATGTGAATGGTCTCATGTTGAGACAAACTTACTTAATCTTTTCCTATTAAGGAAGAAATAATTCCAAAAGGTTATTCTAGAAACATTTATAGTAAATCAAGTTTTTTTTTTTTCCTTTCCTTTCTATAAGTTTTGTATCCATAAAAATTATTTATGATGTTTATTTTGGATAAATGCACTGTTTTTTTTTTTTTTTTACATTTTTAATTTCATTGAAGTTATCGATAAGTGCTTCCAATTAAGATTATTCCGAAGAGATCAGGATGCCGATGGCTGCGGGAGGTGAAAGTTACTTTGTGGCATAAATACAAACAATAGCAATAACACCTTGGCTGGCAACTTGAAGGACAGAACACAGAGACAGGCTGCCTGCCCACCATGCGTGACTCCAACTATCTCTACTCTTATCTCTATATCCAATATTCATAACACCATAACATAACTCAAACACGAAACCAAAGTTACAGAGAAATCCAAGATCAACCTGACACAAACTCGACTAACATGAAAATATCACAATGCAACTCGTTTTTTTAAGTAAATCAATAGTTAGAAATTTGAGGCCAAATCAAAGATTTTTAGACAGTAACATCGTTTAATACCTCTGTTGACACAAACATTAGACGTGAACACTGAAGCTGATCCTAGGTGATCACTGAATCCTTTTGACTAGCTCCCAAACAGTCTATGGAGTTTGCTGCTCCATCCCCTTCCATAGACTAGGGCACGCTGCAATTCCAGTTACCATCCTTTAAAGCAAAACAATATATTGCATCAATGCAAAGCAGGGGTAAAAGCTTGTTACATTTGTAGAAAACTGCCTGTTTAGCAAGCAATAAGCCTATGAATCTCTACATTCATTTCGGAATCAACGCTACTGAAGGATAAGAACCTTTCCACCATCCAAGTTCCAAGTTAATCCAGAACCACACTTCTTGCACCTGATTTTCCTAAGTCCCTTGACAACTCCCATCAACATTTAGCTAGCTACATTACAGTTGCAAATTCATCTTCTGTGTCTTCTTAGTTAGGTTTCTGATTATCAGAACAATGGAACTGACAAAAAGTCACCTCTAAATCCTTCACTACGAGTATTCCTGCAGGGGTCCATATCATCTAGACAGAATCAAACTACAATTCAACAGCATATACCAGTCATCCACCAACAGTATGATAGAAGAACCATCTCTAACACCTTCTTAATTATCAGGATAATCAACTTGATGAGTTAGTATTTAGTGGATCATTTCAGATTAGGAGAGAGCCGCAAAAAATAAAATCTTCTCCAAAAGAGAAGAAAATGCAGAAATGGAAGCACAACTCTACTCAGATATTAGCAAAAACAGTCTCCTCTTATAGATTCACATCTAAATCATTCCATCACTAATACACCACTTCACATAAATCAGGAATTAACATAAACTCCTTTGTCCTTACCCCTTCAAGCCTTCGCATACATTAGGCATAAACATAAATCTTTACTCCTTTAAGCAAGGAAAAAAAGACTTTCAAGATCTATAAGATTAAATCACAGGTTTTATTAGTCTCCACCTCCATTCACTCACAAATCAGAATGCAATCACATAACCAGAAAGCGCCGACATACATTCAGCCAGAAACATAGGCATCCCAAAATTGGATGGAACAGAACCATTGTAGAAACAATAAACTAGGAAATCGGTAGGGCTAACATCAATGAACACACAAATCATGTTCTAATTACCTACAAAATCTGGTTTCTTACACTTTTGGATTGAATTATTGCCAAGAAACCCCAACTTGCCCAACAGATCATTGATTGCTAATTTCACATTTATCCATCGAATATAAGTGAAATAAAATTTGTTTCAATAATCACAATATAAACAAATCGAAAGCAAAAGAAAAGGGGAAAAACAATAAACCAACTGCAATTCAATTACTAAACTACTTTATTCAATGCACTTAATCCATTCATTAAACAAAAAATTACAACCAAAAGGGTACCAAAATTTACACGCTAATTAAAGAACCATTATCATTGTTACTACTACTAGGATCTAAAACAGGAGAATTAGAAGGATCTAAATTGAGTAAAAACACAGATCTAGCAGCCATAAGCCTCTTGCTTTTAAGAGAACAAGCAGTACCCCTGATCTTGCGCATCAGAAAACAAGGGACTTGTTCGAGATCAAGAATTGAAGAGATCGGTTGTGGGGTTGAAGGGATTGAGTCGAATTGGTGGACAGATAACCGAGATAGTGAGTTGATCTTGGAATCCCTGAGTTGAGCAAGTGCACCAGGCTTTAAGTATTTGTAGAAGTTGGACTCTTGGTTTCTTCTCTTTCTTGTGACTAAGGATCTTGAAATGGGGTTAGGTTTCATTGTTTTTGGAAGGGATGGGAGAGGAGAGGAGAGGAGAGAAGAGATCTTTAGAGACTGAGAAGGTGGGATTGGAGAGTGGGGATGGTGGGGGTTAGGGTTTGGCGTTTTAATAAGGGGTGCGTTTGGTAGGCGGGAAACCGAGGGAGGGAAAATCTGAGGGAGGGATGAGTTAGGGTTTTGAAAAGGGTGGGGCGGGATAGGATTCGTAGGTGGGAGATTGTGCCATGTGGATGTTTTCGACGGTGGATTTTTGAGGACTGATTCTCTAGGATTTGACTAGTATCCAATGTATGCGTGTGGATTTTGTGTTTAAGCATATAAAGAAACCGTCTTGAATACCGACCAAGATTGGCGATTTTTTAAATAACGGAGCAAATTTTGCATTTTAAATTCCAAAGAGCAACAATTGTTGGGGCAAAAAAAAAAAAAAAAGCAACAACAATAATAAAGGATAGCATGGTGTACTGCCCTTCATAAATTATTTATTAATTTATTCCCGTTTACTGGGATGTTTATGAACACAAATGATCATGGTTTATGATTGACTGTCTCGGGATATCAATATATAGAAACTTGATCCAAATTTAATCCAATCTGGACATTATTAAATTGATTTTATATGTAATTTTTATGATTTGAGTTTAATTATAATCTAAATCTGTTTATTAAATAAATCAAATGTAAAACTACTTCGAATAGATATGATAATAATTCGATTCAAAATTAATATTAACATCGTCTATAATAAATATAATATTTTAAAATATATAAAAAAAATGAAAAAATGAAATATGATTCAGATTTAGGGTTTATTTACCTTAAATACTACATACCGTTGTATACTTTTTTTTTCTATATAATAATAGTTATTCTTTCAAAAAAAATCACTTGATATGTTTGTTTTTCCGTCATTTTTTCAAGTCTCAAATTATTCTTATAAAAAAATCCTATGAACATATTAAAGAAAAAATATAATAAGTTGTTACTAGTACTATACTTTTGTTTTTAATTTATAACATCTTGGTTTGATGTATTTTTTGTCTAATTCAAACTTGCTATTATAGAACACTAGAATTTTCTTTCATGCCAATAAAGTTGTGCTTGAAATAGGTATTTTTAGAGAAATTATTAGACGGACTTAGTCCACCGTTTGAGCTTATAGACCAAACTAATATAGCTATTATAAATAATTAAAATTTTATAAATTATACATTGAGTAAATCACATTTAGAATGTGAATCTTTTTACATTTAATTGCACATTCATAATTACAAAACGAAATAATCAATAATACGTCCATCACAAAAATGTTATGAAAGAATTTACTTATGAGTAAATATTCTATTAGTTTGGTCCATGATCTTAGGTGGTGGTTTAGATCCATGAAATAACTTCTTGCATATTTATAATTTAACTTCGTTTTGTCATACTTCTTGTCTAATTTAAATTAATTTAACTTTTAATATAAATTTTTATTATAATTATTTTATTTATTATTTTTAACGATCAAACGTCTTTTTTAAATGACATTAAATATTGTCATGATATATATATATATATATATATATATGTAGTCTTGAAATTCACTTTACATCAAAGCATAATTTTGATTGTAACCAACACTTTTTCTTTGAAAAAAAATGAATAATAAAGTCCATGGATATTTGAAACCATTCTCAGTACCCGTTAGGATCTAGATCTAAATCAAAGATTGAAAAACTAGATCTGAATTTATAAAATAGATATACTATGATCATGTATGAATCGACCTATTGATAATTCTAGTTATATATGTATATTGAGAAATTTTATGTCACTTCGTGAATAACTAACAATACTTGATATATAGAAGAGAGAGAGAGAAAAAAACTTAGATGAAAATATTTTCATTACTTTTGGAGTGTTTAAATACGATATTATCTCTTTTTTATGTATTTATATCTCTCTTCAAAATAGATCATAGAGTAAGTATTATTAATTATTTTTTAAGTATCTTACAATTTCGCTATACATATCAAATTGGTTTTGTGAAACAAATTCAAAGCTCAATGACTCTAGTTTCTTTCTTTTCTATGTAATGGAAATGGAGTGTCTCTTGTTGTATAGTTAGAGATCTTTCAAACCCTTAACGAAAGAAAACATTACTCTCTCAATTCAATTACTCGTTGACCCTTTTGCAATATACACGAATTTGAAAAAACACCAACAATCTATTAATTTGTGTTGACTTTAATGTGTTATTATTTTTCTACTCTTTAGTTGTCTAAACTTTTGTGCATTCTTGAATCATAAATTTAAAAATATTAAAGGATACATAAGGAAATCTAGTATTTGGGAAAAAAAAAATAACTTTCAAAATAGCCAAATAAAACAGGACAACTAAAAATTACAAAATTGCCAATAAAAATGGAACAAAAAGAGTACAATATTTATAAGTGCACCATTTTTGTTAAGCATAAAAAGAAAAAGGTTTTCTAACAATCAAATATCAAAATTACATCAAGAAAAAGTTCATGGATAAAAATTAAACTATGATGCTCCTTTGAGAAAAAAGCTTTTTTTTTTTTCGGTGAATCATCCCGAGAGATGCAACTTAGCTTATTAAACGGGGAAAAAAATATGACCAAAATTTTTTATCAAACAAAACAACTCCGGTAATAAACAATAAGCAAAATCACAAGTGCACCATTTTTGTTAAGCATAAAAAGAAAAAGGTTTTCTAACTATCAAATATCAAAATTACATCAAGAAAAAGTTCATGGATAAAAATTAAACTATGATGCTCCTTTGAGAAAAGCTTTTTTTTTCTTTTTTTTCAGCAAATCATCCCGAGAGATGCAACTTAGCTTCTTAAACAAGTGAAAAAAATATGACTAAAATTTTTTGTCAAACAAAACAACTTTGGTAATAAACAATAAGCAAAAACATAAAATCCAAGGAGAATGATTGTTTTTCTTTAGTTGTATTCTAGATTTTTAATGCAATGCAATGTTGTTTCAAGTACATAAAAAAGAACTTAATTAAATAAAAAAAATCACACAATAAATGAGTAAAATTTTCTTTAAAGAATAAAAAAATGAAATTTTTTTCCCTAATCATTAGAAAATTTAGCAATTAAAATCATGTTACTATATTTTAGAGTGAAAAAAAGACCAAACTATCAAAATAGTATTACTAGAATTTGTAGGTGACTATCTTAAGTTATAATGAAATTGTTTTTTTTTAGAAGACTCGCGTCGTCTACGTAACTTATCTAATGTAATAGATTAAGAATACAATAACCTCAACTTCCTTGTCGTATCTTAACAAATTTGTATTATTTGTACAACTTAAAATTCTAAATAAAATAATACCACGCTTACTCAAATTTAGAACTAATAAAAATTATATGGCTTTATAGTATGAGACTACGGAAGACAAAAATGAAGAATTATTTTTCTTCTCTATGTAATATAAGAAATGCTAATTTATTTTTTATTTCTAGTAAGCAAGAGTATATAAAGTTGTTGTTATATCCAAATCATAAGAAAAGACTCTTATTTGTAGGTGATGAAAAATAACCATTTCTAATTGTTATAAAATGGTTTTGTATTTAAAACGATATAATAATGATAACTAACAATTTTGACCAAAATTAATATTACGCTTTATCAAAATAATCCAACATGCACTAATGCTAGTACTTGATTTAGTTATTTATGAGAAATACAAATCATGATATTTTAGAAGAAATTATTAAATGTTTTTAAAAGTAGTGCTTTCTTACTCACATAATAATGAGATTTTATCAATAGTTATCATGGTGGATCTCACTTTTATACTTATGAAAAAAATAATATTTCATAAGCATCTAATAATTCATGAATATCTTAATCCATTTTAAACAATAAAAGTAAATTATATAAGGAGATTATTATTATTATTATTATTATTATCATTATTATTATCATCAAACTATAGAGTGGGATTAATATCATCCTAAAAGATATATTTTTTTAATTTTGTTATCATGCAAGAGAAGGTTGTTTGTGGGTCAATTACATGCATTGATCTAAATGTGAATCGAACCTCGAACCTCAACTTTTGTTTGAGAATTTTTGATCATGTAAGATAAAGTTGTTCATGGATGAAATGTTAAGTTTTGGAGAATGATATAGATGGAGGCTCGCAGTATAAGATGCTATACGAGCCAAAACGATGGTCTTGCTAACTAGTTAGCTAATGATGGTCAAAGGGGCGAAGCCCTCGAAAGGTCTATAAAATATTGAGATAGGTGTATAGGCTTGTTAGGCCTTTTTTCCTTATAACTCTAGTTGCTCACACTATAAATAAAGGCAACATCACTCGTATTTGTAGTCGTCACTCGATAAAACCTAACAAGAAATCTCAATGCAAATGTGGAGTATGCGCTATTACTTGAAGCATGTAAAATTTTTGTGCTTGTGTGATTGTTTTTGTTTGTTCCACTCTATTTTTTTGTGTGATTCGTTTCCTAACAACCAAAATTTTGATGCTATTGGTAGTATCAAGGATGTTAAAACAAGTGACTTCATCATCAAACTCCATCGTGTGAAGTATCATTTATGAACATTAATGTTGGCTTGTCGTTGTTTTAAGAAAATACCGTCCTAGGAGGATTGAAGCTGGATTTCGTGGATTAGCATCTTCCATATTCAAAATATAAAAATCACTTACTAAAACATCCTCAACTACCCCTTTAGGTTTTGCATTAGAACGATTTACCAATTGTATAATAACACTAGTTTCTTTCGGAAGCCCCATATTTAAATATGCATAAATTGAAAGTGACATCATATTTATCGATGCACCTAAATCTAGTATAACATTTTCAAATCTAGTGCTACCTATCTTGCAAGATATAATGAACATGTTTGGATTTTGGCATTTAGAGGGAAGTTTTGATTAAATTATTGTAGATACATTCTCCCCCACCTTTGCATTTTCATCACCTCTTAACTTTTGCTTATTAGTGCGTAGCTCCTTAAGAAATTTTGCATATCTTAGAATTTGTTTAATTATATCAAACGAGTGGTATATTAACCTTTACCTTACAAATCACTTCCAAAATCTCTCATCTTTTTCCTCTTTCTCTCGCCTTTGCAAATGTGCTTAGAAAAGGTATAGGGTTAGCATGAAAATGAATTGAAAAGTTAGAGATTACCTTGCATCACTATTGTCAGTTTCTTTCTTCATCTCTTTTATTGTCTTTTCTTGTTGGCAACCAATCAGTTCCTCATATTTCTTATCATTTCGAAGTGTGATTGCACTAACAATCTTTCTTGGATTCATCATTGTTTGGGAGGGAAATATTACTTGAATCTCGAGCTTCAAGCTTGCAAAGCTTCATTGATGTTGCAAGTCGACTAATCTGTCTTTCCATGTTTTGCATGCTAATAAATGTCTCGTGTTGAAATTTTAAGACATTGTTTGCTAGAGGTATAATAGTTTCTTCAAGAGAAACATCTAAATTCAAAGATTGAATCTCCTATTGTTAAAATTGGAAAGGAGGTCGATAGTGACTTGGGCGGGTTGATTACCATAACTAAAACTTTAATGATCTCACCTACTTGGATTGTATGTATTAGAATATGGATCATACTTATGCTAAGATGGTCCTGGAAAACCTTTAATGGCATGAACTTGTTAGTTTGGTTCCTCCTTTAGTATTTTTGGACACATATCAATATGATGTCCTAGAATTGAACATATTCTACACACATTGGCCACTCGTATGCTACCTATTGTCATTAGTTGAACTAAAGAAGTTAAGTCATTAATTTAGTGCTCAAGGTTGATGTACTTACCTCGTTAACCTGACCTAGATGCATGATCTCTTCTAAATTTGAATTGTTGTGAGTTTGCTGCCATGTTAGCAATCAAACTTTCGATAACTCGTTGGGTTTTTGTCCACCAATGCTCCTCCACTTACGACATTTATCATACTCATCTCCATTGGCGACAATATCTCATAGAGATATTGGATCAAAAGCTTATCACTAATCCGATGGCAAAGATAGCTTGCTCATAATTTCTTAAAAAGCTCCTAATTATTATACAAAGTCTTCTAACTATATAGCCTAATGCTACATATTTGTTTTCTAATGTTGGTAGCCATAGATGCGGGGAAGTATTTCTCTAGAAAAAGCCTCTTTATCTCGATCCAAGTATTGATTGAACTTGATGGAAGGCAATAAAACCAATTCTTAGTCGAATTTGCCAACAAAAAAAGGTAATGCTCTAAGCTTTATCTCGTTCTTTTGGAACATTCCGTGGCCTTATGCTAAAACAGAATACATGAAATTCCTTCGAGATGCTTGTGTGGATCCTCGCCTACAAAACCATCAAAGCTAATCAAACAATAAGTGTATCAATCTAGATTTCAATTCAAAAGTAGCATTTAAATTAGAATACTCAATACATAATGGTTGTTGATCCAAGTTAGGAGTACCTAATTCCTTCAAAGTCCTATTTATTGGCAGCCATGATTTCTACTTTCAAACCACTAGATGAACTATCATAAATTAGGTCATAAGCTATGTTTATGCCAAGCGATGGATGCAAAGTCTCTCTTTGCAATCTATGTAATGTTTTCTCAATTTCAAGATCAACATTCAACTCATCAGAATGAGAAGATCTATTTATAAATCATAAAAAAATCATAAAATTATTGCCTTAAAAACAAAAAAAAGGGCCAGAAACCTTAAGAGTATGGGGCTAGTGGCATATCCACTAGCTTGATGCAAAAGATTGTTTCCTTTAAGAAACGTTTATGCTTCTCACCTAATTCCTTAAAAATCACTTGGCGGAACACAAGTACGATAATGTCTATCGTTGAATTCTACCGAAAAACCATCTGAAAGCCATAAAATTTTACAAACCGAGATCACAGATATCAGCTATTATAAAAATGAAACAATCTAAACTATAAAAATAAAAAACACAATCAATTAATCCAACCCTCAACAACAGCGCCAAAATACATTGAGTTTGCCTGAGTATTAATTTAGCCTTGAGTTTTGGTTCAACAATTTTATGAAACTTTAAATTCGAAAATTAGTAAATTTATTTATTCATTTCACTTGTTTACAAGTCTATATATATATATAAGTAAATTAAATTCCACCACTGAGAATTCATTTGATTCAGTTTAAACCGTCACAAATCGCGAAGGTTGAACACAAACCAAACCTTACCATTAGTCAACTGGCTTAGGTTGTTATTTATCTATTGTTATATGGATTAATATTTGTAAAAATTCATCGATTCTTTTTTTTTTTTTTAATTTTATCCTTGTATTTTTTTAATAAAAAAAATTTCATCCAAAATATTTAAAATATTTTTTTAATGACGTTTATAGTAAACAAAAGATAAATTTATACCCATAAAAAAATAACAATAATTTAATACAAAAAAACAACCGTCAACCCATTGGTTTTTCAACAACCCTAAAAGCATGTAGCATCAGCATTGCAGCGAACTCAAAGCTATTAGTAAGCAAGCAACCTAACTCTACCGATCTAAAATAGAAATAGAAATTGATTATTAACTCATGTTGTCATCCAATCTAAGGATTGGAAACAAACAATTGTTTCACAATGAACTAACATGGTAATCAAGAACAAATTATCGTTCAGTGTCCCATAATAGATATAGAAGATTCTAACCTAGGTGGTGCTAGATTACCGAGGAGCTACCAACCTGGTAATCAAGGATTGGAAACAAACAATGGTTTCACAATGAAATAGAATGGTAATCAAGAACAAATTATCGTTCAGTGTCCCATAATAGATATAGAAGATTCTAACCTAGGTGGTGCTAGATTACCGAGAAGCTCCCAACCTAGCTAGATTGGGGAGCACATCAACAAATAACTACTAAAACATGCATAATATTGCAAATCCATCCAAAATAGCATTTAACAATCCGAATCAAAACTTGGAAAGGAATCCAAAATAAACATAGGTATCCTCAGGGAAATACGACAAACATCTTTAACTACAACCTATACCAAAGAAAAACATTGTCTTGTAATACCCTCCATGGAATCCCAAGCAGCATGACAATCATTCTTCATGAACATCAGCGATGAGAACCTTGCTAGTAGGCTTTGCCAAGAGATCTGTGTACTCTTGGAATGGTGATCTTGTGAAGCGAGTCTCCTTCCAAAAGTCAGGTGTAAGGAACCCATAAGTCTTCAGCAAGCAGTCAAATGTTGCCTGCAGATGAATAAGGCGTTATGTATCCATAATATATCAACAAAAATAACTGCCATTAATCCCATTGATACTAACACCCAACCACATTAGAACAAGAAAAACAAGCAATCAAGCATTGAAGTACAGATGCAAGTCATATAAAATGTCAATCAACAAGTAGGCAAATAGTAAATGTTCCTCGCTCACAAAACCTGATTGAGCGTAACATAAGAAGAGAACTCAAAAGGATCAACAAAAGACCACCATGACAGTACTAACATTATCAAATTTCAATACAGTATAGCCAACAAAACTGAACCAGCTAACCCCAAAAGACATGGGTTTACATTCTACTCCAATGCAGTTACCATAGCCATCTCCCCAATAAACTAACTACTCACCAGGCCAGGAAAAAAATAATAATAAGTAACTCAGACATTTAACAATAATAACCCCAAGGAAGAAAACAAGGATCAAGGAGGAAAGCGATATATAAAGGTGCAGACCAGGTTTACTTTACTTCCAACAAAAGTAATTTAGAGTGACGACAATTTCTTAATAAAAAGAGTGCCTCGATTTTCTCTACATGTAAATTCATTTCCTAGTCTTGAAAATAAATCAAGCAAAGCATGTACACAAAATTCATCACAGCAAAACATTTACAAAGCAGCACAGAAAAAAATCTTTCAAATTTAAAAACTATTAACCACCACATTGAGGTGATTCAGAAAAGTGTAGATAAAGTAAGTAAATCATTATTAACACAATAGGATTACAGAGTCAAGCCAAATTTCTGCCACCAATATTAAGACCACAAACAACCACAAATCCATCATCAAAATTAACAATATACACATATCTTATTCACAGCAATTAATCACTTCAAAGTTACCCAATAAAACTATCATGACCAACCGAATTTCGAAACAACACGTCAAAAATCAAAATAAAAATCAAACCTTGACAAAGTTCCCAAGAGTCTTAGTAGATCCTCTGGAAGATGTGAAAACATCCTCAATCCCAGCAAACTGAAGCACCTTCTTTGGAACCCTAGCAGCAACGATACCAGCTCCACGAGGGGCAGGAACCATTCTCACAGTGACACTTCCACACTTCCCTGTAACCTTACAAGGCACGGTATGTGGCTTTCCGATCTTGTTCCCCCAGTACCCTCTTCTCACTGGAATAATCGACAGTTTCGCCAGGATAATAGCCCCACGAATGGCAGTCGCCACTTCTTTTGCACACTTCACACCCAACCCAACGTGTCCATTCCCATCCCCAACAACAACAAAGGCCTTGAACCGGGTTCGCTGACCGGCTCTGGTTTGTTTCTGAACTGGGGTGATTTTCATCACCTCATCTTTCAAAGCAGGGCCAATAAGGGTGTCAATGATTTGGTACTCTTTGATGGGTAGTGAGTGCAGGTAGATTTGCTCAACGGAGGTGATTTTTCCGTCTTTCACAAGGCGGCCTAGTTTTGTAACGGGAACCCACTTTTCTTCTTCCTCTTTGCGTCCACCACGGCGGCGACCTCGGCCACCACGGTCTCCACGTCCACCGCGGCCACCGAAGCCACGGCCGAAAGATCCACGTTCTGCAGGGGGCGCTCTGCCATGGTTGCTGGGGTGTAGAAATGTGAGAGATTAGGGTTTTGAAAGCAGAGAGAGAGAGGCAGATGTAGAGGGGGTGCGGAAAAGGAGATTTATAAGAGAAGTGAGGGGCTAGGGTTAGTGTGTGCGAACTAAGGTTTAAGGTAGTTACTAAACTTTTTCAGTTTGATCACTTTGGTATATTGACTTTATTTTTGTTTAATTAAGTTATTGAACTATAAATGTGGAATTTGAATTTTTATTTTACTAATTCTGGTGTTTGGCAATGTAGAGTTGCTCTACCATTCAAAACATTTTGACAAAATTGGATCTTCCATGTTCCAGCCTATAAAGATCAATTTTTTTAGGAAAAAATATCATATGAGCATTCTATACGTATTAAAAATAATGATCAGTCTAACTCTATTAAATTTTAAAAGTAATTAGATGAATATAAAAAAATTAATTATTTTATGAAATTGATTATACTTGTATTATTGTTTGTTGATTTATTCAAATAGAATCCTTTGTGTGTGTCTATATATATATATGAACTAATGTGTCAAATATTTTCTTACTTGTCTTTTTATTTGAGTTGTCTTTTTTCCAAAAAAAATTAAATTAAATTAAATTATATCTTGCTTCGTATTACTACAAGTTGACCACACTTAAATATAAAACTCTACTTTGCTACAAATTTATTCTTTTTCTTGTATATATTGACTTGGTATAAATTCATCAATGAAATTAATTTTTTTTATTTATATATGAAAAATTCTTGTTAATTATTTTTTCAATTTAAAGTAGTTATATATACACGTGTGTCATAAAATATGTAAGAATTTATCGACTCCACTTAAAATAATAATTTAGCTTTCTCTTTATAATCTTCATACGACAATCGCATCACATTTTTTTTAAATTTAAACATTTTAATTAGATGATGAAAATATCATCCAATCATTTTGTACCTCAAATAAAATCAAGTTTCTTTGGAACAAATTGGAAGATGCACTTTCTACATGGACTTAGGGTATTCAAAAAAAAAAAAAAATTTTTTTTAGTGGTTGGCTTCTAGATTTAAAGCCAAAAAATAAATAAAGAAAGAAAACTTCTTGATTACTAAACCAATGTTTTGAGATCTATAGCAAGTATTAAAGATTTTAATTTTCACCTAATGACTTAATATAAAAAAGAACCATATAAAAGGAATTTTGCAACAAAAAAGTAAATTCAACATCAAGTTTTAATTCGATTCAATTCAAATAAATGCTAACATACTTTTATCATCACTATTGGTTGTTTTGATTAATCTTTTTTTCATTAGTAAGTTGTAGTTTTTATAACCATTGGGTTTTAGAAATAGGGACGTATCTTGAAATTTTATGCGTTTCATGAAAAAAAAGAAGTCAGTTTTAATATGGAATTGTTTTCATATATGGTATTACCAATTAGGTACATTCTCTCTGATACTATTCAATCAAGTCCCCTAAGCTACTAATTGAGGCTGGCATGGATCAATAGTTCGAGCCCAGTGACGTGGCAGTGGGATATCCAAACATGGATTTGGGTAAAATTCATCAGATACTGGACCCTCCCACGACCACTCTTTCGGGTTTATCTAGGTTGGGACTTGGGAGGTCATTTTTGCGGGCCTCTAATAAGGACAGAAAACCCCACTATATTATTTAAGTTCGATAGATTCGCAAGTGGTTGGAGGCCTAGTTTGGACATCAATAGATCTCAAGCACTTTTCTTTTCTTTTCCTTTCTTTGTTTTTCAATTTTTATTTTATTTTATTAGAAGTACTTTTGATTTAAAAAAAGAGAAATTGATTTTTAATTATTTTCAATGCATAGATAATCAATCTTCATAAAAACTTATTTATTAATGTAAGCGCATGGCCTAAGCAGGGGACGTGGATTAAATGATAGGCTTTCCAAGTTATTAAATAATAATAATAATAATAATAATTGCTTTTTTTCCGTCGTAATGAGTTAATAAAACACATTCAAAACCCTTCAAATGATTATCTATGATTTGAAAATAATTAAAAATCAATTTCTCGATTTTTTTTAAAAGAGGCTGGAACTCAAGATCGGTTAAGCTCGTCTTCAATTTTATTATTTATTTATTTTTTATGTAATGTGTACTTAAACTCGATAAAAAAATAAATATATCTATTTGCTTTTATATAATATTCAAATTCTCTCATGTGTCTTTAAATTTTTAATTACAATCTATTTATCTTTAAAATTGTTTGAAATGTTTAATCTGTCATTTCGATCAATTTTTTTTATCAAATGAATTTTTTTTTAATGAAATGTCCTTGATTGCAATAAAAAAAAAAATCTAAAGACTTTAAAAATAAAGCATGTTGTTCTTGTGACTTTAATTTTTGTTTTTTTTGTTTTTTTCATTTTTTGATTATATTTTTATTTTTTTGCATTTTAGTAAAGGATATTTTGGTAACAAGAAATTATAGTAAAAAAATTTGATGAGAAGGACATGGATATATTTACCAAAAAAATCAAATCATCGAGCTTGCAAATTCCCTAGCAACAAGAAATACATAAGGCCTCATGCTAAAAACAATCATTGTTTTCGCATCTCCATGGTGATTAGTAATTATTAGCTATGCTTGCGAGTCGAATAAAATAAAATTATTTTAAAATTTTATATTTTTTTAATTAAAATTTTGTATTTGATTAACTTTTTCTCATGTTTTTCATAAAATTTTTAATTAAGAGAAATAATTCATTCTTATTCATGCATTGATTCTTAAATAAAACCTTGCAATAATATAAACGGAAATATTAATCTAGAATTAAAAAAAATATTTTAACAATATACTCTTTTTTTTTTCATAAGATTGTATCCAAAAAATAAAGCTACAATTAATGTATAGACTTGCATAAAAATGATTTTTTTTTAATCGAAGGTTATTTTTTGAAAGTATAAGCATTTAATTTATATATATATATTTACAAAATAATCAATAATGTTAGCATAAAAACTTGTATTTGAATTGTTTGATAATTCTTTTAATTTTTTTTTCAATCGCTTTGTTTCAAAGAAATTAATTTTATAGTATTAAAAAAATAATAGCAAATGTTTGGTGTTTATGTGTGTAGATGCATAAGTAATTTTTAATTAAATTGATGGTTTAATATTTTTATACATCATGATTATACTAAGTGAGATGAGAATGTGTAATATAAAATGACAGATATAAAAAAATCTGAGATAAATTATCTTAAATACATCACATATATTTTATATTTGCAAGACTGCATTAAAAAAAAATCGATCTTTCATAATTTTTCCTAAAATTCAATAAAAAAAATCAATTATTGAAAATAAAAAGCTAGAGAGCAAGCTAGATCATTCGCTTAGTCCTTGTTCCAACCCGCACGCCCTAGGGCTTGGCCTTAGCCCGCTCTGGGCCAACAAAAGAAAAAAAACCGAGTCGGTAATTTCTAGCGAACCAATTCACTAAAAACGAAATTGGAAGGTCGAGCTTAGATTTTTTTGGCCTCTTCAAATCCAAATTCAGCTCCATTTGTTTTCAAAAACACCTCAAAATTATAAAAATAACATAAAAAACACTCGTTTTGAATCTCAAAACTCATTTTTATACACATAAAACTTAAAAAAATTCAAATCCAAATAAAAAACTCAAAGTACTTCAAGTTTTCAATCTACCTTCTCTTATCATTTTATGATCTGTAATGATAATAAATGAATTTTACTTTTCAGGATGAACAAAATAATGATGAGCTTGACGGTTCGATAGGGCCAAAATAAGCCATGTGGTTCCTCTCTCCCCTCCAAGCTGTTAAAGGATCAAAATGTAATACAAATAAAGTTGAAAGGAATACTAAATAAAATATGTGTTTTAGTTTTTGGTTATTACATTGGCTAGAGCTAAAAGGCGCGTGTCTTACTTCTAGCATTGCCCTTTTCTAGTCTAGGCATTAGTTCACTCCTCCTTATTGTTCCTTTGCTGGGATACCATAAATGAGATGAAAGTTGATTTCAGAAACCATGGTGTATTGGTGTGACATACTGTGATCCAACAAAATCACTTCAACCAGCTATTAGAATGCAGTCCAAAATGGTCAAAATCAATGAGAAAGTTGAAGAATATAGTGTTAGAACACCATAAATGGCACTCATAGACTCACCAATTTTTCTAACAGGCTAGCATCCTCTATGAACAATGTAGAGTGGACACTTATTAAGCACTGAAGTAGCAAGTTGTGCTTAGACCTGCTTATCAGGAGAACTGTATCCCACCTTCAAAATGACAGAAAGTTATTGACTTGAAGTACTGAATAGCTTTTAAATAAAAGTTTTAAGTTGTGGGCAGAATTGAATACGCAAGTGAGTTTCTTATCAATCAAAGTCAGTAACTGTTTCTTTTTCAAACTTCCTTTTAAGACAGACCTATTAATGGTTCTGGGGAAAGTGAATTATAAGCATGCTATGAACTCTAGTACTACTTTTGTCACCCTCTGTGAATTTACACATGGTGGGTACAAAGGCAGGTCAGGGCTTGCTCCCCGAAGGGTCACTGTACAAGGACTTCTAGGTCAAGTGACCATCTCAGGCGGATTGATTCTGCCTATCAATGTCTATTTTACTAGTTGACAAATTAGCCAACTGGGCACAGAGTGAATGAAACCTAAATTTCTCACATTTCTATGATATTATAACAGCAAGGAAGTAAGGACAGACCGGGAAAGTTTTAAGAAGAAGGTGGAATATATATATATATATATGTAGTGTTAGTCTTGGGTGTCTCGTAATCAACATTAACATGTGATATCACAAGGGACAAATTGGGAGGAGAAATCAAAAGATTTTGGATAGAAAATTCAAGATACAATCTGACATATGCTAGAGGTACTTCTTGAACTTGTTTTCAATTTAAAGATTAAGTAATGCAGGAGGACCTTTTGGCCTTCCACTCTCTTTGTTTCATTGTTTCGCACCTCAAAAATCAAACCAACTTGAATAGAAAAACAAAAGCAGGTAAAGTAATGATAATTATATAAAAGAAACATAATCACCATAAGGATGATCCAAACTACCAAAAGTAAAAAGTAGAAATGTTTTCAATTCAGGAATCCTATTTCAATTTCTGCCACCTTTAAAAACAATGCCTCATTCCTCTCTCTCTCTCTCTCCACATTATTTAGCTCACAGCACGATTTTTGTTGTTTTTCATTCTCAAACAGCCTCTCAAGTTTCTCACCTTCTTATTTTCCTTGCAACTTAGGCATGTCCCTCTGTTGCAACCGCATTTCCTGATACTAGTCTATTACTTCATCGTCCCATTTTCTTGATACTTCGGCTATAATATTCCTCTAGATTTTCCTCTCTCTCACTGTAACTCTCATCTCTTCACCTTTTTTATGCTATATGTTCTGCTTATTCTCTCTTTAACTTCCCCATTCCTTTCGCTGCGGTCAAGTACCTTTTTTTGTGCTCTGGCTATAGACACAAATCTTTTCTCTACCTGGTCCTTCTGCTTGCCTCTATAACATCTCATTTTGGTTGTGACTCTCTCTCTCTCTCTCTCTCTCTCTCTATTACACTGTGCAAATGTTCATACTCATATTTCCATTCACGGGGACCTTAGAGGCAGGATTAAATGAGCAGTTGACACCAGTAGTTCAGCCACCACCAGCTGTGGCAAAACCAAGCGGCAATACACATCATTCGATCGAAACCCTTGTTGTTGTCCTAGCTGTGATCACTATAGTAGCTGTTGTTGCAGGGATTATTGCTCGGTTATGCGGTGGGCGACATTTTGGCGGCAATGGAGAGCATAACATAGAAGGTTGGGTAGAGAGGAGATGTAGGAGTTGTATCGATGGCGGAGTACCCGTCCCACGGCCCCCACCGGAAGTGCCAAAGCCAGCAGCAGCAGCAGAAGAGGCAAAGAAGTGAATATGGTCATAGAGGTGGAAAACCAAGGCATAATAGCAGAAACTGTCTTGGAATATTATCACATATCAACATTGTTTTAGCTTTAACAGATTGTGATTACTCTTTTCCTGCTTCAGTGCAGTGCTAGTCTTCATCATATGGTATGATTTTTGGGTCATGTAACAAAACAAGTAATTGGGCTGTTGAGTAATGTTTTCAGTAGAAACTTAATTGCGTGCAAATGTTTTCTCAGTTTTCTTCTCTTTCAATTAGACTGAAGCATATCTTTTGGATTCGATTAAAGTTAGACCATCAGTGCCGGGACCATGGGATTCATTGGCACTTCATGTACGTACCGGATTTTCCACTAACAGTCTGCAGTAACTAAAGGCAAGGCAACATCATAGCAAACAGAATCAATGCAACTAATTTCACTGTAAAAGCAGAGGCTTTTCACAATCTGACCGTTACTCTTTCTCTTTCCTTCCTTTTTTTTTTTTATGAGGGGAAAAAAAAAAGCTAAACCTTTTGCAAGCTATATGTATAAAATAGAGCTTTTAGTTTGTTACCGTTGCTAGTTATTCTAAAGAAATATTTATAAACAAAATAAAGCCCCCAACTATCAGCCATTTTGAGTTTCTAATGAAAATATGACCTTTCTCCAAGAAAAGTTAAAATCAGGACCTTAATGTGGATTTTATATTTTAATTCAAGCATTTAAGTTGGAATTCCAAACCCATTCAAGAATTACTAACATTTCAAAATACCATATAACTTGTGAATTATATCATCATATATTCTTATATTTGTAGGCCTTCATTCTATTGTACCGTAGATGCTAAGAGAAGAGGAAAAGGAAAGCCAAATATCATGTTCAAGCTATGCATGAAGGGCAGGAAGTAGCAGCCAAAGAGTAATATTCTCATTTGATGCAACATTTCTCATTTGTTACAACACATTTAACTTAGGGAAAAGATGAACAGAATCATCTCCAAAAGCCAAACACTTTGGGATTGGGACTACTAACTTATGAGGTGAATCGACTCAAGAGACTAATGAAATTGTCAAAAAATGTAAAGGATAACACAGAAATGAACCTATAGTTATTTTCTGGTCCGACTAGTTAGACTAGAACACGACACTACACTGAGCAAAAGGCAAATACCTTACAAGATTTTCCAATTGAGGATATCAGGATAAATCTTCAAAATTTTTTTATTCCTGGTTTGTTCTATATTCAACCTACATGTTCCTCTAGCAGTTGATGCCGCACTGCTCTACGTCCGGTCCAGTCACCCTTGTTGTAAAAGGATCAACACGTACCCATAGTAGGGAGAAGATAGAAGCAAGTAGAACCGACCATACAACAATAATCGTAGGTGTTCGGTTCTGCTGTCCCATCAGACCCTTGAGGAAAGGGTAAAGATGAACGATCACCCAGAAAGCAAAGAAAAGCTTGCCAAAGAGAGGACCCCAAGATTGATAACCACTGTTTATGGCGTGGGACGCTCCAGCAACCACTCCAACCAGATTGATTATGAGGAGAGTAGTTGGTGGGATAAGTAAAGTAGTCCATTTGAACATATATAGCTCAGCGAAATCACCATCTTCGTCTGATGCTTTTGAAGTGACAGTAAAATTGGTATCTATTCCAGCAAGGACTTTCAGCAGGCCTTGAAAGACAGCAAATAGATGAGCTGACACACCTCCAATAACCCAGAATTGTTCGTTTCTCCACCATTCATCGATCCCAACACCACTCCATCTCATTTCCAATATACCAGTTGCAAAGATTGAAAGAAAGAGGGATATGAACCAGATACTGGCAATGTTACTAATCTGCAATACCAGAAAACACCACAGAATATTATTTTTCAAGAGAAATAAAAAAAGTTGTGTCTTTCTGCCTACAAGTTCTTTGCACTTCAATTTGAGTTAGAAAAGAAGAAAACTACATTTCTATTAAGAAATTAGCAACAAAATATTATACTCTTTGCTTAGGGTTTCCTTGTTCCATAATTTCAAAAGTTTCATACTGTAACCTAAAGCAGAACAGCAAATGCAACTGTGTTCACCTGTGGAATAATGAATTTTCCAGTAAGAAGGCACACAGCTGGCAATGTACAATAGGCAAGAAGAGGAAGAGCCGTGATTGGATAAATGGTGGTATTGATATATGCAAATCTCTCGAGCCATTTTAGCCTTCCACTATAGCCATACCATATGGGGCAATGACGACTGAGAAGAATTTCAACAGAACCTAAAGCCCACCGAAGCACTTGGTTTAGACGATCAGAAAGATTAATAGGAGCGGATCCTTTAAATGCAGGACGCTTCGGCATGCAATAGATTGATCTCCAACCACGAGCATGCATCTTGAATCCTGTAAGGATATCTTCTGTAACAGAACCATATATCCATCCTATCTGCAGAAGGAAACAACAATATGTTTATTAGGAATACAAAACTCATGTGTCAACATAAGCTACAGGGAGGGATGCATATAATTCCCTTCTCTCTCTCTTATTATTATTATTATTATTTGGTGTGTGTGTGTGGTTGAAGAATTGAGAACTATATTCGCCCATAATTACAGCATAAAAAGAAATTGGGCAAATAGTATCAGCATGAGAGAAGAAAAAGGGTTAGCATACTTCATGTCCCCAGTCTGTCTTGTCTTCATATCCACAACTGATGACATGAATAGCTTCTTTGAGAAGAGATTCTGGGGTGGCAGACTCAGGAACACCACCATTCTCCATAAGGGTGGAAGCAACAAACACATTTGATTGACCAAATCTTTTCTCAAGTGTCATTTGAGACATGAGCAATGACTTTTCATCATCGAATCCAGTACCTTATGAAGAAAGTTACATAAATATCAGCATTGCAAAAGCACAAAGGAGAGATAACTAATAACAATCCACAGGAAAAGCAACCACCATCTATTTAGCGAACACCTATTGGAAGAAACTTCTTTATGTGTCAATATAATTTTAAACCCTATCCTGAAGACAAGTTTCAGAAAGATTACCCTCGTTTAGAAAATGGATAAAAAGTAAAATAAGCTGAATTATATAACGTTTGAATCATTAAAAATAGAATCATATGTCACCAACTTATGTAAGTAGATATGCACGTCTGAAGAATGAAGATGAGATAGATCTGGTGCAAGTTGCAAATAAGGAAAAGGAAAAATCCATGATTACCTTCAACCCCTTCTTCTATATCTTCTAAATTGAATACTGGCAAAGTAGGGTCTACATGCTTGCTTGATTTTTTCTTGCTATCCTTTCTACCTGATCTAGAACTCTTCTTTCGGGATCCACCAAAGCATGAAGACAGAAATCCTGGCTTCTTATGCTTAGGCTTGAGAGGAGGCTCATAACCATACAAGGCTGTTCTATTGAAAACACACCCTGTACCCACATATACAGGGCCTTGGATTCCATCCAATCCTCTTAAGTTTATCTAACATTGCATAAGCATCAAAAAAACATTAATAAGGTGACATAGGTGAATTTTATTTAACATGTAAAGTGAACAGTTCTGCATGACACATGCATCATGAAACAACAAAAGAGGATAAATTTGTGCTAAAGATCACAGTAAGTACTTACATCAAAGAAAACAGTGTTACGGTTGGCATATCGATCATTTCTATCGATCCCATCAAATCTCTGGGGAAACTGAACATAACAAACTGTTCTTCCAAGATTAGGATCCATTAGAAAACACATAGCTTCTCTCAATGCCTTGCTGTTGTTTATGTAATGATCACAATCAAGATTTAACAAGAAGGGCCCATTGGTGAGAACTGCTGAAACACGAACCTGTATGAAACACATATTAGTTAGTAGTAAACCTTAATAGATTCCAATATTGATAACACCGAATACTTACAAGTGCATTCATCGCACCAGCTTTCTTATGATGCTGGAAACCAGGGCGCTTCTCACGAGAAACATACACCAGTCGGGGAAGTTCATTACCCTCAGTGTCAAGTCCTCCACTATGGCCCAAGAAAACCTGCAAATTATGATATAAATAGGATTAGAAACCATGACATGTGTTGATGCCAACAAGAAAGTATGATCCAAGCAAAGTATTAATAAAAAATCAAGGCTTCTTAAAACAGTCACTCCTGTGCTGTGATGCTCGAATCATAATCAGCATGTAGATTTGAAATGTTTTATAGTATTAATAAAAACCAAGGCTTCTTAAAACAGTCACTCCTGTGTTGTGATGCCCGAATCACAATCAACATGTAGAATTTTATGTGGGTTGTAATTATCCTAAGAAGGCAATTCTTCGTGAGGAACATCTTAGTTTAGTTTGAAAACGGACAAACCTGGATCATTCCTGGATGATCTCTGGTGTTATTTCCAGGCCAAGGCGTACCATCTTGCATGACCCATCCTTCATCAGGAACCTTTTGTGCCTTTGCAACAAACCCATTGACACGAACTTTAAATTCTTCATATTCTCTCTGCAAGAAAGTTATTTGGAGTAAGCAAATGCTAAGTTTATGAGTATCAAAATCATTCATTAGAATCTTAATTTCCTACCTTCATAGCTCTGCGAGCTTTGACAAATGATGGATGAACCTTATCTTTCAAGTAGTCAATCTTCTGTGCAAAATACCATTCTGGAGCTCGTGGCTCAATATCATATTTCTTGCAGAAAGGAACCCATTTTCTAGCAAATTCAGACGTTTCAGACATGGCTTCAAATGTCAACATAGCTGCTCCATCATCTGAAACATAGCAAGAGACTTTGTCGACTGGGTAATCAACTGCAAGAATAGATAGTACTGTATTGGCTGTGACCAGTGGAGGTTCCTTTAAAGGATCGACTGTACTGACAAAAATGTCAACAGCAGCCAACTGAGACGGCTCTCCTTCTTTCTCATATCTGTGAGGTATTCAAAATTTCAGAAGTCAAATCTTTTAAGGATTTTAGCAAAATTTAACAACATTAGTGCAGATTGTAGGAAAAAGGAAAAACTACCTGAGAGATAGCCTGTCAAGATATGTTTCACGGTTCACAGGAAGCCATTTAGGGAACTGATCCAATATCCATGATATTGCAAACCATATTTCACAGATAACAGATATTAACCACAAAGGATAAGCATCCCTTACTGGATTTGTTAGACGGTAGTGTAAGAAAATGCAAAGGATAACAAGCCGCAAAACTATGACCATCCTGTAAGGGTTAATCCTAGAGGAAGGAATAGAAACCTTCCTTGAGAGGGGCTGGCGGGCTTCATCATTTCTGCATTACAACAATGGGATAGATACAAGAAAACAATGAGAAAAATAAATAAATACCATCTTGATTAAAATTAGGGATTTGCAAAGCCAAAAGGAGGGCATTGAGGGAGGAAAAGTCACAGTTTGATATGGTAATATGCGAATGCTGTGAGGGAGATCATAAAGAGACAGTCTGCATAAAAGAACCAGTTTTACTCGGTGCAACAGGCACTTACAGTAAAGAATCATCCATGAGCACATCAGTGCTGGCATCAAAATCTCCACCACCCCTGCCTTCAGATGGTGCATTACTAACACTCATTGGAGCAGTATTCTTCTCTGGCTTCATCTTCCAACCATCAATCCTCTCTCTCCAGGCTAAATTGCCCAATCCCAACGAGCCAGAATCCCTTGTTGGATCAACCACCCTCATATTAGCTGCAGAAAGTCCAATACTGACATTAAAATCTTAACACAGCGATAGTTGTTTTAGTAGATATACATCCATACCTCTGATGCCACTTTCAGGAGAAGCCATTGAATAACGTTCAGGAGATGCAGCTGAAAGATCCCCGGAAACCTGAAATATGAACATCATCAACAACTATCGTTGATATTAATTAAAGAGAGGAGAAATTAGAAGCAACAAATTGCTTTATCACCTACCGAGCGTCTACCAGCCAGATAAGGAATGTGGCTAAGAGAAACATCTTTCTCATAGTTTGTGGTTGCAAGATGCTCTTTCCGGCCAGAACTTGAATCCCAACCCAGCATCCGCTCTATCTTTTGTTTCTCATCTTGAACGCTTGATGTATGATGATTTGACTTGTTTCCTGCATCATCAGAATCAGCATCTTCCACTTCTTCTCCTTGAATTGGAGGGCTTCCTGATGAAGAACCAAAAATGCAGCATCGGTACATCATCCAACAATTCATAAGTTGTAAAAGCAGCAACAAATGGTTTTGGACTGACCTTTGTGCCTCTTGTATTTGGTCTTGCATTGAGGACAAGACTGGTTACCATCTTTCCTCTCATACTCGTAACATGGACGGCAAACTGGAAATGAACATACATGGCAAGCAACAAACGGCTCTCCATCTATAGTCTTGCCAATATCGTCACTGCAGATCTGGCAGACCTGGATTTTTTTGGCTGAACAACAAGCAAAACACCCAAAGCCAAAGTAAATTCATAGATAAAAGCACCTAGGAACAGATTTCATAATCGCTCTCGCAAAACACGAAGATGCAGAATTTTCAAGCTGTTCAAGCATCAAAAGAGAGATATTATCTTCCTCGATTCTAAATGCAGCAAACAAACAAATTTTCCATAGGAACAAAAGAGAGAAAATAAAAACTAATAACAATCAAGCAGACAGATTTGGATTATCACACAAGCAGGAGGTTCAGCTAGCTGTCACTCGACCAAAAATACCTTAGAAACAAGTCAAAACATATTTGGAGCTAAACATTAAATCCCTTTTGGATCTGTAAACTCTTAGCAGAAGGAACAATAAAAGGCATTGAAATAGTTTCATCAACAATCATTAATTAAAGGAAACAAGAACAGGAATAAAATCCGATTTCCCATTTCCTCTCTTGGTCATTCACAATTCAAGCAAAATGCTCTATCCCAATTCATCCAATTGAGTGTCTACTCTCTATCTATCTATCAATCCCATTATTAATAAGCAAAGTTATTAAAATGTGACTAACCCCAGTAGCATCTCCTTCTAAATCCATCACTGCCTTCAAGCAATCAAGCAAAATGCTCAATCCCCAGATCACAAAATCTTCAGAGCAGCTATTTTTAAAGGCACCTTTCCATTCATGAACCAATGGAGTTCTGAGGTTGCCACACGAAAATAAAACCTAGTAAACTACAAAAGCTTCAAGTCACACACCGACACTTTGAGAGAGACAAGACAAGGACCGACACAGATCCACATTGTCTGTCTCCATTATTTCACTCCATTTCCTTTTATTTTATTTTTATAAATTAAAAAAAAAAAAAAAGCTGCCAAAAAAGGAAAATGTGCAACCGAAGTTTCTGTAAAAGAACCGGGAACTTGAAGTGCAAGTTTGGAGATATTTATGTTACAGTTTTTTTCTTCTATCAGATCTTGCCACGTAAGCATAAAGTTTGATCCGTTTGACGTGGCGAAGTATATTGGACGTTTCATCATCTGGATCCTGGGAGCTGTCCTTTTTCTCTCTTCTGCAGTGAGACAAGATCCAAACAAATATAGGTGAGTCTCGTGATGTATTGCGGTTGAGAGTACAATAATGAACGTAATCGCGTTAGGAAACGTTGGATATGTGAATTTACTGATATGCCACGAGTTTGGTACTGAGAAATGGAGAGTATTAGCTTTACAGAAAACGCTGGGAGTGTGTAAAAAATATTGGGGTTTGACTGGAGAATGATGAGCTGGCAGTAACTTAAACATCAATTGGATTTCTTTACTGCACCGATTTGAGTGAAGTAGTGACGTTTACCAAGGGCTCAAATGGTCAATTTCATTGCCCTTGAATTTCACATGAAGATAAAAAAGGAAAAAAAAAAAGAGAAAAGAAAAGAATCCAATCTATTTTTCTTTATTTTTTTTTTGGGTTAGCCTCTTCGACGACGACTGTTGTTGGTATGAGATGATTCGATGATTAATGTTAATCTCGACAAAATCTTTTACTAAATCACTTTTGTTAAGAGATAAACCTGTTGGATTTGTTGGAATCTTGGAGTAAAATTAATGAATAAAATTAAGTACTTTGAAACACGTGAACAATTTGGATTTTATTCATGGAATTAAAAAACTTACAACAAATATTGGTTAAATGCCAATAGAAGTAATGACAATCAACTTTTCACTGTATACACAATAAATTATCTGTTTCTTCAGTGATGTATATATACATCAATTGATAAATGATTAGCTAACCACTATGTATAATAAACAATCCATGCTGTCATTTTGAAACCTGAGAAAATTAAAACAAAAGAAACGTCAATAAAGGCAACCACTTAAATGATGAAAAGTTCAATTTTCTAATGATGCACTAGGAAATATTTTCTTACCTTCTTCTAAGTCTTTTTTTTTTTTTTCCCTTTCCGATCAAGGACATTTTGGAGAAATAACTCCCAATTCGGCTAATTTGACATTGTTGCACAAAGCTGTGGCTGCTCCCTCTCCTTCTCGTTCAAGATTAACATCTTGCAACAGAATCCCTTGACATGGATAAGTCTTGCTGCAATCAAGTTTGATGGCCACCTCGGAAGCACTAGTCCCCTTTATGTTCTTGTACACCACATTCTTCACTTGAACCGCTGACCTCTGCATGCCATAATCAAGAAAACATTTTAACAACTAAATTACGGGTAACGGGCACTGCTTAATTAAAACGTTAATTGTTGTGAAGTTCCTGTAAGATAGAGTTCTTCACCTGTTCTTTGCATGGTTTATCTTGGTCACAGTAGTTTTGATCTATTATAATGGGGTTGGCGACATTGTTCATTTCAATATTCTCAAACTTGAAGTTGCTTGCACTTCCAGAACCTCCCTGCATATTAATTAAGATCACAATTGGGCTTAAATTTTGGTTAAATGGCATATCATGCGCATGCACGTTAATATATTGTTGATGAAATGAAGGAGAGTAAATATTACCTGCCATGTTTTGATCCTAATACCATTTGTGGTACCAGAAAACTTAGCACCATTTACAGTAACTCCTGAAACATAGTCTTCTGAATTATGTGCTCCTAAGCCTCCAATACTGTGCACAGATCGGAAATTGAAAGAACAGTATTAGTTAATATTTGCAGAAACACATAATAGTTAAGGAAATAATTAGTAATTTGTCATAAATTAAGAAGAAGTATTAGTTCCAAAAAGCTTTGATGTTTGTTTTTTTCAGACCTGATTCCATGACCTGGTCCACAAGTTATGTCCCTGGCTTGCACATTTTGGGACCCACTTACAATGGAGATACAATCATCACCTTCATTAACCATAAGTGAGTGCACAGGAAAGTCAAAAAAAGATGTGATAAAGGGATAAAAATTGTATGAATCTGAAGAGTTGGGCAATATATAAGAGCATACCTGTTCCTATGACTGAATCAATAATCTGGATGTTTTCGGTGCCTGTAACATGGATTCCGTCAGTGTTAGGGCTTTTCTCTGGAGAAGTTACTGTGAGATTGGAGACTAGAACATTCTTGCTTTGCTGGAAAGAAACATGCATTTGTTGTGCATTTTGGATTTTGATGTTCTTCACGACCAAATTCTCGCATTCGTAGAAGGTGAGAGCCTGCAAAGCATACATAATTTCCCAAAATCATGATTTTGTAGGTTCATCCTCATACTTAATTCTCAAAGCGGCAGGGAAAAGCACTGCTTTTGATTAAATTCTCACATACTACAACAAGATGAAAACCAGAAAAAAAATTGCAAAACTTTGCAGACAAAGAACATACCGTAGGTGCATCTTTGCAACGCTGCAGACATCATGCAAGAAAGCAAAAAAATCAGTTTCTCTTGATCAGCAAAAAAATGAGAAGATGAAATTAAGCATGACTCCTAAAATTAACATTAATTAATTAAGAAATACTGAGTGTTGTAAATATGGCTTACAAGAGCTTTATTGACTTTGCATGAGTTTTGCCACCATATCTTCCCATTTCCATCAATAGTCCCACCACCTTCAACTTGTAAATTCTGAACACTATCAAAGACAAGCCAATGCTTACCATCTCTTTTGTAGTCCGATACGTCATCAGATGCTTCAATGACTCCATTTACCTAAAATCAATTTCTCAAAAATGGTCAATTAATTATTTGTCTCATCCAACAAAAGTATCTATGCGTTTAAGTCTATATTTGCATTTTTTTTTTTTTGTTTAGGATGTCTATATATGCAGTTAAACTCACCTGGAATTTAATATTAGATTTGCAAGGACCCTGGAATTTAATCGGCTTAAGACGATAGGTATACTGGGGCACAACGATATTAGCTCCTTCAGAGGAAGAACAAGCTTCCTTCCACGCTTCTTCAAATGTCTGAGAGAAGGTTACAGAAAGTATTACATTAATTCTTGCAGGAAATATAAATAGAAGGTATGCAGTATTCCTACAAAGCATGTAAGAGAAGAATTAAACATTCTCTGAAAAAGAAAGAAATTAATTAAGACCTTGCAAAAGAAACGGTAGGGAGTACTAAAAAATTAAGTACTCTTACATTAATTAGCGTCTTGTTCTTGCAAATAATTAAAAATAAAGTAACTAATGTCTACTAAAAACATTCATCCCCAATTTAAGATGCTGATTCATTATATTAGAATTATTAGAGAGTAATATTAAATCATTCTTAGAATCTCACCCAATAATTTAAGTTTTGAGTTGAAATGATTTTTTGACGTAATATATAAAAAATCTTCATGATTAAACAATTATAAATTCCAATCTCATGACTCATTCTCTCTTATTAAAAATAAATAATTAAACATAAAATAATGATTGAACTATGTAAATTTTAAATTTAAAGAGTTTTAACCAGAGATGATAGTTTAAATTTTTTAGTTGAAATAGTTATTCGATAAGAATATCGCATGGATTTCCATGCATATTATATGCTTAAGCTTTTGCACAATGGAAAAGCATAATTAGTAAAGTTTTAATTTATGTAAGAATAAAAGGTGACCCATGTATAATTATATGTTTATTATAGAATATGAATGTATACATGCATTCTATGCTAATCTTAATGCTTATTATTAATCGTGTTAGTTTTGTGGTTTTTTGAATATGTAAAACTGGTTCGACGATATCATGACTGTTAAAAAGAAAATGTTACATTGAAAATAAAATATGTACCTCTGTATCATCTCCCCTAACAGCTTTAGTTGCGAAATCGTTTATATTAACTGTTTTAACTGATGTTGATTTGCCACCCACTTTGCTAAACGTTTGCAAACCTAAAACATCACTTGTCAGCTTGATTAAGTCGTTAAACTCGCCATCGTCCTTAACCGTGCCATAGTAGGAAGGATAAGCTTGAGAATCATAGCCAGATGCTTGTTCTTCAAGGAAATTATGAAATAGGTCCTCTTGCATACAATTATAGGATGAAATAATGGAGAGGGAGATGATGGAGAATGAGTAAAGAAGTGCTCTTTGGAAGGCCATTACATGTATATTTCTTCTTTTGTAAGAAAGAGGATTGATAATCTGAAAGGTACAAAAGAATACTGCTATGGGATGATTATAGCTAGGTATGGAAGTGAGGAAAGTGTCATGATGTTTCTCGTGTATTTATAGAGAGAAAAAACGAAAAAAAGAAAAAGAAAAAGAAAAGAGAGAAACGATGCTTAGGTGTGCGTTCATGACTTTAATTTTGAGGTATGGGTTGAGATTCGAGAGACACAGACGAAAGGATCTCTTAGCATAATCTACCTGCATGAATTCATGTATACATGTCCCATATCTTAGAATTAATAACAAATTTTATTCTGGTTAACTCAAAAAAAAAAAAAAAAAGTAATGAATGCTACACTTCCAAATTATGGGATCATGCCAATGTAATTAAACACCAATATTTGATAGGTTTAATTAATTCATAAATTCACTTAAGTTGCGTTTAATTAAAAAGCTAGCGTTACAAGTTAGTAATTAACATGGTAAGAGAAGAGAGTTGTATTATTATGATGAATTAAATTGATCATTACTATAAAAATAAAAGGCTATTCTAATCTTTTTCGTAATAAGGTTTTCTTTGTTTTTTTTTTTTAAATTCAAATATTTTAGATGAAGATTTTAATCTATAACTTCTTACAAGTACAAATAATAATAAAAAAAAGGTCACAAATTTACTAATTATATAGCCATCATTTTCTTTTTGTACATGAGTTAGAATATTTAATGTCATTTAATTTAATTTGAGAGCTTGTCATTTGCTGAAGAAAATCAATAAAGGTCGGTAATCATGAAAAATAAATTCTCCATCATGGAGGGCTAAACATGTGGCTCGGATAATTGCGGCAGAAACGAACTTCTTGTTGGTTTTCTTTCAGGAAAAGCAAATAAAATACTTACAAGTCTCCTAAAAAATATGTTATCTTTGAGATAGACTCCTGGTTCTATATTTTACAATTTCTGTTTTGGACCCTTTATTGGACAAGAACAACGTCCAAAAGTCTTTTCCCTTTTTGTTAGAAGAAACCTGGAGATTAACTTGGATAAATTTAGCTTCTGTTGCAAATGTGTGCATTAGAACGTGCATGATCCTTCCCAGCTTGCGTACTCAGAATTCTACACGAGGGTTTGTAACATAAATTTCTTTATTTATTTATGATAGAATTCACACTTTTCAACATGGACGATCATTCTAGATATTGAACTGTTTATTAAAATGTCACGAAAGATTGGTAGCACGAACTTATCCTTTATTTTATTGATGTTGCCATACAATGTTTTCCATGTTACTCTTATAATATGATGACATCACAGGATTCATTGAATGATCATGCAAATAAGGTTATCTTAACATATTTTGTAACAATATGGCTCTAGCTAGTGTTTAAATTGGGAGTAGAAAATCGGTTCTTGTGTTTTTATAGGAGGAATGCGTGTCAAATTTTGATATGCTCGCCGGCGGACCTTCGATGAAAGTGTGTACATATGCGTGTCAAATTTTGATGTGCTCGCCGTCGGATCTTGAAAGTGTGTAAATTTGGCTAACTTAATGCTGTCATCGCAAACTTTTTTTGTAATCTATTTGTCTAGAGGACAAGAGAGGAATGGCGTTGCTTAACTTTCTAAGGTTTAGTCACTATGGGATATGATAAAATGCAAGACTTTAGTGCTCATGTTGGGTTCTACACACTAGTAGCCATCTCTCTTTTTACCAATAATGACCCATCAAATTAAGGGAACGATTTCCCTAATAAAGAGTTTGTTAGGTTGATACAACTTAGCATCCCAGCTACGATCGCCAGCTGTATAAAGAGTCCTTTCGTACGAGGGTATGGAGCAGAATTTGATTTAGGTAAGTTTTACATCATGCTCTTGGCCACTTGAACAAGGCAAGGTATATTGTAATTTGTAATTAAATAATGATCATTATTAAGAATCTAATCAACTAAGACTAGATTAATCGACTTCTATCAATCACTACTCACCCCACTCGGAAAGACAAAATATGACGAGTGATTGTTTATTTACAAAGGAAAAGGACGAGGGAATTGAAATGATGCAATGTATATTTGTCATGAGTGATGAACGGATTTAGTTTCAACGTAAATGAAATCTTTTCGATTAAAGGAAAAAAAGAAGGAAACAACTCACCTAATTTAACAAGCATTCGGGAATTGACACCAAACTTTAAAAGTTGGTGAGATTTATCCGTGCTCTTCTATTATCTAGTATTAACAATTACAATCTATTTACCTAAATATATATGGTACAAAGCAAAATATATATCACTAAACTTGAGAACAAACTAGTTTTTTTTTGTATCCACTTCCATTAGTCACGTGTTATCATACATACATATATATAATTGATCCGATGTTAAATGAAAGAAATAGTTTGTTTCAATATTCGGTAATACAAGGCATGAGGTAAGTGATAAAAGTCTTTTAATTGTATAATATTTCACTATGTATATTGATTTGTGATACTCTCTTTTATATAGAGTCACGTTACGGAAGACAAGAATAAAAGACTATACAAAGATAAAAGATAAGATTATTATCTAACTTCGTATTTATCTTGTCGTTGGTTATATGCAAGAGACTTAGAAAAGGAAGAAGTCACAACTACAGACAATCTTAGGAGAGAAAGAGGACACGATAGTAGCAACAATAGTCCTATTAGATAAAGAAGACTTTGATGATGATGAGTGAACGATAGCATGATCCTAATAGCGCTAGGAGACTTTGGTGAAGATGATTGAATAGGAGAAGAGACTTGTCTTAATAATTTTGTACTATATCTAAGTAGAAAAAATAAAATAATTAATATTAGGTAGTACAATGTCACATGATGATTTTTATTTATTTAAAAGTATAATGGGATAATGAATGTAATAAATTTTATCAATATTGGTCATTATTCATAATTTAGAAGTGACATGTTGAACCTTTTGATGATCAATGAAACCATGATCATTTCTCATGCATGGTTTATATATGTGTTCAAATGAAAGTATAGTGAAAAATTGATGAAGGTGGACAATATAAATTAAAAAAAAAATGAAGTTTTATTAGGTATCTTAATACCTAATGATTTTTTTTCATAAGCTAGACTCATTAATAATAATTTCTAAAAAAAGGAGAAAAAAAACTAAATCCATTATACAATAAGATAAGAAGTCGATTAAGAATCATCTTCTAAAGTAATCATATCTTAATAAACAAAATACAATTTCCAAATGTAATATAATGAATTATTTAAAAAATAAAACAATATATATATATATATATATAGTGGAGTATTCTCATACTAGTTTTCACATTTATCGAGACTAAGTTCATAATTTTTCGGGCTAAGCCAACGTTAGAACACATTTTGTTTTGATTAACCACCAAACTCTCCTCTTAAACTAAATGAGCCCAAACTTGGTACTTTTAAGGAATAACTATGGCTAGTTATTTGCGAGTAATGAAAATTGAACCTTGATCTTGACCAAATCAAGGCAATCTCCTTACTCGTTAGACCACATCCCTAATAAAAAAGGTTATGCAATTTCAAAGCCATCACTATTGGTAACAAAATCCAAATCAATAAAAAGTGCTGCATATTCTAATGAAATTAAGTATGTTTTGACCCTACATATTCTAATGGTCTTTCCTTGGATGGATAATTATTATTGTATATAATTCTTTAGTTCATGGTATCGATTATGATTATAGATTAATTCTTATTGATAATGGATGTGATTATCTCCAAATTGACCTTATGAAAATCTTTATTATTATTATTATCAATCTCTGTAAATATGTTAAGTATTATTTCTTTCCTCACATAGCGCTAGTTATCCCTAACATCTTGGGATATGTCTTGTAAAGCTTTGCCTTGTATAATCTTTGTATACCTTTTAGGTGTGAAGAAATATGTAAAAAACCAAAAAAGTCTTTTATAAACATTCTGCTATACTTTGTTTCTTAATCAAATCCCTTCACCATGATCGAAATCATTTTTGAATCAACGTTTGTACCAATATACATATTCAATCCAAAAATCTTAGCTTTACAATTGGTGTTATTCTTATTGAAACCAATTATGATGTATGTTCTTAGATTTTTGAGATGTAAATTACTTGGTTGTGAGAAGTTAGAGTATATGATGGGTAAAACGGATCCTCCAAAGGATACCGATACTTCTTATATAAAGTGGTATGCTAAAAATCAAAATGTTAAAAGATGGTTATTGATTTCTATGTTGCCGGAGATTATGAATCAATATATTCGATTGCCTACTGCAAGTGAAATGCGAAAAGCTCTTGTCAAAGATTTCTATGATGGGTTTGATGAATCAAAACTCTTTACACTAAATCAATGTGACTTTTCTACCAAATTGGTTGGTCATCCTCTATCCATCTATTATGATGATCTTATCGAAACCTTTCAAGAATTTGATCATTGTGACAAGATTGAAATGAAAGATCCCGATGATGTTATCACATATAAAAAAATTAGTTAAACGATTACATGTGCCCATCTTTTTACATGAGTTAAATACAAAATTGGAACAAATTTGAGAGGTTCTAAAAAAGGATCCGGTACTAGATCTTAAAGAAACTTATCATATGTACATAGAGATTCTATTCGAAGAGCTACATTTAATGATGAATCTAATCACTTTGAATCTTTTATAATGATTGCCTAATGAACCAAGATTATGAATTTGAAATCAAATCGATTATCTAGCTCACTAAATCATACCGATGATCAAAATCGATCATTTAGATCATAAAATCGCACTAATCACCCATGTCATGTATGTTCTCATTATGAAGAAACTGGACATACTAAGTCTTGATGCAACGAGTTGATTGGTTATCCGAGTGGTGGAATCTTACCAAGGCATATCGCAAATGACATTCAAAATTGAATCACCATACCTCTATTATTGTTGTCGAATCATTCAACAAAACTCATAAGGAATCAAGTCACTAAGCCTCCGTTAATTGATTCGGTGTTACTAATCACTTGACCTTTGACATTAACCATGTTAAATCTATGAAACACTTATCTAATATAGTCTTCATAGCAAATAAAATTTTTTCCTTAAGTAATTAGAGAAAGTTTAGTTAGCATTACAATAAATTTATAATTGGATTATATTCTTGTTGCTCCTACTCTCAATCATAACTTGTTATCTCGTTACTCAAATAACCTATACTTTACGAGTGTATTATGATTTTTTAGCCTAACATGTGTATTTTCAAGAATATCTAGACATGAAAGACAATTGGTTATGGTTTTAAAAGGGCACAAAACTCTATTATCTTGACATGACATCAACAAGCTCTAATTAGTTAGCTTAAGTGTTTGCAATGGAAATACTCGAATAAACTTCAAACTTCTAAAATTTGGTTGTGGCATAGAAATTTAGGTCATGCATTTTTTGGGTGTTTAAAAAAATTATTTCTAAAGTTGTTTTCTTAAGTACTTGTTATGGATTTTAAGAGTGATATTTATGAACTAGCTAAAAATCATCAAGTTTCATCTCCAACAAGTATGAATAAGAGTTTTGAACCATTTATGATAATGGGATCTAATAACCATTTGTTCTCTAAGTGGTGTGTGATGGTTTGTTTCGTTCACTAATGATCATACTCATATGATTTGGGTTTGCTTAATGAAATAAAAAGGTAAAGTTACTTTATTGTTTCAAAGATTTCATAAAATGACGAGTTACTCAATACCAATCTCATTTATGTATCCTCTATACCGATAATGGTGGTGAATTTATTAACCAAGGTTTGAAGTGATATTTAAATCTATATAGCATTATTTATCGGACAACTTGCCCTTACACACCTCGATAAAATAGGGTTGTTGTGTGTAAGAACTATCATCTTCTTAAGGTTGTACGTGCTTCCTTATTTGAAGCTCATAGGCTTATTAGTTACTGGGGTGAAGCCATCAACGTTATAGCCTACCTCATTAACCAAGTTCCTTTCAATACACTACGGTTTGAAACTCTCCTTAATGTTCTTCACACGATTGTAAGTGTTTTTACTAAATTAAATCTACGAACTAAAGTTTTTGGATGTGTTGTCTCCGTACATCTTTACAAAGACATGAGGAATAAGTTAGAACCTCAAGCTCTTAGATGTGTGTTTCTTGGTTATACCTTGCATTAGAAAGGTTATCGATGTTACCATCCTCCTTCTCAAAAGTTACATGTTTGACTTAATGTTGTCTTTCATGAAGATATCATGTATTATTTGGTTCTCGAGTCTCCAATTTAAAGGGAGGGTAAGAATGAATTATAGACTGTAAATTATCAAAATCATCCTATAGACAACTCTGGAATCCTAAGTTATGGTAGCAACTTGGATACTAGTACTAGTTCCAATAATTATGAGACTCTCTAATTTTTAGAGAATGGATATGGACAAGATCAAATTGAGGATGAAAATAGTCAAGAGCGAGATAGGGGCACTTGTACCATAAGATTCTCCATATATAGAAAAGGTATCGGATTTTATATAGAATGAAAGGGTATCACCAATAACTTCCCCTAGTCTTAATGTACCATTTAACCAATTGTTGTCTCAAGCTAGCTCCTCATCCGAATCTCAAGTAAACTTTTAACAAAACATAGTACCTAATCATGTCATAAAAGGAATATCTAAAGTAAATTATGAACCTATTCTTAATTTGAAACCAAAGTACCCAATAAGTAACCACACACACACACACACACACACACACACACATATTACCGTAGATTGTCAAAGGAAAATTTTTTATTTATGAATCAATTATCTATTGTATCTATTTCTAATAGTGTGTAGGAGGCCTTGAAATATCCCGGATGGAAAGAAGCAATAAATGAAGGAAGAAGTCTCTCTAAAGGAATTCAACATGATAGATAGTCGATTTGCCTAAACGAAAGAGACTCGTCAATTAGATGGGTGTTTACCATTAAATGCCGAGTTGATAGAGCCATTGAATGTTACAAAATAAGACTTTTCGCTAAAGGATATACTAACACTTACAAAATTGATTATATGGAGATATTTGCACCGGTGACCAAAACTAACACGGTTTGTGTTTTACTATCCACAGTGGTGAATCGTGATTGAACTTTGCACTAATTTGATATGAAGAATGCGGTTCTACATGGAGATCTTCAAAAAAAGTTTACACGGAATTACCTTTTGGATGTACGAAGCATAATGGCAAACAAGTTTGTAAAGTGAGAAAGACTTTATATGGTTAGAAGCAATCCCTAGAGCATGGTTTGTATGATTTATGAAGTCTACGAAGTCCTTTGGATATAGACAAAGCAAACTCGGATCATACTCTCTTCTTGAAACATAATAAGATCACTACTCTTATTGTATATTTTGATTATATGATAGTGATTGAAAAAGATTATAAAGAAAGGAAGGCATTACAAGGCCATCTTGTTAATGAGTTCGAAATGAAAGATCTTGGCCGGTTAAAGTATTTCCTAAGAATTGAGGTGTCAAGATTAAATAAAGTTATTCTCTTATCTCAACGAAAATATGTATTAGATTTGTTGAAGAAAACTAGTATGCCAATATGTAGTTCGGCTAGCACTCCTATATAAGCGAATCCGACGTTGGGAATGCATCTAGATCAAGTTCTTTCTAACAAAGAGCATTATCGGAAAGTAGCTATAAGATTAATGTATCTTGCACACACTTGACTCGATTTGGCTTATGTAATGAGTGTTGTCGGTCATTTCATGCACTCTTCAAGTAAAGAACATATAAATACGAGTTATTCGTATCTTGCACTACTTGAAGTCATCTCTTAGAAAGGAAATTATATGTACAAAAGGCGATAACTTGGATATCAAAGGCTATACTGATGCTTGATTAGGTTGAGCTTATTAATGATAGATGATCTACATCCGGGTATTTCATATTTGTAAGTGAGAATCTAGTTACTTGGAACAATGAAGAAACATAAGGTAGTTGCTAGATCTAATGCTGAAGTTGAATATAGAGAAATGGCTAAAGCAATATGCGAACTACTATGGATAAGAAGACTAATGCAAGGGTTAAACGTTGAGTAAAGGAGTCTAATAAAGTTATATTGTGATAATAAGACAACATGTTATATTGCCCACAATCCGAGTTCAACGTGATCGAGCTAAACATGTTGACATTGATAGGCATTTTATCAAGGAAAAACTAGAAGCAAAGTTTATTGAAGTTTCTCATGTTCGTTCCCAAGATCGAACTTGTAGATGTGCTCACAAAGGCAATGTCCATTCTAATATTTAATAGTTTTCTTGATGAGATAGGCATGAGTGATATCTATATACCAACTTAAGGAGGAGCGTTGATCATTGATGTGATTATCTTCAAGTTGATGCTTTGTAAATTTTTTTTATTATTAGTGATCTTTATAAATATGTTAAATATTATTTCCTTCTTAGAATAGTACTAGTGATCCTTGACATCTTGGGATATGCCTTGTATAATTTTTATATACCTTTTAGGTGTGAAGAAATATATAAAAAATTAAAAAAGTCTTTTATGAATACTCTATTATATTACTTTTCTTAAGTCGCTCTTCATATTTAAGAACTTTTTATTTAGTTGCTTAACTCAACTGATGTTGACAATTTATCTCGTTAATTAACAAAAAAAATTTGTTGGTTTTTTCTTAATTCCAAATGTACTATAGTGTTAGGAAAGAAAAACCAATCTAACTTTTAAAAGCCAAAAGTCATATTATATGATTTCAGAAGCTCATGCAGATAAAATGCCAACGAAGCTTACATGATTCGGCTGGGCATGACCAGAATTCAGCAAGATGAAAGATCATTTTTTTTGTATGTTAGAAGGGACACCCTAGTAAAGTAGATGGATAACTGGGTAACAACCTGATGCATCAGAAGAAGCTCATATGTGTATCAACTACGAAGGATTAAAGTTATAATTTTGTTCAAAACTCAGAAATTAAAGAATTGTTTACTCAGAAACCTTTCTATCATCATATAAGATGGGCCTAGGCCTCAAAACTGAAGCTAGATTCTTGAAAATCTATCAAAGGCCTATCTGGCCTAGTTCAATAAAAATGCAAAAGGCGTGATCGTTTACCAGTCCCTAGCCACTAATTTTCGAAAGTCAGTTATCCTACCCGGGTTCAAGTTCAACGGTACAAAAAAATCCAACCTAAAACCCTCTCTGAAACTGAAGCCCTAACAAGAAGAAGAGCTGGAAGAAGAAGAAAGAAGATTTGTTTCACTGATTCAAAAATGTCCCAACATGTATATTCTCTGCCAAATCCATTCTGCGATCCTGAATCGGTTCCTCCACATCTCCAGCATCTCCTTCTTGCTTTCCAAAATCCTAGCTTTTTCAGCTCTTTCTCTTATTTGGAAGCATCGATTATGCACGCAAAGTTTTTACCCAAATTCCAAACCCAAATGTATTTTCTTATAATTGCATTATAAGTGGTTATTTGTTGGGGAAAAACCCATCAAAAGAACCCTTTTCTTTGTTTAAGATACTCTAAAGAGGGTACCCAAGTGCTAATTCGTTTACTTTAGCTTTTGTACTTAAAGCGTGCTCGATTATAATGGAGGTTAAAGAAGGAAAAAAGGTTCATGCATGTGTTTATTGATCTGGGTTTGGTTTAAACCCTTTTGTACAATCTTCATTGGTGAATTTATTGGCAAAGTGTGACGAGATAAGTCTTGCTAAGAAGGCGTTTGATGAAATTTCTAACAAAAAAGTGGTTTCTTAGAGTGCAATGATTAAATGGGTGTGCGAGAGTAGGAATGGTCAATGAGGCTTTTGATATGTTTAGGGAGATGCAAAAGTTGGGTATTGAACGAGATGAGGTTTCATTGGTAAGTGTGATTTCTGCGTGTGTTATGTCGAGGGCACTGGATATAGGGAGATGGGTTCATGCCTATATTAAGGAACAGATGATTCATATTGATCTTGAGCTTAGTACAGTGCTAGTTAATATGCATGCAAAGTGTGGGTGTATAGAAAAAGAAAAAGAAATTTTTAATGGGATGGCAGTGGAGGTATTTTCTCAAATGAAAGAAACAAAGGTAATAAGATCGAAGAGTGAGTTAAGTTTTCATGAGCATGGTTACCTTGGCTTAACAAATCAGAGGCTTATAATTTTAATTTTTTTTTTTACTAAGACATGAAGCTTAGGATTTTTCATATAAGTTAAGAATACTTACAAATTATAAACTTTGGATGGATAAAACAAACAAAAAAAAGTGGTAGATCAGTATGTCTGGTTTGGCATGTGAGCAATTTTAAGTGTACTTGACGACTTGGAGTTCTAGACCATATTGTTGATACACACATGAGCTTCTGATGCATCAGGTTGTTACACAGTTATCCATATACTTTACTTGGGTGTCATTAATTTTCTTACATTCAAAAAGGATCTTTCATCTTGGTGAATTTTTGTCAGGCCCAGCCAAACCATGTAACCTTTGTTGGCATTTTATCTGCATGTGCCCATAGTGGTCTAGCTTCAGAGGTTCGGAATTATTGGTCAAGCATGCTTGAATTGGGAATAAAACCATTAAAAGAGCATTATGGTGGCATGGTTAATTTACTGTGCCATGGACGAGGATTACAATTTTGTAGAGATTTTGCTGATCTCACCAGATCCAGTAATTTGGAGAACATTACTTGTAGGTTACAAGAAGAATGGCATGTTGTAGAGAGCTGAAATTATTGCTAAGCGACTTCTTGAACTAGAACCACTAAATGTAGGAAATTATATGATCCTTGTAGATCTGTATGCTTTTTTTCACTGCAGGAGAAGATGAGCCATGCGAAAGGCATCAATGTAGCGCTAGGATACACCTCCATTAAGGTTGACGACTTCGTCCATGACTTTGCAATGGGTAACTGGTCACATCCTGAGGCACATGAAGTAAAACAAGTTTTGAGGGATGTTTCTGTAAGGATTCGTAACTCTGATCATAAGCCATGTATATTTATCGTACTGCACAATCTGAGTGACAGAGAGAGCTGATGATCTGTCTTTGCACAGCGTGAAGGTGGCTATTGCTTATGGCTTAACAAAGACCAAAGCACCGGCTACAGTTAGGATAGTGAAGGGCCGAAGAGTTTGTGCGGACTGCCATGAGTGGCAAAGATTATCAGCAAAATTTATGAATAGGAAATTATCGCCAAAGAGCAGGTACGTTTCCACAAATTTGTCGATGGAAAGTGTTCTTGCAAGGATAATTGGTGAATGTCAAATGTTATGATCCTTGCTGCATCCTCCACTTTTGGTGATTATGCAAGTTTAATGCTTTGACTTGTATTATAGATGAGCTCCTACTCTAGAAGGACAAGAAACAAAGATATATACAACCTATGAAACCTGAGTTTTTATTCAACAATATTTTTTTTCCAATTTTTTTGCCTGGTCCTCCTAATCTTTGAAACTCCTTTGGAATATGGAAAATCAAGCAAGCTGTCTGGTCTGGGTGCGAGTCATGTCAATTACTTTGTCTATATATTTGTGCACTAAAGTATCCTAGTATGACCTAGAAACAACCGTTGTTTTGATTAAGGTGTTTATCATTTTTGTTAGTTCAATCTAATTGCAAATCTGTTGATATGAGTCAGCTCATAGCACGAATTTATCTTTTATCACTGTTCTTCTAGTTTTCAGCTCTTGCTTTATTAAGCTGGCTGCAAATTGGCCTAGATATGAATCAGTTCACAGGACCGATTTATCTTTTATCATTGTTCATCGAGTTTCAAGCTCTTGCTTTTTTGAGTTGGCGACAAATTGGCCTTTCGCTCCTCTACGAGACTTATGATGCCCTAGGCTCCAAACAGGGACGGGGATCCCTTAGAGATAAGATGACATTAAAGATTAAATGTCATTCAGGATTTCACATGGTTTACGTCAAATTTTCATTTCCAATTCAAACGACTTGTTGCCCAATTCTCTTCTCCTCCTGATTTCAAGTTCAAAAAAATCTCCTAACCCAAACCGAGTTGAAATCCTAAAAATTTTCAATCTAGCCGAATGGCGAGTTATTGGAAGCTGGAAATCAAGTAAGAATAGATCTTAGACCATAGAGAGCTCAATTTGGCCATTGACTTCTTTGATTTTGCCAAAAAATAACATGAAATAGCACGTTTCAAATCAAACAAACTGATCCAAGAACCATTCTTACTCGAATCAGCTTCCTCTCTCAATTTATTTCCGCTGATGCTAGAGGTTGGCTACGGTTAGATGGTGAAAGGATCTGTGGTTGTTGTTGGTGAGTGTTGGCAGTGGCTGGTGGCTAGAGCGATGGGTTTTGCTGGCAGTGGCCACTAGGTGTGGTGGCTAGGTTTTGGGCGTGGCCGGCGTGGGGAGGGGCTAGTGGCTGTGAGGAGGTTGTTCAAATTTAGAGGAGAGGACATCAGGTTATGGTGGCTACTATGGGTTTTAGTTATTGGTGGAATGGGAGCTTCTATTGAATGCTTCGAGTTGGCAGAATAGGGGTACTGTTGGAGGCTTAGGACTGGCAGAGACGGCTGTTTGGATGGATTTGTGGAGAGGAGGTTCGACAACGTAGGGTGGCTGTGAGAATAGAGTTTTGGCTATGTTAGGGAGAGGGGATCGGCATTGTAATAAGTTGTTGTTGGTAGCGACCAGCGGCTATTTAGGATTGGAGATTTTTAGGATTTCAATTGGGTTTGAGTTTGGAGATTTTTTATTTATTTATTTATTTTTTTTTTTTGAAATCAGAAGGAAAAGAGAATTGGGCGAAATGTTGTCTGAATTGCGGAAGAAGTTTTAATGCTAAGCCATGTGAAATTTTAGATGGTATTTAATCATTGTTGCCATCGTATCTTTATCATATATCAGTTGAAAACAAAATTTTGTTCCAAAAAAAAAAAAACAATTCCACACGTGCTAATATAGTTATGAAAAATTTATTTCAAATACATTATGTTTAATATTGAAAGAATATGCTAACATTGTTAAAAAGGGATTAATGACAAAAATTGTTATCATTTTATTGTAATTTGACAATTTCGAATCTTTAATATCAAATTACGTAATTTAAATCTTAAAATATAGATTTTTAGGCAATTTTGATTCAAATTTCCTAATTTTTATTATTTGTAACGATCAACTAGATCGATCGATGAGAAAAATATCAAAACGATGTTGTTTTATATATTTAGTCGTTAATTTTTTTTTATACAAAAAGTTCAGAATTACGGGAGTTAAAAATAAAACTATAATTTTAAAAATAAAACCTAATTTTTTTTTTTAATAATTGAATGAACAAAATTACATCGTTTTGACATGTCTCTTAATGATTAACGCAGTTGAAAGTTACGAGATAATGAAAATTAAGGAATTTGGATCAAATTTGTTTAACAATCGATATGTTGAAGTTCAAATTACATAAGTTAATGCTAAAAGTCTGAAATTATCAAATTACAATAAAACAAAATCAATTTGCCATTAAAAAATATAAAGTTGTAATTTTTTTGGTACAATAAAATATGTTCAGCTTCATAATGATTGCTAGACTGGTATTCTCTGATACCTCACTATTCATATCTGATTTGTATGCCTAGACCTTTCATACAAGGAAACCTGTCCAAGCAATGAATCCGTCTTCTCGCCTCTTAAGATGAAGCGAAGTGAGATCAAAATACACCAGCAGCCTATCTTTCATTTGTGCCATGCTGTCCTATCGTCCATTTTTTATATCCACAAATTTCTTTTTCCCGTCAATATCGTAAGCAAGCTACCTTAGGGAGGTGAAAAAACACCGTGTGTGCATGCGAAGATTCCGCTGTTTCAGAGCTCAATTTAAGTCTATATATTTTATAGCCTTGGATTCTGGATTTTCTTAATGCACATTCACACGGCCTCTGTTTCGTCACATTTTCTGAGCAACTAAAGTGCCTAACAGCAATTTATCCTTCCAATTGCAATAACAAAAAGCAGCACAGTGGAAGTTTTAGAACGAAGGAACTTTCATTTCTAACAAATGGAATACAACATCATCATCGGCCATTGGTTATTCACCAATGTGAGGGCTCTCTCTCACTATGTTATGCAAATATAAATCCAGCACTTTTGCTAGTCATGCACCCACCATCCCTAATCCCTACCTACATGCATGAAACTCTCCTAACAATGGTGATAATTCCATTTGATATTAGTAACATACGTCATTACTTACTTAAATCTGCTTAAACTTGCATCTCCACAGCCCATCTGTACATTTCCTCCTCCGGTACAGGGAGAACCAGGGTCACCAGCCCAGTGGCAGGGTCATAACTGAAATCGGTGACAACATTGTCCACTCTGCATTTCAGAGGGCGCTGGGAAGAGTAAGCACCAAACCGTCCACATCCCCTGACTTTCAGTGCAATGGTTGCAGTTGGGGACCGGTTCTCACTGAGAATGGTTGGCTCTGAGGAGACTTCACCATCAAAGTGCTCTGGTATCTTGTAAGAAGCCATATGGACTTCAACCTGCTCCACAGCACCGCCTATGTTGAACATGTCAAGCAAGCCTATTGGCGCAAATGAAATGTTGGAAGTGATCTCCTGCATCATGAAAAACATAAACATTCAGTGAATCACGGTAGCCTAAATAAATAAAGCAGCAGCAAAGAAAGAAACCAGCTTGAGAGAGACTCACATTGATAGGACAGAAATGGAAGAGTTCATATTCAAGTGCTTTCAATGTCACCGGAATTGAAGAACCTTTAGGCAACCGAACCAACTCCCCTGTAATCCAACAAGACAGCATCACGTCAACATGATTTAAATCTGCAAGTTATTTATCAGAAATTGAAGATACTCCCTTCCTCTGAATTTATAATTCAAGTATAATTAGTTCAACTCGAAGAGTTCACTTTAAGGCTCATTTTCCTTTCATATATAAACGGCCGAGGCTAGTACTATATTAAATTGCATGACTTGACATTTAGACTCTTCTTTCCCTTCTTGTTCCCTCTCTCTCTCTCTCTCTCTCTCTCTGTTTTTATTTTTTTTCCCCCTTGCAGAGCATTCATTTAGTATTCATTTTTATTGGAAGGACTGGAAAGTGAAGTAATTACCCGATTTGTAGGTATATAGCACAGTCTCCCCATTCCAATTTGCACCAGCAACTTGAGCAATGCAGTCAACATCGCTGGCACGAACAGAGCCCGTGAGGGTACCTGGAGTTGCATCATGAATGCGGGTCTTCTTCTCAATCTTGCACCAACCCGCACCTTGGCAATTGAAGACACCGACCACACCAGTACATTTGTTCACATTCCAGACCTTGAGTAAGCTGCAAAACATGATGTTCAGGATGAGAATTTTAAATGGAGCATGCTTAAAGGAGAGATGACTGACATGCAAAAGGTGAAAAAGCAACACACCTAGTTCCATCTCTTGCTGGATCAGCAAAGAGGCTGTCACGAGTTGGCCTGCCTGGAAGTTGGGCACGGAGGACAGATCCATCAGGGAGGACCAGTTTCTTCAGTAGCTCAAAGTTGTGGTTGCCTGGCTTATCACTACACAAGATGGAAAGATATTACCTTTCCATGTCAGAAATTTGTGATATGTTTCATATTTTCATTTCAAGACAGGCATCATAAATTAGTTTTTAAAAAGATAAATACCTGACATAGATTGCACATCCACCAATAGCACGAGCTGCCCCATGATAATCTGCAGCCGGGTGTAAACTCTGCAACCATGGATTACATGATATAAATATGAAAACTATGTTGAAACTTTAATTGTAGCCTCCCTAACATAAAACAAACAGAATAAAAATAAATGAACTAGCAGTAGGAGAATTAATTCATTTCCACTTACATGAAACATATCCCAGTCTGGTTGCATAAATTCTCCAAGGAAGAGAGTGTTGTAAGCCACCGACGAGATGTGGATGGTGTGCGAAGCAGGGTCCCGAGGATAGAAATCATCAGAGGCTCTCACTACAGCAGTCTGCTTGGCACTATAGATTCCATCAGTGTTATGACACATGCAAGCAATACATCCATTGTCAGGGAAGTTCCGTGCAATTGAGGCCTCAAGTGCTTGGACATAGCTACGGGTGAGAGACACTCTTCCACCATGGCCAGCGCCAAGGGTTTCAATAATGTTCTGAACATCGACTTTCACTCCATCAACTCCACATGTAGCCAAGTAGGCATGGAGCTCATTATAGAAGTTGAAAACCTTCTTTGGATGCACTAAACCAAGGCCAAGGACTGATAGGCTGTCCATAACAATGTCAGGTTGGTTGCCTGTTACACCAGGAGATTGAACCGGATAAGCCAGTGCAGTTTCATAATGCTCCATACCAGCAGCTGCTGGTTTAACTCCTCCCCAGTAACCAGCCAAAGCATGCCATACATAAACATACCTGCGATCAGAGATAAAGCAAAATGAGAATAAAAAAACTATACACTGTTTTCAGCTAATCCTCTTTCCCTTCTTTTATCTCGTGCATGCATGATACAAACTTCCCCAACACCAATAGGAATCATAGACAACCCTTCAGGAATAAGGTAAAAGTTTTCATGAAATATGCACCACTAGCACACCAGCAAATAGTTGATAAAGAAATAGAATTAAGATCACTCACTTCACATTGTGGTGTTGCTTGGCACCGTCCACAACATGCTTCAGTCCTGAAACCTGCTCATTCTTTTCACCATTCTTCTGGAACTTTGAGTTCTCCTTTATTCCAGTAAGCCTACTTGCAAATCTGCAATAAAGAAAATTGCCAGAACTCAAGGGTTTAGATATTAGCAACAAAATTACAATAAAATAGAAATGGAGAAATATTAATCCAGAGAAGGATCCCAGCTAATCCCCATTATGTCTATGGACACTAGGGTGGTCTCCATATGTGTGTGCGCCTGTGTGAGATAGGGAAAGAGCTAGTTCATACTGTGCTCCTTCTTGTACAGTAGCTTTAGCATCCTCCTTTGTTTTATTTTCAATCTGTTGCCAACCATCGTCAACGATCAAAAATCGTGGAGGAGTCCCTCCCTCTGACAGACTGCGTTTGCAATTGGAACACAATTCAGTGTCAGTATTGGTAAATATAAGTCAGTAAATATAAGTCTATATTTTAAGTATGATTAGGATTAATTCACTTTCCCATATCATTTCTGAATTACTATATTATAAGTATGATTAGGATTAATTCACTTTCCCATATCATTTCTGAATTACCTCTTAAGGCCGTCCTCGACACCCTCTGCAGTGACATCTGTGTAAAAGGCATCCCAAGTACACCAGCCAAACCAGTCAAGAAAGGAGGGCAACTGCACAAGATCGACAGAACACAACATAAGACTGAAAAAAACTTCCAAAAATGCTACACTTATGATCAAATTTATTGATAAAAACATTGAGGTAACACATGCAAAAGGAAAAAAAATATTACTCACCTTTTTCTTCTCCCTATGAAGAAAAGTTTGCAAATGTTTTTCCACAGCCCTGTTTTCATAAAAATTGTTAGGAAAATTGTAATTACAAGCCAAAATTGAAACTGAATGACAGCTCAGATCAAGCTGAAATCGAGAGCTCACTT